GTTGACGAAAAAAGAAAAAAGAAAAGAAAGATTGAGGGTAAAAGGAAAAATGTTAGTGGTGAGAGGTGGTCCCGTTCGATCAGGGAAAAATGCATCGTTTTAAAACGTGCTTTATCGATGCATACCCTTTAAGGCGGGAAAGAAGAAATTGAACGGGAGGTGAGTTTTTCTCTCTCTCTCTATCTCGCTCTCTCCAGTCGAAAAACGCTTATGGAAGGTTCACAGCTCGATATATCTTCCACACGTCGTCGGACAATCGGATTAACCTACGCACCTCAATGTCACACCGTGGCACGCACACTTTGAAAGTCAAACCGTGTGAGAGGTCTTTTTAGCCGTGTATGTGTGTGTGTGTGCACGCTTGAATTCTCATTCCCAGGCGACGGGGGCCTGAAGCAAAAAAGATCGACGACGGCGTTGGTTTCGTTGGTCGCGTGCTGCTCCTAGGACCGAGACGACGCCGCCGTTGAATTGTGAAATAGCATTATTTATCGAAACGCGACACTCATGCGGGAGCCCTGCTGGAAACCGTGCGCACACCGGCCACGGGTGTAATGGGAAAATCGATACGATCGCTCGCCGGTTAATTGTTTCGTATTGCGAAATTGACGATCATCGCGAAATTGCGCATGACAAAAATAAGCCAATACGCGTTTTGTACACCGTTAACCGTGGCCGCATGGAATTCCCAAGGATTTTACTGGTCGACCCTTTGTTTATTACAGCGTGAATAACGCAATTTTTAATCCTTTCATTTCCATTGTTGCCATATGGCTACGTATTGTAAATTACGAAATAAAATATTAGTATCATGTATTTTGTCATATCTTTGAGTATATATAATAGTTCTTTTTAGTCCTGTATAGACAGTATGGCGCAAATTTGAATGTGCAGTTAAAAGCTTGTCGCCAAAGTAAGACATACTGGTCCTTTGTCTCATTCATTTGATGGAACTCGAGTGTTGAGCATTGTTACAAATAAGATTGAAACTTATAAAATTCTAATTTCTTTCAGATATTTCAAGAGGGTTTATTGATCAAAGGTAAGGAAATTTGGGATTTATTATGTATAATAATATTATAATGGTAATTATATATAGCTGTGGTATAAGTAAAAAACGTTGTAAAATTGCAACGGTTGAAAAATGGCATTAGATGGTTTCAAAATATTAAAATGTTCTTCTGAATCATTTATATGTTATGTAATATACACAAAAATACAACAAAATGTTTCTTTGGCAATTTTTACATAATTTGGGAATAAAAGAGTTAAAATGTATATGTTGATCAGTATATGCATATGGATATTCTAAACATTAAGCTTCGGTTCAGGTTTCGACGCGATGTGACGCAGTCAATGCAATAAAAAAATTTCTTGCTTTTTCAACGGAGGCAACAAAGTGAAACTCATTTATAAAAATGTAATTTTTATATTCGTACTAAGAAGTACAGTACTACAGTTCTATAACAGTGGAATTCTCCGATTGTATCGTAATGTCAGGATACTGAATTTTTCAGGATACTGTTTAGTTCCTTGAGATCAAAATTACGAGTATAAAAGTGAAATTTTCGCAAAAATATGCCAGAAATCTGTTAAAATCTGTCATAATTTCGCATCGACGATTGGTAACGTAAATTAACGATGTTATTGGGGCGGGGTTGAGAACCACTGAAAGGCGTTCGAGCACTGCAGTCGAGTTAAGCTGCAGTTGCCACGGCGAAGTACAGCCTGCACTTCTCCGAGGACGCCAATGGAGGGCTCTGACCTCTTCTCAACGACTACACATTTACTTTCTGCTGCTTTAGGGTGTGTTGCCTACTGCCACCTAAATCGCCTTACTAATTAAGGATCTTTTGTCGTTGCTGACTTCGCCTAGGGACAGCCCAAATACGCGTTACGCGTTATTCCGTCAACGGTTTCTTTGTCTAATGCGATTTCGGTACATTACTGACGATGACTTTGTAAATCCTGTCGCGAAGATCGAATCGATCCTTCGAGCATACGGCAGAGAAAGATTGCAAGCCGCTGACCGCATAAATAAATCGATCTATATCTATGCAATAGCGTGTACAAATGATATCTAAATAGTCTATGTATATAGAATTTATATCAAACGAATTGTTTAATACACTTTTACGAAGAAATTGTATACAGTTCATTGATCTAAGCGAGCTGCCATAAAGATACGAGAGTGTATTGACTGATTGATAAGAGCATTATTCACGTAATAAATGTTGCTTTTAATTCAGTAGACTATACATGTCAGTCGAGCCGAGAAAGTTACAAGCGCTGTTTTGCTCATATACAGAAATGTCATCACTTACGTTCATTGTTGACAGCCGACTCGGTTGCAGTAGCCATTGCGGGATCACTGGAAGAAAACGTCTTGAATTCATGAATCCAATACATATTTCGAGTGAAAGAGCATTTTTCAAATTGGTATTCTCTTTATTTCAATCTTTTACTGCGTTTACTCCGTAATTTTTGTCCTTAGAGGTGACGTCCGCCGAACAAAGAAACTACACAAAGGATCCACGAGTCGTTTATCTATTACGCTTTAATTTTTCTTTGATACTAAATTAACATTCGATACGATGATTCATTATTGATATAAAAGTTTTAGAACCTATTTATCTTATCTACAAATACGTTTTTTAGTAACAAAAAAAAAATGAGTTGTATATTGCGTGTCTGTCGACCTTATGTAAGGGCAGCAGCAAAAAGGAAAAATATTTGGAGCTCATGAAAACGCTTCGTCGTGTAATGACACAATGCTGGAAAAGTGTACACGCATTGACACAACGGTCGTTTACCCTATCGCGAGAAATTCTCAATAGTTTTTTGCGTAGCTCACACAACAAGCGTTCGACAAACTCGTTTGAACATACTCGGTGGAAAGCCAATGGGTGTGATTACTTCTACGCATGATCGCGTTCAAGTGAAAATACCGCAGTCACGCCATAAATCGAATTGCGGAAGACGTCGATCGTTGATGTCCGTGGATAAAAAAAAATCGACGGGACGTTCTTTGTTTCGTGCAGGCGTCGAATAAGCGTTACATTGTTAACCTCATGTACACGAGTGACCGGCACGGCGTCTCTTTGTTCGAATCGGTCGCGTCCCTTCCTCACTACCTGAACTTGTCACATCAATTCCGTATAAATACTAGACTTACCTGTTTTCACCTCTGTAGAACAAAGAGACACGGGATATCAGGGATTACACGGAATGTGTAGAGGTCCTGCGACAGGAAGAATCACGTATACACTCAACAATAATGCAAGCAGATCTGAACGGTCGCTGGACTTGCTAGCTGCTTTTATTGCCGCATGCAAGTATCTTTGTGTATTACAGCCATTTGCACACTAGTTACCGTTTGGCTACACGCACGACATACACACGCACGTCTCACCCAAGTTCTGGAATGTCTGCATGTTCCTATTGGTCGATCCGAATTGATCGGTTCGCCGCGATTGGTCCATTTGAATTTGAAACGTTGTGTTGAACCGTAACAGGGTGTGCTACACGGGAATTCATCACCACGCACTCGCAGTACCGTTTCATTGTTTAAAAGTATGGTGATTGTAAATACGACGGGTTTGGAGAAGGTAACAGCAGTTTTTTGCGTCTGCTTTGTTAATCGCGCGGAAATCTATGCCGTCTTCGTTCCACAGTGTATGGGTAGAAAATCAACGGATACAAATACGTTATTGTTGTCCAGTAAGTAATTCAAAATTTCGTACTTAGAAAAGTAAAAGATGTACGAGTCATGATTTTTAAATGAAATGTTTCGGTAGTAAGTATTATATTATACTTAATTAGATTTCCTATTAGGATGTTTAAGTAACACAATTTTGTTCTTCGTAATTTTTACATTTGGAGCACAATAACTATTTGTGTGGATTAAGGAAATTTTGTAAACACACCCGCATCTATGCATGGTTTTGAGCGTGAGACGGTCACAGTGTTAAAAAAAATATTCATTCTGGATGAATCATATGTCTCTGCATCTCCAGCAACGTGCGACCAATATGTGTGGGAAGTTGTGACCGTTGTGCGACCATACGAACGTAAAAATCCACTCCAAATATGGTTGAGTCGTTATAACTGGTTCCGATGATTTTACAAGAAGGAGCCATATATTCGTTAAGATTATAGCGAAAAGTTACGAGTTTCACGCTCAATAATTTGAACTATTAACATTTTATCTCGATAATTGTTTTTATTAACGATCCACGAATTCAAATTGGGAATTTGGGTGGTAAGGAGTATTATTGTTCACCGAAATATGCAAATCTTAAAGTTTAAATGTGGGTACCAATAAAAGTATTAAAATTTAAACATAATTTTAAATGAAATCATTAGCTTGTAAATGAAAAGAGAGACATTTTAATCAATATATATTTCATATTACTAATCTTTCATAGTAAAATATATATGTCAAAATTGCATATGGTAATACGTTTGTATCAAACTGTTCCTTATACAAATAAAACTTATGCTTACTTCTTGATCAGGGCAGTATCTTTGCATTTGAATGTCATCATTTATGAATCTAAATAGCAATATGGTGTATTGAGCAAATTTATATCAGACGCATTATTTATCAATATTGTTTGAAAGTGTAATTTCATTGAGGTAGAAGATTTAAAATATTAGGTACATACGGAAAACAGAACAGACCACTTTTGACAATAGAAACAATTTTATGAGAACGTTGCCGCCTGATTTTGTTTTTCCTGTCTAGCGTAACTTAAATAGGTGTTGATCAAGATATCGTTGAATATTTGTAACAAACGATCTGGAAAACGTTCTAGAAAAAAATGTATAATTTGTACTCATAATAAATACTTTTCATCAGTAAAAAAAATCATTTACACTGATAGGCACAAACAAAGATCATTCATCCTAGTTCAACTTACTCACTCCATTGTTTTTAAAACGGAGTAGATTTTCGAGTAACCAATTGTCCTAACTATTTGTAGAATATATCAATCACCTCAACTTTCATCATACAGGGGGGTGCCGTCTCCGCTGAGAGACATACTTCGAGGACTAGAATTTGTGAAAGGAGTTCCTCTAGGAGATTTGTATGATGGTGTGCGGGCAGAAGGTGTTCTATTTCGCGGAGTTGCTCTATCGTTTTGAACTTCCTGATTCCTTAGTGTTTTTCGGGACTCATCGTATCTGGGAGTAGTATTACTAGAATAAAAAAAAATACAGTGTTTTATAACTGCGTGAACATCATATAAATTCGATTACATTTAGTTTACGATTAACTTACAATTCTTTGGAAGTAGATTGCTTTGAACGTGCCCAAGCTTCAGCAGCTTTCGTCCAGTTTGTTGTATCAGATGTAGTAGAAACGGGTCTGTGAGATCTTGCAGATCTATGGGAATTTGAAGTTAACGCAGGTGGGATTGGTTGTAAAAATGGTCCTTGAGTATGACTGGGCGTCTGTGGATGGTGAGGGGTATGATGCGGAGTATGATACGGGGTCATGAATGGAGTTTGCCCTGAAGGTGTATAAGGAGTACTTCCAAACATTCCGTAGTTATTGACACTTGCAGTTCCTGGAGTATATGGCGGATAATGATGCGGAGTTTGATTTGCAACCTTCGAGAGAGAATGTAGCATGTGATGTGGCATATTCTGAGCTACCCTCTGTATTGCATCTGGATTTACACCTAAATTAAAAAAATAATTTTATTCTAATATGTACAAAAATAGCGTTTCGTTTGAAAAACCTACAAAATTTACCATTAATTGCCGGAGTACTATTGTACGGTGTTCTAGAAGTCATGGCTCCATGTGGTGTACCAGGTGTAACTTGACCTGGTATAGGGTCTCTGAAATGTTCTTTAAACCAACGGAACAAGTCGCTCACTCTGCTAAACATTTGACCTCTGAATTTGAATCCATCAGGCAGTACAGAAACATATTCGTGGCGACAACGAGTTCGTGGCAAATACGACAGCAGAAACTTTCCGGGATAATTCTGAAACGTACAGCAGCTAATTAGATACTATGTGAAAATACTAAAGACAGCAATGATCAATTTTGGGGAATTTTACCTTCGCAGCGCATACAATATACGGTATTCCGCCAGGATTTTGTTTCTTCTGTTCTTTTAGAATTTCCTCCGCTTTATCTTTAATACCTTCTAGGGTTGGTTTAAAATACTTAAAGTCCAAAAGCTCAGAGGCATACGCAGCCATTGGATTAATATGTCTTGCAATAATTTCATCCAGATCTTCAAACTCTTCGTTGCCAATCCACAAGCTACGTCCGAGTGAAAACGTATTCTCTTTTCCTTCTTCCCGTATGTCAATGTGCTGGTAAATCTTTTCTGTGACTTTCCATGTTACTGTCAAGTGATCAGATCCTTTGCTGCTTGGTCGTATTATTGCTTCTCCTTGTTTCATTGTCTGCATCAGTTTTTCAGCTTCGGCGAAGCTTACATTATGAAAGCTAGGATGAATTATAACACGTTTCACGTAAGTTTGCCTTTGCTGCACTTTTTTGGCATCTTCTTCAGTCTTTGTGTCCCTTTCTTCTGCTTCTGCATCATAGTAAACATCTCTCTGAGGCCTGAAAATAATCGATATAGATTAATAAATGCGAACAAGTACGGAAAAATCATTATCTGATACGTTACCTCCATTCGTGATTTTTGTCAGCAAGGTCGCTAGATTTACTTGTACATTCTACACTAAATCGATCTACTTCGATTTTCGTTAGGCGGCAGTGAATCACTTGACCAACATGTACTCTTTCTTCTGGATTACTGACATGTTTATCAGATAAATTTTTTACGTGAATGTAACCAGATATTCCATTGTCCAGTCGCAAACGTATCCCAGTTGCCTTTCCAGGACACGCACCAGCATCAAAGTGATTCCATACTTCCGATAATTCGGGGAAATCGTTTTTCAAACAGAATGGGCACTGCCATAAGCCAGTCTCATCATTTCTAACAGGATTTGCTTGATCTAACTGGTCTCCCTGTGGTTTTCTACGACTTATCCCAACTACCGTGGCCAAAACTAATTTGCCAACGTAAAATGATTCTGGAGTCTCCTTGGTTAAAATATCAAATAATTTTTCCGTATTTGGAGACTGATAAGGTACACGGAGATCCTTGTACCTGGAATTCAGTTCAGCTCTTATGTCATAAAGAGTAATGCACTTGTTTCCAAAGCCTTGTCTTTCCAGTTCTTCAGCAAACGCATCTAAATCTAAATCTTTCAATCTTTCTGGCGACTCAAGAATTTCTTCCAAAGCACCAGCAGGATTTGCATCCTCGTCGTCATACTCTAAGGCATCTACCGCCATTTTCCTTGCCCATTCGTACGTTTCTGGATGTACACGTGAACCATCCAAGACTTCTACATATGCCTCAGTACTATCTCCTAAACTATTTGTATCTATTTTAATGAAACCAGCACAGTTGACAAATACTTTAGGGCCCATATGACAGGCTGTTATAAGCTGTGTTCTGTTCTCTAGTCTCTGATTGGTTTGCTTCAGGATCTTAATTAGGGATTGACTTTTTCTAGGCCCCAAGCCACACACAAATTGTACTAAGTTTGCGGTATAAGGCTGTTGAACTGCTCTGTTTAAATCTACTCCCACTTCGTTCACACGATTTATAAATTCTAAATATATATTCTCCATAAGATCCTCTTTAGGAAGTTGATCTTGCAAAGGATGGTATTTAAGGCACAGAATTTCGTCATCTACCGTACATAATTGCGAAAACTCAAACAGTGGATCCTGTGTTCTTCTAGCTAAGGACACGGCTTGTCTCAATAAATCTGGATAATCCCTGAATTCTAATACACCCCTATTGCTGTTTGAATAAACTTTAGCTAATTCATTATCACATACTTCGACTTGTATCATAGGGAATTGGTCTTCTTCCACTAGATTGGTAATAATATCTTTTATATCAGACATTATCATTAATGCTTCTCTAGATTCACCGCCTATTACCACAACGTGTGGTTTTTTTGTTGCAATGAAATTCTTAATCGCTAATAAATCCGCCTCCTTCATCATCTTTTCATGTTCTCTAAAACTGTTCTTTCGCTTCATTAAATGCGGTAACCTCAGATAATCTGTGCACTCCCCATCTGGAGCAATTATGCAAGTAAAAGCGGCCTGGGACGGATCAGGTACATATGCCACACCCATCACTCGAAGTCCTTTGCTGGTATTCCAATCTTCGTCATCCTCTTCGAGAAAGTCACAGCTGTAAGGAGCAATTTTTATCCAATTATACATTTTGCGGCAACAAGCTTTCATAACGCATTCCTTTGCCTCTGTTAAAATGTTGGTACGTAGTTCCTTTTTCAATTGTGGTATTATAATACGAGTTAAAGCTATTTCAACACTGCCAGTTCTCAAAGAGTTCCAATCTTGCACACTTTTACTAAATTCATCCCTGTAATATAGTTGCTTCACCTCATCAATGTAGTTATTGCTAGTGTGTCCTTCTATCATGTCGCTAAAGGAAATCGTAATTAGTTGATCTTCTTCTGCTATAGCTAATTTTAAATACTGATCCCCAACAAGATCTCGTACAGGCTTGTCCTTAATATATTTCAACACATAAAGAGGATGACTTTCATCAATCTCTTTTATACCTTTCTTGGTTGGTTTCACAGACAACTTTGCTCTTTCCATGTACATTTCTCGGACGCTCTTACGAACCAATGGTTCGTGCGCTAATTGAATTGCAACCATTAATTGTACAGCTTTAAGCACTTCGTCGTCCGTTTTGAAAACCGCTGAACAGAATTCATCAGCTATAACAGTAGGTTCTATTGGCTCCTGATCTACCTCATGACGTTGATAATTGTCTCTGAGATTTTCAGCAAAATGCTCAGGAGAGAGTCCAAACTTTTTAGCAAGTCCGTCTAAACCAGCCTTCCTACAAATAGTATACGGACCCTTCCTAATGGGTTGCTTTAATACGTCGTCCGGTTCTTCTTCCTCTTCCACTTCAAGTATTTCGTCTGGAGGATCTTCTCCGTTTTCTTCAGCTTCTGCAATTTGTTGTTTTCTTTTTTCAATTCTATCTTTCTGACGCGCTACCTTCTGCTTTTTACGAAGATCTTCCTGCATAGCTGGAATATCTTGACTATAATATAGCATAAAATGTCGATAAACATCGTTCAATTCTTCAAAAGTCTGAACACTTTTCAATCGTTCGATATCATCATCTTTAATTACTCGTATATTATCAGGTAATGGAGCATCAGGATTTTTCATAATTTCATCTAATTGAAAGTTTCTCATTCTTTCGAATAATTTCAATAAATTCACTTTTCTTTGCTTCAGTTGGCACCACTTCCCGTCGAACTTATATATCTTCCATAAATCATTGATATTTAATTCTGGTAGGACATATTCCTTTCTATAGAACGAAATAAATGGAACCTCAAAGTTTTGATTACGCATAAAATCCAGGGCTTTTTTAATTTTCCCGACTGTCTGTGGTCCCTTTCTAGCTCTTTCTTTTGCTTCTTCATTTAAATGAGCATCTTGTACTGAAATCGTCGGTTGACAGAATGCTTGCTTGTAGATCCACTCTGCTTCAAGATCTAATTCATCTGAACCTTCTACTGTTGGTGTAATTGGAACAGATCGTAGTTGCATGCGTTCGGGAATGTCTGTGGTACGAATCTGAAACATTCGATTAATCATAGAATATTAGTTTCTGGCATTAATAGTACACTAGGAATAGTCTGAATTATTTTATTACCTCATTATCCACATCGGTAAAATGTCCGCGTATAAGTTCACTAGGTTCATAGATCTCAAAAATGCTTTTCTTTGTGCTTTTTTTCTTCAAATGCTTTTTCGATCGTCTTGGCCTCTCTTCTGATTCTTCTTGAAGATACTCGTCTTCTTCCTCCTCCTCTTCTTCAAATTCATCTTCTCCGTATTTTCCGAATTCATCATAATCGAAATCAATACCAAAAATATCTTGAGCTTCTTGCAACGCACTATAATAATACAATGAATCATTGATTTGTGTAAGATATTTATATGCATTATTTTTATATTATAAATATTTCTTACGCATCAGAGAAAATAGGTCTCTTCTTTTTCCTTTTTTCAGTTATGGGTACTCCATCACCGTCCACAATGAAATCATCCTCATCTTCGCTGTCTTCTTCATCAAATGCTTCTGCTTCTGTTCTATGACCATGACTGACTTCGCTTCTTTCATCATCTTCCTACAATCAGAAATAAATAATTTAAAGAATTCTTGGCTTAAAAAATGTATCAAAATCTTACATCTCCAGAGCCTTGAAACAATTCATTTGCAATTGCATCTCTTTCAACATCTGCCTCCTTTTCTTGTTCACCGTCTGATTCCTCATCTTGTATTCTACGAAGACGTTTAAAACGATGTTTCTGAAAGAATAAATCATATAAGGAAACACACGCAGTGATATTCTACATTATGTATCTTTTATTCTCCACATACTCTTGAGACTTTGACTCCCAAATTTTCTTCTAGCAGATCGTAATCTTCTTCTTCTAAACGGTCATCGAAGTCTTCATCATCACTCTTTTTGCGTTTTCCAGAATCATCAGATCCATAACTGTCCTCGCCATCATTGTCCTCAATTGGATTATCATCAATGAGTCCATCAACTACTCCTTTTTTGAAAATGAAAAATGTGCAGAAGGTAAGTATTTTATGTATTTCAGTAATAAAATAGAATAATGATGAAATATAAAGAAGACAAATATAGAAAGTTTGTGTGTACTGAACAGTCTTGAAGGAGTAACAAACAAATCGTGATAATTCATTATATCTATTACACCCATAGATTCATTTATACCTTCATCATCATCTTCCTCATCGTCACTATCCTGCATAGCTTTTAATTTTTTAAGCTTCTTTCTTTCATGAATATCGAGCTCTTCCTCCTCCTATAATGCCATCCACGACATGTTAGGTTAAATAAAATCAACTATTTTTTCTCGTCATATATCAAACGTTTCATTGTTTACCTCACTTTCCTCAGCTTCGGCGTCCAAATAATCAGCCATTTTTTCCTATAAATATGGGCTCTTTCCGACAGGAATATGCAAAAAGAGCGATAACAAAGCGAACGAGCAGAATCGAACGGAACTACTTGGGAACTACTTGGAACTACTTCGTGGAAAGAAGTAACCGTGACATCTGCACAGCTGTTTGATATATATAAAGGCTTGCTCACAAATGAGCACTTGATATCCAATCAGCTGACACAGTCGCTGACTGATTGGTCGAATCGTTACCCTTTTTTTCTTTTTCTTTTCTTATTCGACTGCAGTCTTACAGCCGGAAGTGAATTGATCACCGCAGTAGTTTCCTGTCTGGTTCGCTATTCGTCTGCGACTAAGTAGCACTAAGGCCACTAAGTGGTTTGTAAATTCCTCAATAGCGTGAGCAGTGAGCAGGTGAGCAGCAGTGAGCTAGCGTTACGTGGGAAACCGCGAGGTGAAAACGTGGTGATAGAACGCGTGAAATGATCAGGATACAAATTTGAAAAATCCGAGTAATCCACGAGGATGCCTTCTAAAGAGGAGCCTGCAGGTGACAGTCTCCTGGATAGGCTTGTCAAGAGTGACGAACATGAGGTTGTGAATAGCCGGATTAAGAGCACGGACAACGCTGAAGGGCACAAACTGCGACCAGGAACAGACAGTTTTCCAAATATTAATGAGAAACCGGTCGACGATATTTCTATCGAATTCTTTTATAAACCGCACAGCATTACATTGCTGCTGATTGCGATTGGAGCTGTAATATATTCCGCTTTTACTAGGTAAATCAACGTTTTCTTTCGTTTGTTCACGTTTGGTAAATCAAAATCATTGTAAATATCAGGGCTCGTTTAATGTAGGGATACCAATAATGTGGAGGAAAACATTTGGACTGGAGTACTATGCATCATATTTTTCTTTCTAATCATATCAATTCTCACATTTCCAAATGGACCATTTACCAGACCTCATCCAGTTATCTGGAGATTCGTATTTGGCTGTAGTGTATTGTATTTAATGGGATTACTATTTTTGTTGTTCCAAAATTATGAAACAGTGAAAAAAATTTTTATATGGATTGATCCAGCCTTGGCATCATTTCATATTGATATGGATAAAGAATATGGTGTTAATTGCTCGGATATCACGTTAGAGAAGATATGGAACCACTTAGACATTTTTGCGGTGGCTCATTTCTTGGGGTGGACTTTGAAAGCTATACTCATTCGACATTTTGGTATTCTGTGGGCTATTAGTGTTATGTGGGAAGTAACAGAGATAGCGTTTGCCCATTTACTACCAAACTTTGTGGAATGCTGGTGGGATGCTTTTATACTCGATGTTGTTGTTTGTAATGGTTTGGGTATCTGGGTGGGATTGAAAATTTGTTCGCTCCTGGAAATGCGAGAGTACAAGTGGGTGAGTGTTAGAGACATTGAAAGCACCACTGGAAAACTGAAGAGAGTGATGCTGCAGTTTACACCTGGCAGTTGGACTGCCGTCAGATGGTTGGATCCAACCTGCACATATATGAGATTTGTTGCTCTGTGCCAGTTGGTTATTTTCTGGCAAGTGTCAGAGCTGAATACATTTTTCTTGAAACATGTATATGAATTTCCACCCTCTCATCCTTTTGTTGTTGCAAGACTAATACTAATTGGAGTAATTGTTGCACCATCAGTTAGGTAGGCCATAAACTGTTATATGTAAAGCACTAAGCTGACATGAAGTAATAATGAAATAACAATAATAAAAACTATATACATAATATAATACAGTGCGTTAATGTAAGAGGTATGATATTAATCTGAATTATAGGCAATACTACATGTTCGTAACGGATCCATCGTGTAGTAGAGTAGGAACACAGTGTTGGGTCTATGGTGCAATTATGGTTACAGAAGCATTACTCTGTATTAGGCACGGTGCTGCATTATTTGAGCGCACTCAAGTATTAAATATTCTATTATGGCTCCTTTGTCAATCTCTAGTCTCTGTTCTCTGTGTTTATGGCTGTGTTCTTTGGCATCAATACTTCGAGGTATGTGGCCTCTTTTTTTTTTCCTTTTTAGAGTGGGAGTATTATTCACCTTGTAACTAATTCACTGATTACTTGTGTTTCTTTTTTTTATGCCTTTTGCATGGCTCCCATCTTTTCAGACTGAAAAGAAAGCTACTGCAAAACAGTCAGTTACCCAGCTAGGCAACAGCCATGTGGAAGTAACCCGCAGCACCGGTATGTGTCGATGTCCATCACATTCGTCCGAAGCGTGTAGAACGTTTCATACTAAGCCGATAGTGTACTGAGCTATTGATTTATAATTAACAACTACTAAATATAAAACTAGAGTGGCACTTAAACATTCTAAAGTCTATTATCTAATCAACACGGACGGTATCAAAGCAAAAGGAATTATGTCAAGGATGCTGTTGTTTCATGTCCTTAATATTAAAAAGCACAGATTTTTTGTTTACTGCATTGGCACAGTGTTGTATTTGCAGCAGTCGAAATTACATAGTAAGTCGTGATGATAAATTTGTGAATATTCGTATAAATGCAAGTGCAAGTGCATGAATATATTGTTGAGTTCATGTGTATGTTCATACATATTACCGAAATATTAGAAGCATTTCGTCACGGCTCAGTTCATGGTTGGTTTATGTAAATGCTATAGTAATGTACAATCGAAGCGACTTGTCATCTTTGTTTTAGGGGGTATGGTTCACTCTGCAAAATCTGTGGACACACTGGAAAAGAAGCGATTGTGAAGAAATTCACAGGAAGGAACGACCGACTTAAGGGTGAAGTGTTTACCACTATCAAACTTTCTAGTCGCGCTATATTGACATACGAAGGAGAGTATTTAAATTTAGTACGTTACTGATGGATGTATGAGCTCTCTGATTCTTCTCATATTGCGCCCGTTTACTGTGTGAATGTTATAAAAAATAGATAAATCAAGAATCTTGTTCCTGAGAATAAACGGACAGCGTCGTTACCACTTAAATATATCAGGCTTCCTTATATATACGTATATATAAAGAAAAATAATAATTAGTCGCTATACAATTTATATAGTAAATCCACTGGTTACATCGTCAAACTGAAGAAAAGGAAATACACCGCAAGAGTAACTTGGACTTATCTCCGAACCCTTCGGGCAATTCCAAGCTTCGCCCAAGAGTCTATTGTTAGACGCTGACAAAAAGATGCGAATGCGACTCGGTAACTGCTCGTCCTCGTACAGTGACACATACGACGTCGTAAGTGGTGACTTCGTGCAGTGCATCTATAAAGATAGCGAAGGAAACATTTCAGTTTAACAGTAATCGTCTTAATAATTGTAGATATTAAAACGCTAAATGCCATGATTTTCATTGTAACAAGAGTACCTGAGCATAGGTGAGATAGAATAACTGATCCGAATCAAGATTAAGCCATGGAAGATGAACTTCCTTACGAGATCTCAATCGATCCAAAGTATCATAGGCTAATACGAGTCCCATCGTCTCGGATAATCGTACGTTCAGCGACAATGACGAAATCTGAAATGTGGTTGCTTTTGACAAGTAGAGTATACCAAACGGGAGTGTTTCACTTCGAAATAATATTTTTACATTTTAACGATTTTATAAAGGGGAAGGGGAACGTAATGTTTTCACCTTGTAATACACAGTTTGTCCCGTAGATGGTAACGTCATCATCAAAGAATGTCCGTAAATATCGTATCTTTGACACTCTACGTAATCATGGAAAATCGTATCCGCGTCGCTGTTGTCGTGTAAAATAGATACGTTGTTTATAACTCCAGATTTATAATAGATACCTGGCATACAGTAAAAGTATATTGTTGGACATTTGGATAGTGATATATCTTTATAGATTCTTAAAGATCGGCCGTTATGAATTTAATATGTTGTATACTGCGACGTTTGTATGATTAGTTACAAATTACCACGGTGGTCGAAATGATGAGCAATTTGATGTGCTATCGTGTTGCCAAGCGTCGCAAACTTTCTGTAATCGTACAACCGTGCATCATACTTCGTGGACCAGTCGATCGCACCGAACGGTATCACAACGAGATCTAATCCGTAAATCGCAAGCCCTTTAGATTGAAACGGCATTGCGTAATGCGTCCAACTGTATATTAAAACCACTTAAAGAAATGACTCGATGATGTTTTGTACACATCTGAACTGTAATAGGCCAGAACACTTACATTTGTTCAGGATCACCCGGATTCCTAAATAATTGTTCGTATATCCGACTCCGCAACCTTAGCATTAATATGATAGAATTCTCAAAGTAATTGTCCGATAGATGTACCTAGAATTAATTCGCTATTTTACTTAGTGTAAATAATTTTTTTACAAGACCGATAACGTTAGCTTTTCTAAACGACGTATTGTGCACACACGTTTGTTATTGTTTGTCCTGAAATTAAATCCTTATTTTATTTTTATCCGTACCTGGTCCTCTTTCATTAGCTTGTAAATCGAGCCGATGGGAGCGTAATATGAAATATCGGGCGTGACGACTTCCATGTCATCGATTTTACCGTATAACTTTTCACGTCCTTCTTCTGGGATCCATTCTGCCCGTTTTATTTTTAGTTTTAACGTTTCTTTCAGTTCCTCGAACAAAGTGTGTATCTGTTGCATATTCACAATAATATGTACTCCATGGAATGATATTTTTAAATAATCTCGGTATACAGCAAGTGAACTCTTACGGTAGTATTCATGTATAGGAGTTCGTCGCTCGAGAAAGAGGAGAGATATAAATCCGATGCTTCCGAAGCTAAAAGATTGGTGGCCACACGAAGACAGTATTTCTTAGGATCGCCATGTTTACGTAAAACCATCTGCGAAGAGTATTCGCTACAAAAAAAATATGAAATAAATCGCAGAAAAAAGAAGGGCCATATATACCTGCTGGTAAATTTGTTGCGCGTACAGCCCTAATAAGGCGTTATTGAATTGCATCGGGTCTCTGGCTTCGAACTCCTGAAGATTCTGCAACCCTTTGTACAGGTCATTGTAAAAGTAAACTTGCACAGTTGCATCTATTAGAACGTTCTTCTTCGTTAACATGTAAATTAGTTTCGTCCAATTAATCTACAAAAATATTGCACGTAAAGTTAAATCGATTCGATAAAATTTTAATCAATCATTCGGACGCTATCGTTATGTTCGCGACGAAAAATAAAGATGGTGGACTCGAGCGATTAATTTGATCCGACTATATTTAAACTGTACACATGAAACTTTCATCTTACAAAATTCAATTTCGTCTGCAGATCCCGTATCGTAACGTGACTGTACTCTTTCATAACGTACGCCTCGCGAATTTTATCCTTGGATGGATATTTCTGAAATGCAACAAATTATCTTCTTATTATCAAGCCATTTCGGAATATGCTTATAAAGATGATCGGTCTCGGTTTTTTTTTTCTAGGCTAAACATAATTGTAGTAATGCGTGTATAAAAACTAACGGCGAAAAATTTCTGCACGATTTCCAAATCGATGTTGATGGCCGTCGTCTGTACATACTGGGAGATGTTATACGGATTGCCCAACTCGTTGAAAACTCCAAGTACCGTCAAGGCTTCCGTAACGGAATTTATAAACTCCTTGGTGTTGTTCTGTCGAAAACAAGAGATAATGTTCAATCTTATAGAACACTCTAAAACACTCTATAAATCATGAAATTCTCCTTTTTTTTTTTTAAGACAACGTAGTTTTTTTGAATGAATACATATCCGTACTTTGCACGTTTTGTACTCTTTGTACAGTGCCGTCAGATCCACCTTCTCTTGGTCAATCTTATTTCGACTCGCGTAACAAGCATCGTCCGTCTCCTCTGTCTCAAATGGATCTCTGTACGTGGTAGGACCTATCTTAAGGGTGAACTGTTTCGGTACATACTCGTTCAGAGCCGGAGACACGTCGAATAACAAAGCGCTGAAAACAAAAAGAAGAAGAATGAAAAATCGACGAGTGTGCGATATATTTTTGTACAGTTGTCGATTGTACGGGATCTCCCCTTACCTATTATGTAACAATAGTTTAGCAACCAGCTCCGTGAAGTTCACGCGATCTCTATCGAAATTGTCGGTAGTGTAAAACCTTCCAACATTATTTAATGCTTTTCTCGCTGTATTGAAAATGTTATATTATTAATGATTGTACAGTAAATGTATATTCAAATTGGGCAACAGTGTCGCTTTTTCCCATTCACGTACCCAGCCGTATCCTTTCTGACAAGATCACGTTCTCGTATTGCACGCAGCTGAGGTAGTAGCTGATGAACGGGGATGTATCACCTTTGTGGATCCGTGCTTGCGTTTGTTCTGAGAATAAAATAAAACGTAAGTGTATGCATGGTCCCTACTGAAAAGCACTGTGCATAAATTGTTTTTCTATCGCTTAGAGGCCTAGAGAACTAATGAATATACTAAAGTATTTCTTTTTTTGGGGGGAGTTCTAATGTCCTTGAGATGATCTTGAATGTTTTACTTTTAATTGTCGCTTGTTATACCCGTCCCGTGACGTGAATCTTAACTAACGTTAACTAAAGAAAGATCCATACGCAGTATACGCTCGTAAGCCGCATTTTCCAAATCCAGATCTACGGTCTGTTGATTCGCCTCGAAACCGCCGCAGGCGTACTCGTAAAAATCATCGCACGGATCCACTGTGTGATTCATATAAAATAACATTTTGCTAGCCACGTTTTTGCATTCGCCTGTTGTGCAGACTACTTTCTCGTTCTCGTAGCCGGAAGTCGTGGTCAAAGGACTTCTTGTTGTACTGTTTTCCACTGTGTTTGACGTAAAATCGGTGGTTGTACTTTGAAGACTGGTAGTTGTAGTTTCAATTGTAGTATTTTCTTCGCTTCTAGCTGTCATTTCAATTGTAGTACTTTCTTCATTTCTTGTTGTCGTTTTAATTGTAGTATCTTCTTCGCTTCTGGTTGTCGTTTCCATTGTAGTGCTTTCTTCGTTTCTGGTTGTAGATTCGATAATACTGTTCGTGGTAGTTTCAGATTCGACGAAAGCAGTCGTTTCGGAAATGAAATCCGTGGAAGTGAAGATCTGTGTAGTAGAGTTTTCAGATCCTGTGATATCGTTCTTGACACGGTCTTCTGTAGCGAAACTCGAGGGATCGGTTGTTGTAGAAAAAGTCGAATTCTCGAGTAAAGAATTTATGTCGACCGTTGACGAATCCTCGTGCAATAGACTGTTATGTACTAATTCGGTTGTAGTTATTGAGGATGTTGATGCCTCTTGTTCCGTAGTAGTATCTGCATTCATAGGTCTTTCAAATACAGACGAGTTATTGGTCTGATTTGTAACGTTCATCACGATGGGGTCTTGCGTCGATAGCTCGAGTTCTGAAGTTGTTGTTTCCAGTTCGGTCGTTTTATTTGGTAACGTAAAATTATTCGAATAAATTCTATTCGATTCCGTTGTGCTTGTCGTTTCCCTTGTGCGGTAATCATATTGACGATGATGACCCTATATTACATATCAAGATAAGGAACTCCGTGGATCCGTTTCTTATAATTATAATTTGAAGAAAAAAGACCTTACCTCCATAGATCCTACTTTTTCATCTTCGTAATCAGAATAACTGTGATTCCTTCTCCACGGTAAAGTCGCGAGAATAAGGATGACGCAGATAAAGAAAAATATTAATAATGTGAGGACACAACTCCTATAAGATTGGTCACGTTCAGCTGATTTACCCTCCTTTCTATTAGTGATTTGATAAACTGCGCGTGATGGCATTTTTAATTATGATTTTCTATGCTTGTTCGTATACACTTTAAAAAAGGCTTTGCTTTCATCGGAACTATGAACTTTGGTTTAACCAGTTGTCCTAGTAAAGAGTCTAATACTTTTTCTACTGCAATGAATCCCGAACGTTAATCTAAGGGAGCTGGTGATTGTGGTTGCACTAACCACTTCCTTTCTACTTATCATATAATTAAGTGGACAAGAACTCGTGAAGTATGATATCGCTACCTTTTTTTTTATCAATTTACAAGGAAGCATGCTGGATAGAAAATTATGCAGGTTCCATGAGAAATTGGCTCTGAATTAAATTCAATATTTATATTGATACAAACACCATTTCTTTTACATACATCCATAAATTCCAAACGACCTAAGGAAGGCGACATTAAAAATACTTAAGATAGATATAAGTTACTTATATTAATATATTTTATAATACAATTATCACAGATATGTAAACTACAAAATATTATATGCTATTATAAAATGCAACTCGCAGTTTGCCAATGATCCCATTGCACGTACTATGACAACTTATCTACAATCTAGACTATTATTATAATTTAAATACAATTAAAAAATATATTTAAAAACTCTATTCGCCTATTTGTTGTACCGAATATATATCAATGTTGCGTTTGATTTCATTGTCCGCTGCATCAGATTTGATGAATGCTTCGATCGTTGAACCAAGTTCTTTTGATACAGAATTATTCTCTAATTTTTTGGTAAATGTTTCGTCTTTGTAGTCGTCAGACTTAAACGTTTCGGAGGTAATCTAAAAAAGTACGTACAATTAGTCAAAAAAAAAAAAAGGAAAATGAAAATGTGAAAGTGACAATGATCTCTATGCAAGTGCTAAGGTTACTACTTTTCTTTGTATTTCGTCAGCCTTAAATTTCTCTAGTTTCTCCTTATCAGCAAGTCCAATTGCAGTCTTCGATGATGTTTGTCTCTTTGGAGTAGGTTTCCTTGGTTTAAATGATCCAGAAGCTTTCCTAGGTAACTGCGAACTTGTGTGCTTCTTAGATTCATTTGATTGGTCGCAATTATGAGTCAGTAACTGGTCTTTAGTTTTAAATGCCTGCAACGGACATTTTAATAGTCATTCTTTCTGTGACAATTATTTTCTACCGATCGGCTTTCAACAGGACACTTACGTGCGAACAAATTTCGCATTTCAAACTATGCTTGTTCATCTCGTGATGCTTGAGAGCTTGTGCCCGATGGAAATTACGATTGCAATGACTACAACTAAATCTTTTGATATTGCTGTGCGTCAGGAGATGACGCTTTAATTTGTCGGGTCGGGAGAATTCGCTCATACAACCTAAGTAACCTCTAAAAGGACACTTTAATCTCTTAGTAAGATCGTGAATCAGCATGTGGCGACCCAGACGATCTTTTCGTTTGAATCTGGCTGGACAATGCTGTTATGAAAAAAAAAAAGAAAAAAAAAAGAAATAGTTATATGTATTTAAACACGCGAGGAGATTTTACAATTTTGAAATTCAATGTGTATCACTTACTGGACACAAAAATGGTGTCTCCTCGCTATGTATTAACTTATGATTGGCTAAGTATTGCTCGGTTTTAAAGGCCTTCCCGCAATCCTCACAGGCAAATCGTGCGGACGACGCGTGCGTTTTCAAATGACGCCGCAAAAATCGTTCGATCAAGAAACTTTTACCGCAATGTAGACAGGCATAGTCGTGTGTTGTCGTTTCTGTATGGTGTTGCAAAGCCTCCAGATTCGAGAAAGAGGACTTACAAACAGAGCAACAGTAATACTTCTCTGTTGTCTTTTGCTTTTGGACGGAGTGGGCATACTGATGAAGCCCAAGATCAGACAGAGTATTGAATACCTCGCCGCACACGTGACAACGATACTCTGATCTCTGATGACTACGAGTATGTTCTAAAAAATCCTCCAGTTCGGAGAACATCATGCTACAACTACTTTGCACGCATTTGTACACTTTCAGTGCTAAGTGAGAGATTATAAGGTGGCCCTTTAGAGCCTTGTACGAATCAAATATTTCTTTACAAAACTGACAATGATAGGTACGATCTATACTCCCATCTGGTGGTGCCTAACAATAATTTTATAGACTATTACAAATGAATACACGGAATATAGTTATATATTCTGGCGTAGTGTTCGAAATACCTCAGGGGGTAGGGAGTGTATAGCAGTGCCAGGCCACACTTTGTGGGATGACATGTGCTTCTTCACATTAGACTTTTGTGCGAATGCACGTCCACATACAACGCATTGATACGGTTTTTCCCCCGTGTGAGAACGCTCGTGTTGCTGCCAATAAAATTTTTTTGCAAACTGCTTGTTACAATAACTACACTTGTACTGCAATGAAACATTTTAATCAGACAAATGAGAAGATCCAGATTCAAGGACCTCGCTAATTCATCATAGTACATACTTTTAAATTCTGTGTTTGATTACTAGAAGTTTCTGATTCTGTTGATAGAGTTTCACTAGCTACTGGTAAATCGACTGCTTCTAAAGTATTAGCAGCTTCATCCTGAGGGATATCACTTGGTAGAACTTGAGGTACTTCGTTCGAATCGTCTTTCATAGGCTCATTATCTGTCGGAATAGTAGAGCTGGCGAAAGTATCTAAACTTTCTGAACTCAATATAATTGGAACACTAAACGTGGAATCTGTTGTAAAATAACTAGCACCCTCTTGGTCCATGCTATAACAAATATAAGATACATTATAGATTTCATTCCTTGCATGTCAATCAGTGAATTAGTTATAGCTAACCTGAACAGCATGTCTGATTCTTCGAGTATAATTGGCTCGCTAAGTTGATCACCTTGAACAAATGTTTCTTGTGGATTATATTCTGATGCATCTTCATCAGTATTTTCTGGGTGGACTGTCTGGTTTTCATCATTTACCAAAAATTGGCTCAAATCTATGGTTTCTTCTTGCGTTTTTTGATGAGTCCTTTTGTGCAATACAAACATGTGTAACGATGTAAACTGACTCTTACATTTCCCACACTGAAAGATATCTTCTTCATCCTGATCGATCGCTAAATGAAACACAAAAACAATAATATTACAAAGTCATGTCATGAAAACTACTCAGGTATTAAATCACCGCACGTTAGTAGGTTATCAAAATTTATCAAAAATATCTACCTGACTGCTCCACTTCTGTTATTAGAGTCTGAGACTCCAATAACGATTGCACAGAAGGACTGTCCAGCGACACGCCTGCAAAACCCGAAAAGCGACTGAACATAAGTGTCTGAAATGGTATCTCGATTTTCTTTCAGAAAGAAAGACAAATAGGATACTTGTTGGTTAACCCCACCTATGTCTACAATAGAAAAGTGTTACCTGTTAGAGCGTCAAAAATCGATTGCGCCATGTTTCTCGATGATCTTAACGCCTCATTTTAAACGAAACCAGCGATCAGACCTCTCATAAGTCGTTTAACGTGACGAAACCGAGGAAATACCAAGTCGAAAACATACCGAGAATTTCTACGCCCTGGCAGCGTTGTTGCTGACCAGGCTAGCGAATGATAATCGATATGTCGACTGCTAAGAGCGATTCTAACCTCAAGCACAGACGAGGCATAAGAATAGACTTATCACCTTACGGAACTTAGTTACTCCAGGGATCTGTAATACCGATATCTTCAAAAGCCTGCAATTGTAGCATCACATGATAGGTCTATTCTATACCTACTCGGTGCTAGTATTTTAGGATTTATGCCGTAGATGGCACCATGGCTCACTTTGACTACTTTTCCGACATGTACAAAAATTAAATATGTATTAAATTTCTTCACTGGATTAATAATGAATTATTACATATAAATTTTAATGTTTAATATTTGTAGTGGTCCTTGATTGGTTAAAGTGGAATAAACTGTAATTTCCGATTACCAATTCTGCTCTAAATAGTTCTCGACTGAGTTTGCACATGAATATGATAACACCGACTAGGTAATCCCTCGTCTGCGATAGTATGATGAACGGAAGTATTGTCATGTAACTAGAAGAAAATGAGAAAGAACCCGCGAAACTCGTTTGAAATATAAAAAGAACACTGCCTTTCACTGAAATCCGGTTGAGGTATTTGAACTCTAACTGCAATCGTGCAGCAGAAACGCTTTCACAAGAAGTATATTACACTCATATCGCCGCAATGTGTTGAAAGGCTACAATATCGTGATTTTAAATTATAATAACAGGAAAAGTGATAATATAAACTGTCACGACTTTATGACACATTTGTACATTTGTTGCTTTCAAAGGATTTATAATTATAGTTTCTGTTTGTCATGTATCCTTGGAGGAAAGTATTAACAGCTGCATTCAAATGGCCTGTGAAAAAATTACACACCTCGAAAATTCTGTAAGTAACTTACATTTATTATTTAAAATGTTTAAAGATATGTTAAAATTACTGAAATATTATAACTTTGTATAAAATATGAATGGTACGAATGTAAATAAGCTAGCACAAATGGTAATTACAAAGAAAACCATATGTAGGTACTTGATACATCTCTTTGAAAGACATATTACTTTTTACAATGTTATACACATATATTTCTTCCAGGGAAAAAGCTACAATATTAAATGGTAATAAAATTGCTAATGACATTCACAAGGAATTAAAAGTGATTGTCGATGTTTGGGTAAAAGATGGTAATAGAAAACCAAATTTAGTGGCTATATTAGTTGGTAATAATCCAGCCAGTAAAGTATACGTTCAAAGAAAAATGAAAGTAGCAACTTTAATTGGTAATAAAGTATTTTAAACAGAAATATCTTAATAAATCCAATGAAATATATTAATACAAGATTTAATAATAGTATTAATAATTAAGATACAAATAACACGTTCCTTTGTTAATATTTCAGGAATTGAAAGTTCCACACTTCTTTTTGAGGAAAGTATAACACAAAAAGATCTGATGAAAACAATTGATCAGCTAAATAAAAATGAAACTGTAAATGGTATTCTTGTACAACTGCCATTACCAGAGCATATAAATGAATACGAAATATGTCAGAAAATTGTACCACACAAAGATGTGGATGGATTTCACTCTGATAATATAGGTAGACTATCATTAAACAATGATACCCTCATACCTGCGACTGCTTTAGGTGTAATGGAATTAATACTTAGGAGTAAAATAGACACTATTGGGAAAAATGCAGTGGTTGTAGGAAGATCAAAACATGTTGGTTTACCGATTGCCTTACTTCTACATACTAGATGTCAAGGTATATCATTGCGTAGACAATATAATTTTAAAAGTATAATATATATAAAAACTGAAGACTGTAAATTTTAACAGCAAATTGTCTCATAGGTAATTTAGGAGGTTTAGACATGACTACAACAATATGTCATCGTCATACTCCCCACACTGAACTAGTACAATTTACAAAATTAGCAGATGTAGTAGTATCAGCAACTGGTATTCCTGGCTTAATCACTAAAGACATGATAAAACCTGGAGCTTGTGTAATCGATGTGGGGATATCAAGAATAAAGAAAGGAGACAAGTACAAATTAGTGGGAGATGTGGATTTTGAAAATGTGAAAGAGGTAGCTGGGTACATTACACCAGTACCAGGCGGTACAGGTCCTATGACTGTAGCAATGTTAATGAAAAATACAATTTCAGTAACTATAAAGAATTATCAGTGGAAAGAATAATTAGATTTTAATAAAGCTGAAGCTTTTAATAGATACGCATTAATTTATGACCAGATTGCAGATGTTCATGTAAATTTCTATTCTCACAGATTATTTCACAAAAGTTAGAATCTGTCATATTTATTTCACTAATTAGGAGGATTTTTAAGTTAGATAGAAAATGTTATCTACTTCATTTTTATTGGAACTTTAGTTTTACTAAGGTTACACACTTATACAATTAATAAATTGCAGTAATCATAACTTTCACATGACCTTACACTGATACTATTTTTCATTATATTCACTAATTGTAATATAAATATACATATGTACACTCATTAATTTATACAAAGTAAATAAATTAATGAATTATATATATATACTTATATCTACATACAAAATGTGTATTAAAAAATGTATTCAGCAGACTCATTTTGGGAAATTAAGTTATTTAACAATATTTTTATGTAATGAAAATATGTATAGTATCGCATTGTATACTTATTTCCTTCAACTTTGATACTGTGAACTACTTTCAGTAAAATATAATCAAATGATACTAACCAGGGTTATGTTTTTGCCATCAGTATATGTTTTCATACGTACCGACAAAATTTAATTACACGAAAAAAAAAAAACATGTTAGCGTTTAACTTCGTTCGGTTGATTAAGTCGAGTCGAAAATGTTTACTCTCAATTACTCCCACGTGGTCGTCGTATGACAACCAAAAATTTTTCGCAGACTGTTCAGCGAAAATGAGTCGACCAAAAGTTTTAATTACTCGCCCGGACATCCCAATTTCAGGATTAATTTTACTGCAGGAACAGTAAGCACTTTCACAATACTGTATATACTGATTTTGTTTATCTTTCTAAAGAGCACCACACTTTTAAATCTTTATATTCTATTATATAGGACACGTATTTGATAGGGAAAAAAAAGTATATTGTCCAATAAGTGTGTATTTTAAGTATTTTATTCAAATTTTTTATGTTTTATGTTCTAACTATTTATATAGGAAATGATATCAAATAAAAGTTGTCTTTTCTCTACACCTTGTAACAGATGTGACATTATCCAGTGGGAAAAGCCAGAACCAATACCAAGATCTGCATTACTATCAAAAATACAAAATGTTGATGGAGTTTATTGTTTACTGACAGACAAAATAGATGATGAAGTCTTAAATGCCGCTGGATCACAATTGAAAGTAGTTAGTACTATGTCAGTTGGGGTTGATCACCTAGATTTAAAAGCTTTAAAAAACAGGAACATCAAAGTCGGTTATACACCTGGTATCTTAACAGATGCAACAGCAGAATTAACTGTAGCATTGCTATTAGCTACATCTAGACGATTAATTGAAGCAAACAGGGCTATTTACAAGTATGCAATACAGTACATATATAATGAATCACATATACATAAAAATTAAAGTCATTGAATATCAAACTATTTGAAAGATTAAAATATTGTTTGTAGGGGTGAATGGAAAGCATGGTCACCTACTTGGATGTGTGGACCTAGATTATCTGGATCTGTAGTTGGAATAATAGGACTAGGTCGTATTGGCAGTCAAGTAGCAAAAAATCTTAAAAGTTTCAACGTTGCCAAAATATTGTATACGAGTAGATGTGTTAAAGAAGAAGCATCTGAATTTGGGGGAGAAAAAGTAGAATTTGACGAGTTACTGCAAAAAAGTGACTTTGTAATTGTTACAACAGCCTTAACACCAGAAACAAGGCTAATGTTTAACCAAAGTGCATTTGAGAAAATGAAAAAGTCTGCTATATTTATTAATGTTAGCAGAGGAGAAGTTGTTGATCAATTTGCCTTGATAGAAGCTTTAAAAAAAGGCACAATCAGAGGAGCTGGCTTAGATGTTATGACTCCAGAACCCATTCCATTAGATAGTGAACTGTTAAAATTGGATAACTGTGGTAAATATAACATTTATATATTAAAAAATGTATGATTAATTATTTACATTTTAATTCTTGTTCTAGTGATACTGCCTCACATTGGTAGTGCTGCCACAGAAACAAGGGATGAGATGTCAATAATCACTGCCAGAAATATTCTAGCAGTTCTAAAAGGAACACCAGACCAAATGCCTGTTCCACTCGAATTATAAGTATAAATTATGTAAAATACTAACACCAATTACATATATAATTCGTATACAGAATACATTTATTAATACTTTATGTCTATCTGTACATATTTATAAACTGTATTTAATATACATACATATATGAATCGATTTATCCATAAGATTTATGTAACATTTAAGGAATAACTACACATTAATCATATTGACTAGCATTACAGTTACTTCATTCTTCTGAAGTACTCAGATTCCTTATTGTTTTTATTAATATTAAACTTTGTTCATATGCAGTGAAATGTAATGCTGTTGTTACTGCAGCTTTTAACTGACTTGGTACTAAACCTTTAAACAACCCCTTCACACCTTCTACTTTTAATGTCAGTCTTAGACAATCTATTAATCCTCTGCAGTGGAAAAAAGTACCAAAGCCTTTTCTACCATGCTGAAATCCTTGTATTTGTAATCTTTTTCTACTAAGATCAAGTGGGTATACTGCTGTTTTAGCTAATAGACCAGCTGCACTACCAGATATCATAGAATTAAGGAAACTTGTATCAGCTTTATCGCTGTATCTTTTATACACATCGGTGAAAAGTCCATACAATAGGAATTGCAAACCACTATGCGGTATAATTTGCAATAAAGTTGGTAGTAATCCATTAAAAAAAACTGTTGGAGATTCATGCTTGAGAATGCAACTGAAAAGACATTTTCGACGGTAATATTATTATCCATAATAATATTTTCAGTCTTTTCTAAAAAAAATTACCTGCAAGAATGAAGAATTCCCTTATACACTCGGTGATTACTCGATTGTGCCACTAATCTAGTTCTTATGGTATCAAAAGGAAATGAGGTAGTGGTAGCTATGGAACCTGCACCTGCACCTGCTACAAATTTCATTGAATATTTCCACTCATTTAATTGTGAAAAGTTGTCACTTGTTTTCATAATCATATTATATGCATAAAACTGTAAATTGTGAACTATTATATCATATAGTTCTATATGCATGTTAAACCATTTCTATAATTCTTTTTTATTTACCTGTGTCATTCCATAAGCAATAGAAAGTAACTGAGCAGGAATATGTCCTTTCCAAAGTGCAAGAATACCCTCTTCCTTAAATATCATAAGAAATGCTTGCACTAAAGAATGATATTTACTAACACTATGAGGAGTAATAGGTTCAACTTGTAACTATAATCATAAAATCTGTTCTTACTATAACATACCCAGTATTGTGAATATTTTATTATTATAGTTTTTTATATTAATTTTTACCTGAAATCTAATTTTTACAACATCTAATGGTTGAGAAACAAATCTTGTTACAAAACCACCAATAGCTCCAGCTATAGCATGATCTGTATTGTGATCGCTTACTTTTAACGAAGTACCCATAATTCTTTCTTTATTTTATCTAGCTCATGATAATTACAGTGTACAAAATTAAAACTATAAACAGAAACTTAACAGCAATTTTCTTTTTTATTAGTAACAAGGAATGATACACACAACACATAACAAAGAAACTTTTTGTTACATTTCAATTTCCAATGTGTTTTATGTTCTTAATAATAATAAATATGAACAAAACAGCATATAGATCGACGTCGTTAGGTAAACGCCAATTTATAAAAACAATTTATGTGTTTCCTCTAAAAATTAAAACCTACCAATAGGGAAAATGGGAAAACATAATTGCAAGTATTTCAAAATCGGCGAACAAACACATACTTGACACTTTATCCATAACCTACGTTTGTTTCAATGACAGATTAATTTTTTTTTGTTACTGCGTTGTTTCGTTGTTACTAAGTAACTTTATGACTTTCAAGTAAGAGATAACAACTAAAATATACACACGGCCATTTTTAAATTCACCATTAGGTATTTTTATTATTTTTATTTTAGTATTATTATTATTGTTACGATTTAAGTACCTAGTTTTCAATGTGTAGTCTATAGTAATAAATAATATTACTTAATATTCTTATTTAACATTGTAATTGATCTTCTGTATTATTTCAGAAATTGATGAATAATCGTCGAAGTTAATAGAATACTTTAAATTGCTATAATCTTTCGCTAACGTTGCCAAATCGTATCCCCAACGACTTCTGAGAACAATTTCTATACTCGATTTAGATGGAATATACAAATGACCTTCTCTGGATATTAAATCCAATTGTTTAATAAAATTATGCTGAAAAGTTTATTGTTATATTTATGATTATTAGAATAATTTCACCATGGTTTTTAAAGATTTGTTAATTGCCGGAAGTTAACACGTTTTTTCTCTTTGTATACTTACATGGTTTTTTAACCGATATGTTTTCCACAATTCGATATATAATTTATGCAAATTGAAAATAATTGTTTCATATATTATAGAAATATTTTCGAAAGTATCATCGAACGTATCGAATTTCTGACTCTTTAAATCGCAATCGTTTATTCTTTTGGAGTGCCATTTTTTAAAAAATCTATTTCGTACACCGTTCTGTATGTACAAACATTTAATGGTTGTGATTTCTGGATTTGTAGGAAACACTTCATTACACGATTGAAAAATATCATCTTCAGAACCTTCGATTAAATGAATCACATAATCAGAGTACACGAGAAGCAATCCTGTAATACGTTGCGAATATTTTTCTTTTATTACTTTATCATATAATAATATAACATCGTCACAACTTGTAATTTTTGCGCAAAAGATAAGTCTACACAAGTTGAGCTTTTTCATTTCACGATTGTAATCGAATACAGATTTTCTCACGGGTTCTTCCATTTTTAGATATTTGTTTAATCAATACATCCACATACAATTTCAGCAACATAAGTATACCTTAATGTAAATCCTTGTAAAGTACATGATTCTCAGTTGCGCTTACTTTAATTACAATCAATATTTAAAATTTTTATTTAAAATAAGATCAATAATGAATAATTCATTTTTTAACATAAAAATGATAATGCTGGAAAAGTTATTGATAACTGGAAATAATAACGTATTTGTATTTCTGAAACAGGATTTACACTAATGTGTAAAGTCTGCTTTCGTTGGGGGAAAAAGTTACATAGAAGAAATACCTCGTATCACTTAGTAAATTTATTTCAAATACTGGAACAAATGTTAAACCGGATGTTAATTTAGCATAAATTGCAGTAATTTCCGACACCAAGTGGTAAGAGGTCTTTCCAGTACACCATTTTTTCCTCTAGCGGAAACGGAGTTTGCACGTTAGTGTACGTAGGTCACGAATAACAATCAGAAACATTGAGTTTAGAATTTATTACAGAGAACTAAAATTGTGATACATTGACGTGCGATAATTTCTAAAGTGCTTTAAACATTTAGAAGGTACAGAATCAACAAAACCATTCATCATTTAGAACGCTGATTTCAGTGTCATGGCGGTTTTTAATAATCCGTCAGATCGATGGAAAGTTCAAGTCAAACTACATTTTTTGTACATAGGTAACCTTACTAGAAGACTGAATTATCAAAAAAAAATCTTCTGGTAAATTGGGACTATTTTTATATAAATAGGAATATAACAGTAAGACATACATGTAATAAAAGTGTAGCTTCACAGTCATTATATTATATTCAGTGCGTTCTGCGATTTCACTTTACAGACACAGACGAACAGAACAACTTTATGATATGGCCCAGAGCAAAAGCTGGTCATATCAAAAAAATTGGAATGAATACTGATAGTTTACTATTACTTCTCAACTTACTAAGCCGTTACTTCGGAGACGCGCTGGGAACTAAAGAAAATTAAAAAGATTATGCTTAAAAATTCAGAAACGTATAATTGAAATAGACCATTGTAACAGATTCTTAATGAAATGAGTTTATGAAAGCCTTTTATAATTTAAATTTGATTTTCCAAGATTGTCATGATCAGCTTTCTAGTAAGTATTTCTTGTACTTAATATCTTCAAGCAGCAATTAACTACCGTTTACTTACTTTTTCATTTCTGCGCGTCTCTACGAGTGAAAAAAGAAGTATAAAATATTGTATAACTTAAATTTGTCAAGATGTTTTCTCCCGTGTTTCCTGAATTCTTTTACACTACCACTAACAATCATAAATAAAAATAACATAAAGTGTTATCCGAGCACATAACTAAGACATAATAATGCAACCTGCATGGAGAACTTTCTCTAATCACAGATTAAATAAAAATTGTGAGAAGTTATAGATCTCCAAGAAGTTCACTTATTGAGAGATGTGATCGTTAAGTCGAGAAACAAATCAACTGGAATAGTCGAAACTTCTTCCCATATCGAATCGTTTATGTTTCGCGGAGAACATGTTTTCTCTTCCTCGGCTACTGTATCCCCAACGATCTAAAAATTTACATGGATAATATTTATTAGATTATAAACAATACTATAACACGAGTTATTGCTTAAGTATTTTACATAAAAATCTTCGTATTCGATGTAGTTACTGTACTTACTTCGGCTACCGTAATTTCCGCTTCGGTCCGCGAGTTCAGACAACTTTGGATTGACTACTTGGTTAGCTTCTTTAAGTACATTAATTAAATCTTTAGCCTGGCGACCATTCTGCGGTGTAAAGAACGCGTAACTGGTTCCTGTACAATTTGAACGGCCGGTCCTGCCAATTCTATGGATGTAGTCTTCAGATGACGACGGATAATCGAAGTTGATCACGTACTTTACATCATCGACATCTAAAGAAATAATTCGATTAAAATGGGTACCAAAGCATAAAGTTTATGAATCTAGACTTTAATTACGATCGTTATTTTAAAGATATACAAAACTTATTACAATATATTTGGACCATCGCGTTCTTTTTAACTGTATATTTAAAATCATTGTTCGAATAACAAAAGAATCTTATTCTTATGTGTTACTCTTCCTTCCGAATCATACATATGCAGCCAAACCTATAATCATACACTAAACCTTTCTGGTATATAAATCATGAACATAGCAGACAATCAGTAGCTGTAGAAAGTATTCAGAGACTGCGTAAAATCAATTATTGTGTTGCTTATTATAAGGATCTTTAACAGTTTTATTTCTTCATTACAACAAAAAAAAAAAAATTGAACGTATTAAATATAGTTCTGAATATATTGAACAGATCAATTCTATTGGAGAAAGAACTACTATAATACGAAGTGTAACCTTTAACATATAAATATTTTATCAATAAATAAATCTATTCGTAGGTTTCGTCTTTTAAACTAATTACGAAACTTAATATTCCTAATGATTTCATATTTATATAATATAGGTTACCTACAGTGTCTTGATAATTAAACTAGCTCGAAACTTTCTACATTATTCCTGCTTCCGATACTTTACACGATAAGTCCATGAAGAATAATGTTTTCAAAGTATTTGCATCGACCTCACATGTTAAATGCATATGAGTGTAAGTTAGCTGCATAATAATAAATACAAACCCTGTTACCGCTGAAACATTGCATTCCATGTGACTGCATACAGAGCGCCCCAGGGGGTGTGCTATTCTTGAATGCAAGTACACATCGCAATGTTGTGTCCTAAGCATCACCAGCGAGTAGCGATAGTAGCAAAATCAATAGATTGTTGTCTCTCACACCGGCTGAGCATTGGCTACGAAGTGTGACGGTTGTATCGAAATGCAAACCGCAGAGTCTTTATCACACACCCAACCAGCGCGATAACGGCACCACCCGCGCACCACTCTACTACTTGCGTGGTACACAGGCTGAACAACACAGAGGCACATTAAGTACAATATTATGTGCAAAACAGAATTGCGCATGTACAGTGAGTGAGCCATGTTTTTTTTCTTTATCGTTTTCATCGCACACTCAACACAATTTGTGCACCATGTGCCTCTGAAACAAAGGACAACCAGACTGATTAACATAAATTATAAGATGCCCACACTTACTACTAATTTCCTGTATTCCAATATTTGCTCTCAATTCTTTACCACAAGCGCACGATTTCAAATATTTCTCCTTCGTGTTTCAATTAAAATAGATTGCATTAGTGAAATTCATTATAAAATGCTGGTAAAATAGTTATACAACGGACAAAAAAAAAAAAGAATTGTACATGCTACCTAAAAAATGCGCAAACAACCTAATCTTTACTATTACAATAAGGACAAAAGCCGTAGAAAGAATTTCGGATATAAAAGAAATTACCTTCATGAATGGCGAAGCAAATAAAATAATAAACCTATTCCCAAAATTCGAACCCTTTGTATAAATCCTATTTAATCCCTGTAACTATGTAAGAAAACTCAATATGCTGTAAAATATCCTGTGTACTATAAAACTATAATGATGAAGAAAAAGAAGTTATGTATATTACTGAGCTGTAAGTGATACAAATAAATAAAAACATATAAACATACCAGCCAACTAATGCCGTCTATTTAAAACTTCAAGCTTATGTAAAGTTTGAGAATGTGTATTAGAAACATCATCGACGGAATGTTAATTTTTTTGTATCACTTGGTACACATCCTAATTACTTATTACCAAATTCTGCAGAGAATTACATACTCTGCCAAAATATATACTTTCGTATTACACGAGTTTTTAAACATGTCTTTTAATTATTACGTTATTTTAATAACATCAATTATATTTATGCTAAAATCTGTGAGGCATCACCTTCATATAACCAGTCTGTGCTACATCGCCACTTTACCCTATCCCCTTTCTAAACAAGTATAGATTTTCGCAAATGCAGTTTATCTATCTAAGGGTCAATGCATTCTTGAAAGTCTAACATCTTTAAATAATCGCATGTAATTATATTACGTACCCAATCCACGAGCAGCAACGTCCGTTGCTACAAGAATTGAACCTTTGTTGTTCCTAAATTCTGAAATTTAATTACACAATTGTTGTATTAATAAACGAAAGGTATCATAAAATACTGCAGGAAACAGAGTATTAAACAAAACACACCTCTAAGAACGTGGTCTCGTTCTTGTTGCGATTTGTCACCATGCATGCATACTGCAGGCCATCCATAGCGACGAATATTTCTGGTGATATTCTCCACCTTTTTCTTTGTCTCTACAAAAATGATAGTTTTTCCACCATCTTCGTTAACATTACCAATTTCCTGAAGAAGATTTCCCAATCTGAAATTTACAGAAAATCTACTGTTACTAAATAGAGTTGGAAAAGAAACAAGTAATTTACAAAGAAATAGAAATCAGTTCTTCTTAGAGGAAAAATTTTATATGGAATCATGTAATATCATCTACTAGTATCATCATAAAAAGTAATCGAAATGAATGTAATGAATCATCGTAATTAAGAATAAAATTTTAATAATTTGAAATATGTATGTGGCAAAAAGATGTGTTACATACTTTGACTCTTTTTCATGTTCCTGACAAACATCGACGATTTGAAGAATGTTGTGATTGGCAGCTAATGTTAAGGATCCAATGTTCAACTGCGTGTAATTTGTAAGATATTCCTCTGCAAGATTCCTAACCTCCTTCGGCCAGGTTGCGGACCACATAAGAACTTGTCTGTCAGGTCTGATTTGCTCAATAATTTTTCTAATTTGTGGCTCGAATCCCATGTCTAACATTCTGTCGGCTTCGTCCAATACCAAATAGGTACATCTACGTAAATTGGTTGTGCCACGTTCCAAAAAGTCAATCAATCGTCCAGGCGTAGCAATACAGATCTCGACTCCCCGTTCCAAATCGCGCGCCTGGCTTCCCTTTGGTGCACCACCAAAGATACAGGTATTCCTTACATATGACAAGGAACCAAAATCGTTAGCAACAGTTTGAATCTGTTGCGCTAGTTCTCGGGTTGGTGCAAGAATGAGAGCGATTGGCCCATCCCCACGGTTTAGTGGCTGTTGACTGTTAATGTGTACTATCGCCGGTAAAATATACCCCAGAGTCTTTCCAGATCCAGTTTGTGCTATTCCAACCATGTTCTGACCAGACATTGCAATTGGCCATCCTTGCGCCTGAATAGCAGTCGGTTCATTGAATCCTTGTTTTCTAATACCTTCCATTACATAATCAGGGAAATTTCCCTCTTCGAAATGCTGAATAGGATTAGGAACCTTCTCTCCTTTCAAAGTAATCTGATTTTCTTGTCTAAATATATCCACTTCTCGTGGATGACGTCCTTGTACATTATTATGAGGTACATAAAAATCTTTCTTGAATGGTTTTAAACTTTCAAAATTCCAATTTGGCTTTCTCAGATTAGTGCCAGCACTGCTCTTAGAATTTTGGTTGTTACGATTCCCGAAATGTCCGTTACTAGTGCTGTTACTTCCTCCATATCCTCCCATCCTTCTTGGGGCCTTGTTACCACCACGATAGTTCCCATTGTGGTAACCGTTTGACATAGCTCCGTAAGTCCTGTAAAAAAAGAAAAGAAATTTTTATATTTGGGAAATTTTTCTGACATAGAGTACTTTGGAAAAAAAAGTATTTTGGAATGTAGTGAACATTGAGAAACGGCTCCAGACAGAAATGTGTGGATTCCGAAGGCATATTCACTTTTTACTCTTCCTCCCACAAGCATTCATGCTCCATTAATGTATGCAATGGAGTCATGCCAAAATGGAAGGTATATTGTCGTTGTACAGATTATACTCGTGATCGTAAAATCAATCGAGCGGTAAACATATTTCGGGTGATAGGACATGCGAATTAAGAGAAAAATGGAAAGACAAAGACTTGAAAGCTCAGCGAGGACTTTAAAGAAATTTCTAATACAGAGTTAATGTACTTTATACAATACATTGAAACAAAAATTCCAAATATTCTCCAAATATTTTAATTGTAATTAACCTTTCCAACATCAGATGTGAGGGTGGGTACTTCATGCCATACCATGTTACTATTTTAAGAATTCTCCCTAAAATAACTACTTAAAAATTCTCAAATAATTAGATATTGTGTAACAACTCCTTACATGGGAACATAAATATTATTTTATAGAAATTTTAAAAATTGTTAAAAAAACAAAAATATTAGATTTGAAACAAGTTTTTCCTTAACAAAAATATTATCCGATGCTTTGTTAACGAGATATTAACGAAAAACCCCGTCCAATCAGAGCGCGAGTCTGATGGCCGAGCTCTGATTTGACAGAGTTTTTCATTAATATCTCGTTAACAAGGCCTCTGATAACATTTCTGCTAAGGAAAAACTTGTTCCAAATTGCCTCATGAGTAACCATTTCAAGGCCCTGCAACATTTTTGTTACACCCTGTATAATAAACTAAATAAGACAATTGTATGTGATTCATGTATTAAATACAGGATGATTCTCTTGTTGCACAAATCGAGGAGGCAGTGCCACTCTAAAAAAACCGCTGCGTCAGCACGTGTAATCTGTCGATTGGTCTTCACTGTGATGATGCCACGAAGCCACACACAACACACGCGCCCGACACGTCGGTTTTTTAGAGCGGCACGTTCTTTGATTTGCGCAATGAGAGAATTATCCTGTATATACATGTATGTAAGAAACACAGTAAAAGACAGTTATATGTCAGGATTCTGACAACTGTCAAGGTGAAAGTGACTAAACTGCCTGAAGTTCCATTTTGAAACAAATTCTGTATTCTTAAAAAAAAATTACTTATAAAATTGTTTATTTGCGAGATATTTTTTTAATTTCAATGGAATTCTTTATTTTAAATTCTTTATTCTCAAACATATTCAAAACAAAGTTTTATAAGACATTATAGGTAACCCCCACCCCATAGTCCGTGTAACACAAAAAGACTTAATATTGTGAGAGTTAATATTTGTAGTTCTTCTACTTTTATATTAAGTATTATTATTCACAATCTTTCTTTTATTCTACCATACCCCACAGCAGAATGCAGGGCACAGCCCTGAGTGCCGCAACATCGATCGATACCGCCCCGCTCGATTTGTTAATTCACGACCATGCTATATATCTGTACTACATATATATATATACAATATTGCCTTGAAAGTCACAAATTTTAAATTCCTCCCCCCATTACAGAATTCCAAAGCAAAATTTTTATAATACGTCGATGTGTCAAACGCTAGTAAAATATAAAAATCACACTTTTCACAATATCGAAATAATTTTATCATTTGGTTCATTTTTGAAGGTTTCATAAAAGTATGTCAAAAAGTAAAGAAATTTTGATATCGCATGTAAATACATGATACATTGTAATACTGCATCTTGTTTCCAAACTTCTAGATTTTTGTCCTAAGTAATCCTTTTAGAAATTTGCAACATTTTCAAAGCAATAATATGCATTTTCACTCACATTTGCACAATATTAAAATTTTATGAAAAACATGAGTGTTTCTCGGATGTATTAATTAACTTTATTTTTATACAAACCTAAGTCTCAAAGCTCCAAAGGCTCCAAATACTTGTCGTAACCTTTAATAGTTAATTACTTTGAATATTATCCGGAAAATGTACTTCGGTACACACGTTCAGTTCGAAAATGTAGAGACTTTGATCACAAGAAATTATCAAATTCTATTGATGATAAATTTGGCGAAATATTTATTTATATAGAATTGTATAAATATGAAACTATACACATTTACCAGGATTTTTGTTTGTTCATAATTCACGTAAGTAGAAATGCGGAAATTTGTGTAAAAGATGAAGATAAATTACAGATTTCAGAATACTTTACAGAACACACTAATGTTGCATAACACTACATTTATAAATTTCTACAAGGACACGATAGAGGAAGTTTGGTAGTGACGCATTGCAGATATTTGTACAATGGCTGACCACGAGTGGCTTTCTAAGAAGAAGCTACAATAGTATTCTGATAAAACTTTAGGAAACCTTAATGATTCAAAATGTTTACTATATTTTAATATATATACATTTTACTTACATATTTGATGTTAGTTAATGACCTTTCAGTCCCTGATTAAAATGATGTTGAACGTGATTTCTCTTTACTTGACCGATTTGAGCGGCGAAGATGTCTAAAATGGAATACTTAACTTTTAGTACGTTTAATAAATTATCAATAAAAACAAAAGGAAAATTAGCAGTTATCAAGAACGCGATTATAAATACACTGAATTATTTAACGAAAAAAAAAATGTAATATGGGCAACGAATAGACGTCCTACCTGTGCCGCTTCCAGGGACAGAAAGAACGATTGCCATGTAGCCGGATGTGAGGTACATAGTAATGTCGAAAGTGGGGATGCGCAGAAGAGCCCTAGACTTTCATTTCCGTTCTCTGCGCAGAATTTGCAGGTATTGATTTTGATTGAATAGTAACTACACACGACGTTGGTCAACATTATGCATATTATTTATTTAATTTATGATGCCCCATAACTCTAATTAAATATCTATATTTTTTTATACATTTCAAATATTAATTATTTTGAGAATATATAGCGCTTTACATTTAGTTTCGTGACATAACAACTATAGTTCATTATTGGGTACGTTCCAGTACCTTCCAGTACGTTCCATTTACGAACGCGCCAATTTCCCGTTCCACTGAAGACACTATAGGGTGCGTTCCATTTGCTTGTAGCATCGCTGTCGAAAAACGTAATAGAACGGGCTTTGTGAGCGTAAATTTGATCAACGGTAATTTCCAAAACCTGAGGCTTGAACTCATGTTTTAATTTGTGTTTAGTTACGTTCCGTGCTCTTAATACATTATACGTCTGCTAAATATATTAAAAGCCCGAGTGCGTCCCTATGGTTATATTGCCTACCTACGGGGAATGAATATTTGAAAGAAAATACATTTTTTTTTTATTTAGATAATGATTCCCTTCACGGGATACATTGGGTTACGTTTTAATTTAATGCTTGATACATCTTACACAAATTTACTTCACATAACTTATTACCTAATGCATTTAAGGACCTAATTTCTTCTCTCTACTCCCTCTGATTTTTACTATTCTTCGAATCCAGTTTATTCCTCAACCCCTTCTTTCATTCAGTCTTTTTCCATTTTTTCGACTTCTTTGGTTTCATCAAATTCTTGCCATATGTCCTGTAAAATTTCTTTTCCTCTTCTTCCTAATACCTGTACGCTCATCATTCATTTCATCATCTAAATCTGGCTATTGTTCCCATTTTTTCCCTTTGCCCTTTTTCTCTAGGTACTTCAGTTTCCCTTACTGCATCCACTTCTTGTATTCTACTGCCGATCTGGATGCCTCCATTTTATTTCTTTTTTTCTTTTTTCATCTCAATTTCCCATTTCCTTCTTCAAAGAATCTTTGCATTGCCTTCTACTACTGTGTGTTTCCCCATTGTGATTTACCTGCCTCTTTTCTGTATTCTTTCAGTATTACATTATTTGGTGATCTTTCATTTTCTTCTCTTACTTTCTCATTTATTCCTTTATCCCTCATATATTTCCACAGCTTCTCTCTGAATAACTTATCAAATGCCACTTTCAAGTCTGTAACAAAAACAAACATTTTACCTTGTTTCCTTGTTATGACTTTATATTGCTGTTTTAAAATATATATGTTGCCTATGCACCTTCTATCTTCCTGAACCCTGCCTACATTTTCAAGATTATCTTTAGCTTTTCTGTTTCTTCTCTGAGCTTACTCTCAAGAATATATATGTCAAGCATCTTATATGGTATGTCTAATAGTGTCACTCCTCTATAGTTTGCAGACTGATTGATTAAAAATCATGCTTTTGTTTTTCTATAAGCGATTTCCATATCAAATAGGTTGGAAGGAACAAGTAAAGTATTTTGTACTTATATTTATGTTCATAAATGTTACAAGTTTTAAATAATAAAGGAGATAAGTTAGCTGAAAGCAACGTCAAAACGTATGCGTTTGAATCCCGCCTTTAGCGCTTCACTGGTTCACAGTTGAATCGCGCGCCAAAATGACGAACGACCGCGCAGACCAAGTTCAGGCACGAGTCTACATATCGAGCGGTTGTGCCGTCAGGCAAATGCCAACGCAGTGGGGACGGGGCTTAAGTCTCATTTTAAAAGGTAGTAATAGAGACACTAATAATAATAAATGTGTCGACGAGCCCTCGCTGCTTTCAGAGTGCGGTTCTTTAGAGCGGCACGGCCTTTGATTTGCGCAGCGAGAGGAGCGCCCTATATTTACAATATATATAGAGACTGTTTGTAAAAATAAAACAGAAAGTACTTAACTAAAATCAAACAAACTAACGTGACACTGCAACGCCACAAAACTATACCTAGATTCGCACGATCCTCACTCTTCAAAATCCAGGAAAAGAACTTGTATTCTTGTAAAACGGAAAAACTTATGATATTTCTAACGAACTGAATTATTATTTGAGCCTGAACGGTCAGATGTCACTTACATCGTATATATTTGTGCTTCCACCAGCTTCCACTCTATCTTATTCTCTTTGCAAGCACCCAATCGCGGAGTCAGTCAGAGATTTTGTGAGTCCATCGCTGTCTTGTGGATACAGTTGTTCGTGGAGTGCGTGCGTTTGATGGGTTACCTTTTATGGTGATTTGAGGAACAAGAAAACATTGGTCAAACTTGTGATGTTTTAATAGCAGATTGAAAGAGGGCCTTCTGAAAAAAAGTAAGCCTTTTATATTTCTTGACCGGTTACTTTTTCGGTCATACTTCACCGTTTTAATGTTCGCCTCTCCGTTTGCAAAGTGATAGCACTTTGTAAATATAAAGATGACGGCATCGTCTTGAATGAATAAGCGACCTGTCTTATGCTGCTGATATTCACATCCTGCAGGTATCTGAAATTTCAGGCATCTGAAAGATATGTCACAAATGTTTTCAATCTCTACGCCTGACAATTTTTTTTCGTTCGATAATACGAGAAATGTTTTTCAAGTTGAAAATTAAAGCGTGGGAGATCTTGTATAGCCGCACCTCAATTGCACTTTATTCCTTTGCTGGGGAAACAATTAGTTATCCTTCTTTCTTATATTTTTTCTTTTTTCACTTAGTTTCTTTCTTTTTGTATGTTCACATATGCCTCACATAGAAATGGCATAAACTGAATTAAACATGATCTTAAATAATTACTTTCTTTTTATTTCACCGTTAAAGTTAATTATAATTTCGTGTATAGTTATGGTTGAGTGTTAAAAAGAGGCGATGGGTTGACTCAGTCATTTAAGAATAGTCTCTTGCAAAGTTTCTGCTGTATTTATAAATGAAGCTACCACTTTGTCCCAATTTTAAATATTAATCTTATGTTATTTGTGCTTACCATATTAACCATTTTGATGTACATTTAATATCTTTGTATCTCAGAAAATAAAAATAGATTCTGAGTACATGTTGTTTAAGAATTTTGATGAGTCAACAGTTGCTGGAACATTACCTCACACCTGTTTCCTTATTTCCTAAAATGATTGTTATTTATATGCATCATTATTTTAGTTTAAAATATTTTGAATATTTCAACTTGTTTTATTATTTTTAAACTTTTTAATTTAATACAGATTAATAATTAGTTTATATTTTGAAAATGCTTGAAGTCATTATTTCAATATTAAATTTTATATCTATATATACAGAATGCGTGGCAGCTTAGGATGGACCATAACACTAGCGATTGTTCTATCGTTAGTAAAGGCAAATTATCCGCCTCCGGAAAGACTGACTGGAATGAATCCTTGCATCAGCAAGCAAACATGCCATGAATGTATACAGACACCACATTGTGCTTGGTGTGCTGCACCTGTAAGTTTTATGTTACTGTTACGTTTTATACCTTTTGCAAATATGTTTTTTTTATGAATGTTTTTATTTTCCTTTCAGAAATTCTCTGAAAAACGGTGCTTTTTACCAAATATAAATACTAAAATATTTGCAACATGTCCAGCAGAATATACATGGAATCCAGACAATGTTTTCAGTATGACAACACATCGCAATTTAACAAAAGGTGGTTATACCAGTGGTGCTGCGAGTAGTTATGAGTATTCATACACAAATTCTAGCTCATTTAGCTCTAGTTCACAATCGAACAGAGAAAGTAGTAGTAGCAGTAGCAGCAGTGGTAGAAGGCAAGAAGCTGTGCAGATTTGGCCCCAAGAAGTTAACTTAAAACTTAGGATAAGTAAGTTGTTATAACATCTGTGTACTTTTGAAAAATTCCAAAGAAAGGACAATCAGTATTTTCGACCAACATTAATATTTTCAGATGAAGCATACAGAATGAATTTTGCTTATTCACAAGCAGAAGACTACCCTGTTGATCTGTATTACCTTATGGATCTGAGTAAATCTATGGAAGATGATAAAAAGAAATTGTCAGATTTAGGCCAACTTTTAGTAGAAAGTATGAGTAAAATTACAAGTAACTTCCGATTGGGCTTTGGCAGTTTTGTTGATAAAGTTGTAATGCCTTATGTTAATACAATGCCAAAGTCGTAAGTTTCCAATAAATCATTATAATTTTTGTATAGATATAACTCCTCATTGTGATTTAAACTATTGTTTAAATAATACATTTATAATCATTTTCGTATTTCAGGCTGATAGAACCATGCGATGGATGTGCAGCACCATATGGTTATAAAAACATTATGACATTGTCTCAAGACACTAGTCACTTTGCAGTAAGTATTCGGTGATTTTTTTTTTTAATATATTTTTTCTTAACTCACATTTAAGTGTTATTACTTACACAGAGCCTAGTACGCAATGCTTCAGTGTCTGGAAATTTGGATGCGCCAGAAGGAGGGTTTGATGCAATTATGCAAGCTATTGTTTGCAGAAGACAAATTGGTTGGCGTGAAAAGGCTCGTCGACTCTTGGTATTTTCTACAGATGCTGGGTTTCATTATGCAGGAGATGGAAAATTAGGTGGAATTGTAAAGCCAAACGATGGTGACTGTCACTTAGATCGCACTGGACTCTACACTCACTCGTCTTTACAAGATTATCCAAGTATTTCTCAAATTAATTTAAAAGTCAAGCAGAATGCCATTAACATTATATGGGCTGTTACTGAAGAACAGATAAATGTATACAAAAGATTGACTAAACACGTGGAAGGATCTTTTGCTGGTAAATTGTCGGAAGATTCGAGCAATGTTGTAGAATTAATTCGGGAACAGTACGATGCGATCTCGAGTTCTGTAGAAATGAAAGACACGGCTAGCAGTGCCGTGAAAGTAAAATATTTCTCGAGGTGTTTGGGTACAGGACCGCTCATTGAGACTTCAAAATGTGACGGATTAAAAGTTGGAACACAGGTCGAATTTATTGCGGAAGTTGAAGTCACAAGTTGTCCGGAGAATCGAACAGAATGGAAACAGAAATTCGATATTTATCCAGTAAGTGTACAGATATATAACAAAGTTTTACAAAAAGTGGAATCACAGTTTAATATATTGATGCTTTTCAGGTTGGTATCAATGAAACTCTTACAGTAAATTTGGAAATGTTATGCGACTGCGAGTGCGAACGGGAAGGACTTATGTATGAACCAAAATCATCAGAATGTAATGGTGTAGGAACCTTAAAATGTGGCGTTTGTGAATGTTACGATGGTTTCTTTGGGAAACGCTGTGAATGCAGTCCCCATCAAGAAATGACTGGATTTGATAAACATTTTCAGTCTTGTAGACCCGATAATACCTCTCTAGTAGATTGTTCTGGAAGAGGAACATGTGCTTGTGGTCAATGCGAGTGTGAAGAAAGAGAAAATCCTGAAGAAGTAAATATACACCTAACTATTATTTAGTTTTAATTTTTACACTTAGTTTTTCAAAAATGTACATTATTTTTCCCAGATAATATCGAGTCATTTCTGCGAGTGCGATAATTTCTCGTGTGATCGCGATCAAGGTTTTTTGTGCTCGAATCATGGTACTTGCGAATGTGGACACTGTGTCTGCAACGCCGGATGGACTGGACCATCTTGTAATTGCAGGTCCTCTAACGAAACTTGTATTGCGCCAGGAACTACAAATGGAATATTATGCTCGGGACATGTAAGAATTACAATCGAAAAGTTCTACTTAAAAGTTATTAATTAATGTATACTGACGAGCAAACTTGGTTTCCACTGGGGGAAAAAGCGTCGTTGGGGTAAGGGCTTCCTATCACTTGGTAAATTTATTTCAAGTACTGAAATGAATGTTACACCGAATGTTAATTTGGTATAAATTTCAGTAACTCCGAGACCAAGAGGTAGGAGGTCTTTCCCTTGTGTCATTGGTCTTGCATCATTTTTTCTCCTAGCGAAAGCCGAGTTTACTCGCGAGGGTAAATGGTATATTGTTTGATTGTAACTTTGTTTTTCCTTATGCCAGGGAGATTGTGAATGTGGTGAATGTATCTGTCATGAAGAAGGAAACATGCGATATTCGGGTAAACATTGCAATAAGTGTCCAACCTGTCCGAGTCGCTGTGAAGAGTTGAAAAACTGTGTCTTGTGTCAAATGTATGGTACTGGAAACTTTAGTGATAAAGAAGAATGCGCTAAAAACTGTAGAGAGTTTGTTCCTGAACCAGTTGAAACAGTTATACCGGATGTTGATAAAGACGAAGAGTTGTGCTTCGGAATAGACGAGGACGACTGTAAATACAATTTCGTTTATTATTACAACGAAACAAATTGTTTGCAAGTCAGAGCACAAAAAGAAAGGGAATGTCCGCCACAAGTTTACATGCTGGGGATAGTACTAGGCGTGATAGCGGCAATTGTTTTAATTGGACTAGCACTGTTACTGTTGTGGAAATTATTAACAACTATACACGACAGAAGAGAGTTTGCAAGGTTTGAAAAGGAGAGGATGATGGCCAAATGGGATACGGTAAGCACCTGAAACATTTTTGTAAATCCGTTTGGTTACATTATAACGATTTCTAATATGAAACTGTTCATCGTAAACATTCTTTTCAACAGGGAGAAAATCCAATTTATAAACAAGCCACATCAACGTTCAAAAATCCAACATACGCTGGAAAATGAGACGAATGATTTGTATTCGGATTTTCTGAATATGTGAGAAACCATTACAATGCAGTGAATTCTGTTTTTTATATAAATTTTAAACTGGTTAATATTTAAACGGCGAACAAGAAACTTTATTACAGAGCGAAGGAAGCTTTAGCCGTAACATAGTGTAGTTTGTAACATTATAACTCGTAAGTATTTAATGGAAACTAATGAAATATGAAATTTTATCAAATTATTCATTAAGTACGCGATATTATAATACTGCCATATAACTTAGACTGCTATGTATGAGTGTGTACGTATGTGTGTAAGTGTAATTTATGTGTAATGGATAATGATTTCTATACAATGGAAAATTGTAACGAAGAAATGAATATCCACATGAAACATACGGTAATATAACGGTCTCAAGATTTACGGTTTACCGCGCATATTATATACAAGTGCCTTTTGTCTTACGACAAGAATATTGATATAATTTTTTCATTATCTTTGTTAATCTGAAATTGATGAAAAGTATTGATCATTCAGAAGGCTTCACTTGCATACATTAGATGAAGCCTTCATTTCACTAACATATTTATTGAGACTTTTTATAGATTAATATATTTCAAACGAAAAATACAAATAAGGCACATTGAATATGTGATATTGTAAGATCTAAATCGTTGTTCACAGATGTACTTTACGAAATGACGATCGTTTTCTTCTTACGTCTTCCTTGTTCTCACGCATGTTTTTTAAATTTTATAACGAATGGATTACAAATGTATGTAGAAAATTGTATAAATGTATAAAATAACAAAACGCATAGTAATAAGTATAAATCATATTTCTGTTAAGAAATACAAATGCTACGATTTTTCACTAGATGTATAAAATATGATATACATGAATGGTCATAAAGTTTTGTGGCCTATTCACAGTCTTATCTGAAAATAGGTGTAAAATTAACGCAGCTCTTTAAAGTGACTTAAATCAACATACAGAATGTACTCGAACATTAACACAATACTTTTACAATGTATTGTATAAATCAATTTTATATACACCAATACGATCTGATTCATAACTTTTACATTGTGCTGTTATTTAAGTATTTGAAAATAAAGACGAAATAAAGAAATTAAATACATTCAACTGCAAAACTAATTTCTTCTAATACAATCTCTAATAAGTACGGACAACTTTTACATTTGCATACATTTACCTATTAGGTAAATTATATACATATTGTTTGGATTTCAGTATTGATAATAATTAAAATACCAGCTTATCTTATGTTCTTATTGTAAGATAACACGAATACACACAACATTGTATTATCATCTATCGACAATACATATATTTTTGCGCGCGCATTTATATTATGTTGCCTTTGTAGCTTTGTTTTCGCAAATAAACTACTTCTACTTGAGTGTATTTTGTAAACTAAACTGACTGGAACGACTTGTGAAAATAGATAATAAAAATGAATAAACTGCAGATATTTATGCAAATTAGATTTTTGTGGCCTAATTTATTTACTCTTTAGAATTTTGTAGTCAAATAGAAATTTGTTTGCCTTATTACGGTTCCTATAAGGTTCAATAGGAAATAAACAATAATGATATGGTAACAGTAATTTTTTTTAATAAACGAGAAATGTCACAATTCGACTTTTCTTTCATAAATGTTATTACAACATAAACATATTTTGTTTAGGTTCTAGGTAAATTTATCCATATAAAAGTTAATAGATCCATTTATTTAGAACTTTATTTCTCGGTACAGTTCTATAGACATAATTTGCGCGTAAAATTTGATGCACGAACATAGCAGAATGACGTATCGGAGTTGCAATTTGACGATAAACAGCACGGTTCTGTGCGACAAGGAAAATTTATACGTATTTTGACAGTATCTAATGCGATCTTATCTTGGCCGAGAAATTGCAGTATGTAAAGAAAAATGATACAAAGATGTACAGTCAAGAAAATGATACAAAGAAAGATATACAGAGAAAAATGGTACAAAGTACCTATATTTAATAAAGGTCACGACGGAAATAAAGTGTATCTACAACTACATATGTATATAGTCTACATATAATTAACTATTTTCTGGTGAAGATACGTTAATTTCTTATTGATTATTTACTATTGCTCAAACACTCTGCGTTAATTGCATTATCCAGAATATAATTTCACTGATTTAAACAAACAGTACGATATTGCAGCTAAAATAAAACTTAAAGAAATGAATAAATACATACTTTGTTATAATGTATTTCACAATACGTTACATAATGTAATCGTGTACAAATAAACAAATTATTCGTAACTTTACATTCATTCCATTTACATGAAAAGGAATTGAAATTTTCTACGTCAACTGTAAAATAAAGACGATTAGCTTATGCAGCGATCAAACAATAGCTTCTTACGATTTCGCAATGTAATCGGAAGACAACTCTAACGAAAAAATACTCGTTTGTAGAATGCCTTAACCTTTCAGTATTGGAATTCCAAATTAATTTCCATTCCACCTTCTTTATTCTTCTCGTAAAAACTTCTTAACAGACGACACACTAAACAAATTGTAATGATTATTCATATGGTAAATCAAGTCAAAATATGTTTTTTACAGTTACGAGATAATTAGATTAAAAAAAAAATAATAGAAAGGATTAAACCGACCGGTTTTTGATTAAATATTATTTGGCATTGTGTGTGTATCTAGACATTTATTTCGTAAACATTGCGAAATTTCCAGGAACAGGGCACTCGATCATTTATAACGTTGCTGATACGGTAAAAGTGAAAACCTGACACAGCTGACCTCGCGCGTTTTAAAGTAGAATAAAATGATCAGAAGACTAACGCAAAACGTTAGAACTATTACCTAAACAGAGAGAATTTAATAGCATCATAATAACAATGGTGCAACGCCCCTTCAAAGGTGAAAAACACATTCACGTCACTGTTACTTAGTGGAAACATATGTATTCCTGTTTCTAAAGTTCATTGTATTCCACAAATTTAATTCGAACGATGAAAACACATCATCTCAGGATAACATGTACATATGTATATGTATGCGTGCATCAGACATTCAAATGTTAATGTTTTCTTTCATTATAGATTTGTCAAGTGTCAAAAATGCTGACGCATAATCGAAGCGGGAAAGTTTAAATTACTGCGTTGTTTAAAACTGTAAACTTTGTTTTATGATCTCATTTTGCAAAAAAATTAGTAATATATTGTTCATAATTAGCATACGAAATTTTATTCGCGTGTACAGTCTTTAAGAATATCAGCACAGCAGAATCATCACATACATATTTAAAGATCTTTAATAAGTTTCAAAATACCAACTGAATTTGTCACTATCCACAATAGTTAAAAAAACCACTATATGCAATGCTTTATGAAAAACGCAGCATATTTCCTCACAATTAATTAAAAGATCAATTTCTCAGAAGAGAAACGTCTCAGTAGCCTCAACTAAATAGATGAAGATATTTTAATGCATGTTGAAAAATGAGTAAGTATGACTTTTAAAGTTTAAAGGGATCGTAAACCAGAGTTCTACTGAAATAAACAAAAGTTTAAAGAATACGTGCAATGCATATAGACTACATATAGACGTAAGGAAGAGAATAACGCGAAAATTTGGTACTTTAAACTTTACAGAATGCGTGTTATTATATTACCTTATGGACTACCAATTCAATCGTTTGTAATGCGAAAAAAACATGGTGTCGTGTGAAACATCGTAAGTGCGACTAAAATTTAAGGATTTTACGCATTCCATAACACGTTGCGCGCTGTGCAACGGCGTCTCGTGTCACGATCGTCACGTGTGTTGCAGTAGACGAAGGTAGTAGGGTATGAGGAATAGCGTTCAAGCGCGTACGTATGTACGTCAGTACTGTCAGTAGTACGCGGGTAAGAGATACGACGTTAACTGGACACCGACTGGTGTTTACGAAAAAAAAAAACGAAAAGAAAGGACAAAGGAAGCCTGTCACTCGGAAGAAGGTATCCGCAAAATTGACAAGGGCGAACGTGGAATAGCGCGAGGGTGTACAATCCGTGTCTCTGTCTTTCCCTCGGTGACTATATCATTCCCTCCTTCTTTCTCGTCGATTGTCTCTTTCTCCGTGATTCGTTCTCTCTCCGTTTCGTAGCGTTCTAATCGTTCGTTCCTCGTCAGTCACATCGCTGCAGCCTTTAGTCCATCCTTTCATTTATATTCGCTTCTGTCCCTCTCACTTTCTGTTCTTTCATCTCTTTTCCACCAGGCCGTGTATCTCCCTCTCTTTCTTCCCTTCTCACTCTGTTCTTCGAGGCGAAGCAGAAGAAACCCCCGCGGTTGCTCGTTCGTTCTCAAAAGTCTTACTCGTTGTCACGCGCTAAAAATACTCCCGCACAGTCTTCCGAGGGTGTACCATGCCAAAGGAGAACGGGAATTAGGACGACAAAAGCAGTCAACATCGACCTGGAACTGTCATGGAACGGCTCTCGAGAGTGGCATGTTATTTTCGATGGATGAGAAACGCGACACCTTATGATACGAGCGAAGAAGCGGCTCCCGTCGACGATGGCAAAACCGTGGAAGTTGAACGGTGTAAGAATGTCGGGTGCAATTACGAAGCCTCGAAACGGCTGTGTAGCATTCTGGAGAGTATCCTTCTTTGGGAGAACTCGGTGAACAGTATCTCCGTCGTCATCGTGTTCAACATACTGTTTTGGTGAGTTCTTCTACCCGTGGGACACTGTGCGTCATTTCTCAGCTCTGGTGTAATGCGTTATCCGCGAAATACGATACTATTTCGCGATTACGATTTTTCTACTCTGCTACGTACATATATATATATATGTGTATATGATAGTCGTTATAGCCTTGGTTTGCTTCAACGAAACGAGATTCGCAATATTGACGCAATCCGCTAAACAATGAGTAACATACGCTTCTTTTGTACGGTGTATAATTGATCGTAGAAGAATCACCGAATTTTGCACATACTAAACGCGGCTTTAACGGTAGTGATATATCAATAAAAATTTCGTGCATCAAAGATTGTCGGGTGATTACTAGTAGCAGCTGTCTTCTAATGCTTTGCGAGTGATTCGCCTTCTAGGTCAAGGTTTGTTTAAGCGTGTGGCGTTTCGGCGTTTGATGTCAGTTGTAAATAACAAGTACGTATCAATATACGAGTGCTTCACGACCCTTCGCGTTTTCCGTACGTGTTCCTTCACGATAAGTGAATGAATAACGTCAATCGCATGACGTTATTTACGCATACTACAGACATAAGTTGATATACAAGCGGTCATTGATGGGTTTCCTCTGGTGCGAGGCGATACACCGTTAAAGTCGTTTCTTTTCCCGTAATTGCGTTCACTCATGACGTTTTTGTTTGCTTTGTCGCATGAATTGCATCTTCCCAGCGTATTTTCCCACCAGATCTATAGTACGATACTAGATGGCACTACGTGTTAATAATTAAAAAGTATAATCGCGCGACTGGCTTGACGTGTTTAAAACACGTGAACTTTTTATAAAATTCTTTACGCTGATGGAAATGATGTATACGTGAAACGATGTATACATTATCGGAGTAACTTTTACTTCGATTGAAAATGACGAGCTATTAGATATTCGATTGAAGTATATTATTATTTGTAGTATTAATTTGTCCCATACATTTCAGGGGAATTATTGTATTAGAGGTCCGTGGCTTTGCTGCAGCCAGCAGTGCTGCGCTGGTCGTAGTTCTCTGCTATAGTACCATAGAAGCCCAAATCCAAAAAGAGAACAAAGCATCAGATACAGCTATGTAAGTGTTAGAATTCTACGTAATTTATGCTTGTATATTTGAAATTGCCTTTATCTAAATATATGTTTTATAGATCTTGTGCAAAGCCAGAACAAATTGAAAAGATTGGGAAGAAAGTGAAATCAGTAATTCATAGTCTGAAGCAGTTGAGAAAAGATCAACCAGGAGTGGTAAAATTTTATTGATTACTTAAAGACTTTGTATTACACATTTGGTATATAGTACAGTTTAGAAAAATGAATTACAGCATTGGTTCTCGCTTAAAAATATTAAAATTGGTTTTAGTTTTGTACTGCAGTGTGCTCTCTTTCTTTGGGCTTATGGATCATTGGTCGCGCTATAAATGGTGTACTTCTTACATATACATTATGTATGAGCATACTCCTTGGACCTGCATTATTATTAAAGCTACCCAACAAGATGTTACCACATAAAGGTGACTAATATGACATTAACAATGATAATAAGGGAAATATTAACATTGACATGTTATACAACATGTGTTTATGTAGATTGTAACAAATATTTTTTATCACAGAATGGGATAGTGAAATTGAAGAATTTTTACCAGCAGTAACTGAAGACAATCTTCAAGTTCTTACAAGAGCAGGAGAATCAGGGGATCATTCTCCAACACCAACAAGTGTGTTGTCTGATGCTCAAAATGGTATGATCTAATATTTAATATATCGTTTAGTTGGTACTTTATCTGAATATGGGAATAGTCTGTTCTCATAAATATTTATTCTCTTTTCTTTTTATTAAACACTTGAAGTGAATATACAAGTTGTTTGATTTTAGAATTTTTTAATGACGAAGACCTTATGGGTCTAAAAATGCCATCACACGAAGATGGAAGCACCGATGGTGTAGAGGTTTCTGAATTAGAACTTAGTGCTGAAGAAACTGACGTGGATGGTATTAAATTTCAAAGTGGCCACTTTGAGAAAGGATCATCTTCCGAGGAAGAAGCAGAACTTGAACCTTTATCAAGAAAATCAATTAGTCATAGTGATGAAAGTGGTAGCGAATTTGAAATAATCGATAGTCAGGATGTTGACGAGTTCGACATTGCATAAAAATTACAGGCATGTGAACTGTGAAGTTATTATTATGCCGAATAGCATTAAAACGGCTGACCCTTTTAAATATACTTTAATTGGATAATGATCTAATCAAAATTATTTTGCTACATCTTAGCTACCTGCTTCAATTTATCAAATGAATACTATTGGAAATTTTCGTTAGTGTCATCGGAGAAGTATACTTATTTGTAGAAAAGTGATGCCCAATCATTTTATTAGATTTGTATCCGAAGTAAAAATTTAAGTGATTAGAATTAGAGATTTTTTGACTTTGTGCGAATGATAGCTTCTCAGTAGTTGACTTATCTTGATTGTATACTTATGTTAAAGTATACTTACAAAGTTGTACATATTATAGGCGGAAAAGGAATTCTACCACCTTAATTTTTATTTTTGGTGATATACAAACAAATTAAGTATGTTTTGTAGTACGTGTACGAAATCTTTGGTGTATATAAAAGTTCGATTATCATAAAGAAATTTAAAAAAACATCGATTAAATAAGTAACTTTTGTCAATTTAAATATCGTTTCGACTTTCATGGACGAAAACAATTTTGTATATATGTATCACATATAAAAAATCTTTACCTGTAAATTGCAACTAAGAAATTAGAATTTACAATACTAATACGCAGGTAGAAAACGAATAGAAATTATTATAGAGAGTCCTGTTTTTGATATTGCAAAAGTTATGTGTAAGAAGAGAATTTGATCCATCAGAAAATTTGTTTCAATATTTCATAAATACTCAGATATGATGTTATGTACCATTAAGTTCTATACTTGGTCTAATTTTTCGGATTTACCGGAGCATAAACAACTTATTTCATTGATTATGCAGATCTCATAATTAAATTCTGTTTAAACATTACAGAAATCTGTTATAATTATGGAAAATACTTAAATTTTGCAATGGTTTATTGATGAACAAAAGAACATGCATCGTAAATTAGTATTACTTTAAAAACACAAGATTTTTGTTGTACGCTTACTGTTAAAAATGATACCACTTATGTAAATATATAGTTTCAAAGCAACATTTTATTAGTTTCCTCCAAATTTTGCAAAAATTGATCGACTTAAGGTGCATTACTTTAATGTAAAGGAGTCCAGAAATGAGCTTTAATATGTACGAATAACTAAAAGTAAAAATTATGCAAAAAAATGTCTATTGGAAAACTATGTTTTAAGAAAGATATTTAGCATAGTCCGTTCAGAAATGTTGAAACAGTAATTTTTTAGTTATAACAATCATATTGAATTTCCTTGAATGTGATGTGATATTTTTCACAATATATATAAAATTTTCTAGATTTCTAATCTATTTTTACAGTTCTACTTTATGCTGAGACGATCAATGTAAATGAAACATGTATGTAAATAATATGAAAATATAGTAACAATATTTTTAAAATTTTTTTTGCGTAGTCTTGCAAAATTTGAGAAAAGTTTATTAATAATTCTTTAAAGATGCGATTGGCAAATTTATATTTCACCTTTTCTAATTTTACTCTACATAAGAGATATCATGTTTAAAGTAAATCTGTCATAAATATCTTGAATAAAACAGACATCTTTAATTTATTACAAATTTATGATATTATACACTTTGAGATCCTTCACACATTTATGTACACGTAATACATAATTTATTTGGAAAAAGTAACTTGTGTTTTGTTGTTGATATGCATAGCATTTATATTTTTTTATTTGCAGCAAAATTTCAAAATGTACTGTGATAATAAATGCATATAATGCGGTAATAAGAATAAAAGATGGTAAAACTGTAATAACTTGTATTATAAAATTATATACAATGCAATACTGAGAGAGTTGAATTTGATTCGTTATACAACTCATGTTTATGTACAATGCAATATTACACTTGATTTATTTACCTACAGAATATATTTGTATTATGTACATACATTATTTGTATTTCCATTATCAGTAGATTGCATATTTGTTTCTCTTGTGACATTTGTGTAAAAAATATTTTCTTCTTTTTTACAAATATTTAGGGTGTCTTTGTTTTCTTCTAACAATAAGGTAGGCTCAGAAATTCTATCTGTAACATAATTTTATTATGGACAAGAATCATTCATATTTTAAACATTTATATTTAAGCTTATATAAACTGTACCATTTGTCTCACAAACATTTTCCTCATCTTCACAATTCTTTAATGTGCTTTCGTTTTCTTCTAATAATAAAATAGGTTGAGCATTTTTTCTTTCTGGTAGCACCTGTAAAAATGCTTCTTGCCACGTTTTCCCTTCACTAACTCGAAGCAAAATTTCAAACACTGCAAAAATTGTATTGCTATACTCAGCTATACGACAAAAATGTAATACCAAACATACCATGGTCAACAGTTAAAACCTTCCTAGCCTTCATTTGCAAGAATTCGTCTAGAGGGAGTCGACCATGCCTCACACCAGCCTCTTTGGCTAACTTATGACACAGTCCCTGAAAGTGTAAACATTATGTAAGAAGATTTATACAATCCCAACAAGTTAGCTTACCTTATGACTATTATGATCAACAAGACCACCTATAACGTACACACAATCATGTTCCAGATGATTGATTATATTTTCCGATTCACTGGTTAGATATATGACCTTCTCTTTTGGATAAACATTCAAATATGATTCAACATAAAATTTTACCTACAATATAATTGTAAAATGTCTAAGTGTATTAACGAGGAAACTTTGGTAACCAAAAGTTTTGGCTTTTTAAAACTGCAAGGTTTATTTATTTAAACAACAAATTTTTTGAATTTAATTGTTGAGCATAAAAAGTTATTCAATTTTCATTCTAACAATTTTTTTATACCTACTATAGTTTTTATGATATACAGGAAAACACACATTAACTTTAAAGGGATATTTTCACCTTAAAGAATCAAAAAGTTGCCTGATATTTCTACAGAGGTCCCCCACAAACCTGCAAAGTTTCAAAAAAATCAGAACTTTCAGGTTACAAAAGTTCCCTTGTAAGCACTTAATTTTTTTTTAATAAATTGCAAAGTATACTACATACATCCCAGTGTTGATATCCATTGTGTTTTTGCATGTGCATTCTCGAAGTACCATTAAAACTAGTAAGCGAAAATTGCATCGGTGCAAGAGCCCTTCTGTTCAAAGTATAACATCTTAGTATCTGCTTCGTTAATTTTGCAACATCTTTATCAATCATTAGGTCATCAAAAGACATATCAATGGTCACTCCAACTTTACAATTACTATCCGCCATAGTGCTTTTTTTTAAGGCTTTCCTAGATGGTCCTAGGTCTATATTATGTGCACGAGCATATGCACGTTTTTGCTTTGCTTTTTCTCGTTCCTTCAATCTATAAAATCATATTAAAGCACCACTATTAGAAATTTTGATACACAATCTGTAGTCATTGTTAAGTTTATATAAAGCTCTAATTATGTAACAAAATTATTCAACTTTTGAGTTAAAGAATGAAAAAATGTGAATACCTTTTTTCACCCTTTCGTTCCAGCCACTTTTCTTTTTTTTTAATTTTTTTCAATTGACGTTTACTCATATTCGGATTTAATTCCGACAATTTGTCATCGACATTACCGTAATCTTTGTGATTAGAGTCGTTTATATTGTGTTCATCATTTTCTGTGTTTTCCGAGTTATTTGTGTCCTTTTTGATCTCCATGTTCTAATGAAAAATTCGGAAAGAAGTAAAGAACTTGTGTTTCCGCTCATAAGTGGAATAGGGAAATCGGAATCTTATTTGAATTTACATGGGGATAGAACGAGTTACATATTCAGTGGCTGATACGATCGTTTTATCTCTTCTGTTTCATTAAGTACTGCAAAAAATAGAATACGTATAAGTATGTGTCAAATACTGGCGAATTTCATAAATTATTTTAAAAAATAACCATTATACTTCACATGTCATGGCTGTACCACGAGTGTTGCCTATCATTTGCTACTGGTTGCTATAATCAAAATAAAGAGTTAATAGTCATTTGCAACTTGCAAGCAACTATACTGAACTCTCTATATACATAGATGTGTGTATCAGCATCGTAAGGATCAGAATCAGCTCCTTCTGTGGTGTATCTTAGAAACTTGTAAATGTCTTAATATTTTTGGAGAGTGGCCCTAGGCCCCAGTGTTAAACATTCTAAACAACGCTAATAAATTACAATTCAACGTATAAATGCTAGCATACAATGCAGTGTCATTACTATCAACGAAAACCCATTGGAGAATAGTTTTCACGGTAGCTGGCAACTGATTGCTCAAACTGATATCGAAAATCTAGTTAAAAAATTGTATACATGAAAATTAGTCTGTTTCGATTCAAAGTACTAGTTGTACTTATTATACATATGTAGAAGACTATCTATTATCGCTGGTGAAATAATCTGTGGTTAACGGTCTTTGTGGGGGGATGGGAGGCGTGACTAGAGATAGAGTTATCAAATCACGGCGGAGATTCGTCACAAAATATAAACGAATTTTCAAATAGCACTTCGTCAAGTACAGCTCTGAAACATCTGCGCTTTCTCCGTGTTTTGTCAAAAAGTACAATGGATACGTACGAAAGTGTATTGCTCGTAAAGAGTGAAGTATTTATGTTTAAAATACCACCAAGGTCAATGAATAGGGGTTATCGGTATGAATCGATTCTTTCTTTTAACAATACTTTCTTCGAAAATATTTCATTTTACTAAAAAAAAAAACCACAGTGCATACATAAATGTACGGTTATGCACGAGATTTCACTTGCCATTGACAAGGCAACACAATGTTTTGTATTTTTTAAAAACCTTTAATCAGAATTTCGTACTATTAATACGTCAGCAAAAATTATACCGGAACTTGTTGACAGATTAACATATTGTTACATCTAGAGCATATTGCTATAAAATTTTTATCTACATTGTAGTTCATATAATTGTTTTATGATTTCATTATAAGACATTAACATTATACAATCTCGGATAATTTTGACAGGTCTTATATATTTTAAAACAATGCAAGATTGTAATCTCAATTAATGTAGAAATGTATTAATTTTAAACTAGCATGAAAATATGGATATCATTGTACAGACCTAATAGTATTTATGTTTCAAAATAGAAATTGACCGTTTGTATGTATGTCTATAGAGCAGCTGATTGGAACCTCCAAGAGCCTACATGGACTGGCCGTATGCGTCTTGTATCTCAAGGAAATTTAACAGCTATAAAACTTGAAGATAAGATTACGGGTGAATTATTTGCCAAATGTCCAATTGAAAAATATCCAGGCATTGCAGTCGAGCCAGTCACAGATTCTTCACGTTACTTTGTTCTAAGAATTCAGGATGATAATGGACGATCAGCCTTTATTGGAGTTGGATTTTTGGATAGATCGGATAGTTTTGATTTAAATGTTGCACTTCAGGATCATTTTAAGTGGCTTAAAAATCAAGAACAAATAGAAAAGGAAAAGGATGAACCGAAACAGGAGCTAGATCTCAGATTCAAAGAAGGGGAAACCATAAAAATCAACATGAAAATTACTGTAAGATCATTTGACTGTTTTATAGACACTTGTATACGCAATTTTCATAGAAATAGTAGATGTTACATTAAAGAATGAACAATGAAATTTGTAACTGTGATATAGAAAAAGGATGGCAGTGAAGTCTCTTCCAAGGCAAAGCAGCGTCCAAATGCAGGTATTGGTTTGCCTCCTCCACCAGGTGGTGTAAAAATTGCACCACCTCCAGCCAAAACTCCAACTTCATCCCCTGCACATAAACCTGCTCAAAACCAAGCTACAAGTTCTGAATGGGGAGAATTTGCCAGTGCGTCACAACAACCACAAACCCAACAGCAACAACCGTCAACAGTAGGCAATTCTAGTTGGGTACAATTTTAACTTTGTGCAAGTTGTATTAAAATTTAGTGTAGCTGTGCTATAGAATCATAGGTGGTGCATATATATATTAATTTTGTATATGCACGTACACCTTGATATGTATGCATACATATACCTTTTAAGGGTAATTATTGACAAAGATGTTTCTATGTGTATAGTAAATTAGTTACAATATTTTTAGAATGTGACCTTTACTGTATTATAGTGGAGTACTTATAAATTTCTATAAATTTCTGTTATGATTCAATGTTGAAAGCAGTTATACAGAATGAATCTGTATCCATGAATCGAATATCTAATACATGCTACATTTCAAAAAAAGATTACTTACAAAGATAAATGCACCTGAAAGCTTTAACTATTCATTTTGATGATTTGACAAAAAAAAATGTTTGAGATCCAGAATACACTTGCATGTAAAGATTCAGTGAAAAATCTGCCACAGGATTATAGTTTAGCGTTTTCTTCCTGCCATTTATATTTTTGCTACTTCTATGAATAATCCAGAGAAATGTACATATAATTACAATCCTCATTTAAATGAATTATAAAAAGGAGTGTAATACTCATATTTTTTATATATGTAGATACCATATAAGTTTAGTGCCTTGTACAGATTTGTCTTTAAAAGATGAGACAGCCTGAATTACAAAAACAGGGAATTAATGCACAGAATAAAGAAAAGGTAATAGAAATCTATGATACCTAAACATGAGAACTGTCAGCAAAAAAGCTTGTTTTGCACAGTATTGAAGTTAATATGCAATAAAAATAAACTCAGTATTTTCTATTGCATGGATACAATCTTTGTTAAAACCCTTAAAGGTGTATAAATTAAATATTGGTGTATGCAGTCTTAGTTTACATTAGTTTCTGGTGTTTGTACATAAAACAAAAATTGAAGAGGCTCACACTGAAAAAGAAGGCCTAATTCTATGGGTATTTCAAATTTTTTAATTTATGTCCTGATTTGAAATCTACAGGTTTACAAGAAAACAGTTTTACGTTGTTTTCGTTCTAGCACCTAATTATACATCAGATATCATGTTTTTCTACCGTATTTTCATATTTTTAAAAGCAACACTTTAAAAACTTATTTTACATGATGTAAATTTCAGTTCGATACTTTTTAGACTAGTTAAAAGTTTATAAAAACGCTTGTAAAAATTATGCGCTGGATTGCATTAAAAAAGATAAACAAATGTAAAACATAGCTGTTTTACAGTAAAAAAATACTGTTAGAAAAAATCTAAGAAAAACTATTAAACACGGAGATGTGATCTATATTCGAAATGTTCGTTGAAAAATAAATTTATTACATATCTTTGTTTGCAAGAGTGGGGAAGAGTTGAATGTTTCATGTACATATTATGAATAATTATCTAAAGATGATATGAAATCCTAAATTGTGCGACTGTAAATTATTTACAGACATAAAAGTTAGATCTTGTGCGAATAGAATAAGTGATGAAATTACTTATATAGTTTAGTATCATTGTACTAGGTAAATGATACTGAACGACGTTGTTAATAATGTGTATGTTAATATTTAGTATAACGACAAAAATATCGTGTAATTCCATAATTTACATTCCGTTCTTAACTTATAAAAAAAAAATTATTACAAGTTACACACGTATCCGTGTGTCGTATGATAAATATATACCATATATAGCGCAGTTCGTCACGTTGCAGTAAATGAAAAATGCTGTTGTTTTCTATTGTATATTTTCATTTTTAGTTATAATAAATTGCATAATTACTAGTACACAATGAATCATTAAAAATCATATTACAAATAATACTTTGTAAATAGATAAATGATAACAGCAGTTGGAAATTTTATTTTATCACAAGATTATTTCGTCTTCTTAATAAATAATCAACAACGTTTATTACGAGCAACGTTAAGCCTTAAACTTCGCATGGCCATAGCGCGACTAAAGTGACGTTGCACTGGACGTTGAAGTTGTCCATTGACTAGACTAGAATCTTCGTCGCATTCCACGTTGCTCAAAACTACTAACAGTACACCAAGCACCTGCAATATTAAAAATATTCTAAATGAGTTCACTTTAATACAAAGTGCAATGTTAATAATGAAATACGCTTTTGCTCTCTTATCTTACGTACCAAACATATAATTATCAGTAATGTGTAGATATGTATACTCGCAGCCGGAAGTGATTCTACTTCTCTTAGAGCTTCAGCAGCTTCAGAGAGATCTGGTTTTAATTCAAGAGCATGTCGCAAATGTATGGCTGCTTCTTGGTAATGGCCGTATGCCTGCGAAGAGAAAATACACACTCCTAAGACTATGTACACTTTAATTTCACTATTTCATTCATTTTTGTATATCACATATGTGTGATGCTCAGATTTCTAAGTTAGCATACTTTATTAGATAAACGCAGAATGTGTTTTTGTAGTATTGAAAAGGTGTTAGCGAATGTGTTAAAAAGTAGTATTAATGATACACACTAAAATATATCATTAGAATTTTAAATCACCTTGAATATTTGACCAAGCGTAAGATATTGTTCCCATGCGTTGCGATCTGGAGGTTGTAGCTCCAAGGAACGTCTCGCTAAATGTGTCGCATCGTCTAAGTATTGTTGAGCCAATAACACTCTAGCCAAATTTAACAAAACTTCGGCATTATGCGGTGATACAGCGAGCGCTCTTCGAAAGCACTCGATCGATCTTTGCGCGTCGCCTTTTATACGCCAAAAATTTCCTATTTGATTATAAAGTTGTACTGATTTTGGTTTCTGGAAAACAATTCAATCGAATAATCAGTGAGCATACAACATTCGACCGGTTACATCTATTTCATCTTGTTACAAGTATTCGATGTAGCTTGGACGTACTTCTCGTTTAGCTTTTATTAAACGTTTCGCTAATAGATCGATATCGACATTCATAGTTTTACCGCCATTCTTCTTGAACATGAGCGTTACATTAGGTTCTGGAACCAGCGGATGTTTATCTCTGTTGGCGACACCGAGCAGGTTGTCGTAATTGGTGAAATTCACAGGCTTTCCACAGTCCAAGATTATGTCCTCGCATTGTTGACCAGACGTACACATGACTTGTTCGCCCGACGCCTGAGACGATAGAGGAAACTGCTCGGTAGCATTCGGAGTATCCTTCAACACGTATGACGAGAATCGTCTGCCAAGGGGACCAAAGTTAGGGCTTTTTTAACGCTGAAAGAACAGTAAGCCACACACAAATACTAACTACAGGAAGAAAAAGAAAATTATGTCGGATTAATTAAAACATTACGAAAAATAGGTATAGTTAAATAAAGTGAAAAAAAATAGACTTCGACGTAGTTTTTTAGACTATTTGAATATTTCTTACGTATATGGTGTATAGTGCATTGCTCTATCCAAAATCATATTCTATTGCTCATGCACAATTGCTGTCTAGGAAATATACATATATTTGTATTTGAAGTGAATAATAATCCAATTGGAAAACGTGCAAAAGTGACTATTTCTTGGATCTATAAGAATGGTAACCTTTTTTTTATAAAGTGCTAATCAGTAAATAATAAAATCGACTATAAGACGATCGCAGCGAATTATCCGACATAGGAAGTCATTTTCCACATAAATTCTATTGCTATTCTTTCGGCTTAAATCTTGAAAATTTTGGAAATATTTCAATAATTCATTTATCGGAAGATCACAGACGTGTGTCTTATTTTCATAGTGGAATTTCCCAATTATTGTACAATATAAACAACAACTAACTCGAATTTCGTATAGACTTAGTAAACATCAGGCATTCAAACTTTAAAAGTAGAAGCTCTGGTGATTCATTGTGTCTAACAAATCTACATAAACAATATTATCTTAATATTCAAAAACAGGACATGCCACTCTGCTCTTACCCAGTATTAACCAGAGTTCTCATGGTATCTTACCGTTCATGATTTCCGGAGAGAACATTTTTGCAGTCTTGACAGTAAGGTTGTATTTTTTCGTGTTTCTCGGAGACAGCGGTTCTGCTCCAACTTTGTCCATTACCAACACCGATACTGCTCGACAGGATATCAAAAATCGGATCATCTTCCACCGTGCTCACGAATTCTGTTGTCTTGACGACTTTATCAGCACTGAGCCTCCAAGAGGTTCGTGAGTTTGTGAGTTTCGCTTGGAGTATCAGGAAGCAAAACAAATAGCCGATGACACGACCGTCGACACCAACAACTTGCATTCTCCCGCTTCGGAAAAACCGATCAAAACACGTTGCTAATTCGAAAAATCGTCTGCTTTCAGGGTCCGGGCACTCTTACAAAAATCCGAGGACATGCACAAGCTTCTGGAATACACAGCAGGAGGCGTTGATGCAGTTCTTTGTAAACGCTGACGTACGCATCTATGTAGAGTTTTTGGCGTAGTTGCTTAGCGACAAAATAATGAGAATTCGGCTTAACGTAGATATTACATTGAGGCTCAATGATTGAGCTCTATATATCCTCTGTACTAACTGGAGAGCGAACTTCTGTGCGAAGAAATAGAGGCGACGGAAGACGGAAGTCAGAGGTCCGTGAGAAAAGGAAGATATAAGGGGTGTCTATCCTTCTTCTTCCTATAATCCTCTCTATCTAATACATTTGCGTACAGAGGGGATATAGATGCCACGTCGTTACTGCGTATGTGTATAGTGTATAAGACTGAGATTGACTGAGATAAAGTATGTTGCTCAGAAGAAGTCTTCCTTGACGACAGAGGGCTAAGGGGGCAATGGGGGGCACATCGCTTGCACGCGGTGCTGTGTACTCTGATTGGTCGATGACATCACGTTGGTCAATAGAAACAATGCGTGTGCCTAATAACCAATCGGACTTGCATACTTTAATGTCGTTAATATAAAATATACAGATTATGTGTCGCGTGTAAAGAACTGTTAGGTTTCTCCACCAATCAGAAACGATCACGAGAAATCACAAATCACTGTGAAAAATCACCGTGATTGGGAACGAACGTGATCGAATCACGAGTGATTCACAAGTAGCAGTTCACGCCATCTCTAGCCCTTATCCCACAGTTCACACTGGTTCACATGGATTCACACTCCAGTTAGGATAGAGCTCAATGGGAAATTCTTAGATCATACATATATAACTAAAATATGTAGAAACGTTTGTCATTCCGTGTTTAACGATATGGAAATGACGAACCACATTATAAAACAGGCCCAGATAGCACATGACGCCTTGAAGACGTCCATTTTAGGTCTAAGCACCTTTAAGCCGTCTTTAAGGCATGTGCGACAACAGAAAACCAGAATGACTATATAAGACATATTTTCCATGTAATAGATTTTAAACACCAATAAATCTAAAACATGTATGTGTGTACATAAATATGAATATAAACTTTATTTTTTAATGCCTTTATTAATTAAAACTTACACGATTTATATCAACGATTATTTATAGACAATTTATATATCTCAATCTTACTATTCAAATTTAATCTTTAAATGAACTCTAATTATGCATGTAGTTATTTGAAATCGCGTCAACTCTTGCTACGACATCGGTGCATGCGCACTGCGGGCGAGAGGGACATTCTACCTTTCTCTCTCGCACGATGTTGGACACAGTTTCGAACTCTCAATGCGACATCCAGTTATATATGATCTAAGAGGAAATTAGTTTCAGGTAAAAAATTATTTAATTGAAAATTTGATACTATAGATAATTTTTCTCCTATAGGGAGAACGTTACTTTAACACGCTTCATGAAATAACGGATTTCAAGCATTGTATACGTTTTTGTTGACTATTATTTTTTTAGCGATCACAAGAAGTCCGCGCGCGTAAAATTTAATTCTGTATATATAATTCGAAAGTTATTCGCAACATGTTCTACTTTCCTTATTGGTTCATTTTATCCTATATTTTGATAAGTGATCAATAATCATGTTTATTGGTGCGCATTTGTATGCCTTGTGAGACCCACTATATACAAATATTCATAAGAAGCCGGGGTCATTTGAAGAATTTCATCAGTTTTCCTAATTTTTTTCCAATGAGACCAATACTTTAATTAAATGCAGTTGCAAATTGTAGAAACATAAGGCTCTCTAAACATTGCTAGTCCCCGCACTCGCCGGAGAGTATTCACAGGTTAGTATTAACCAAAATTTTGCTTGTTTATATACAAACCTCCATGAAATGTTGCTTCGCGGTATTTCTTCAAGATGAGGAGGCTGGTGATGCCTCTTCATACAAAATTGACACAATGTTCTTTTTTAGGGATAAGAATAACAGAAGAATAAAATGATGCATAGAAGAGGAGGCAAACGAATACGTATGGATGATCCAGTGCCTCCCGAGTACGAGGCACCAATGACTCCAATGACTCCTATGAATGATAATTCTACAGGAGAAGCAAATGAATCGTACTCTAATTATACACCTTACAGCCAAGCACCTCCAACACCAATACATAATCCAACGTAAATATATGTTTTTATATTCATTCATTTATTGGTCTGGGTTAGGTCTTGCTATTAACTGTTAATATACATTGCTGTAATGTCTTATGTATATATATACTTGAATTAAGCAATGAGTTTATATGACTAATAGTTCTTTGTACATTTAGCATATGTATATCAATATATTATTTTTAATTGTTTCTATTTAGCCCTGAACATTATTCATCTGAAAGCTATAGTTCACCTGGTACATCACAACATCAATATCAAGAACAAGCAGGAGGTTTTGAGAATCAATCCCAATTTGAACAACCAGTGACACCAGCAACTCCTACCAATATGAGAATTACAAGGAACACACGTGCTAGGTTGCGTGGTATGTTTCATACCATTCTTGATAGTAGGTTGAGAATAACAATTGTTACACACAGGTGGAGCAATACAACAGCCAAAATATAAAGAAATAGATACAGATTACATTCCAACTACCACTAGTAGAGGAAGGGGTGGTGGTGGACGTGGACGTGGAAAGCGAACACATCACTCACATAGTTTGGAAGATGAAGCTAGTCTTTATTATGTCATCAGGAATAATCGTTCGTCGTTGACTGTATGTATATAAGAGTGTTTAAAACATTACAATCGAAAATTGCTAAATAAAAATATAGTAAAATGTATTACATCGTTTCGATTGTAGACTATTGTTGATGATTGGATAGAAAAGTACAAAATTAATAGAGAAAACGCACTTCTCATGTTAATGCAGTTTTTTATTAATGCAAGTGGTTGCAAAGGTCACATAACGTCAGAGATGCAGGCAACAATGGAACATGTAGCGATTATTCGAAAAATGACTGAAGAGTTCGATGAGGTATGTATTACTTTTGTATATGCATATTTTTCGTGTTTAATTGATGATAATTTATAATATAGGAAAGTGGAGAATACCCATTGATCATGACTGGACAGCAATGGAAGAAATTTCGTGCAAATTTCTGTGAATTTGTTCAAATTTTAGTTCGACAATGTCAATATTCTATAATATACGATCAGTTTCTAATGGATAATGTGATTTCATTATTGACTGGTCTTTCGGATTCACAGGTCAGAGCTTTTAGGCATACAGCTACACTTGCTGGTACGATATACATATCATTGTATAGCTGCATGGGCATACATATTTGCATGCGTATATGTATAAATACTTATTGTTTACAGCCATGAAACTCATGACAGCGTTGGTAGACGTTGCTCTTACTGTGTCAATAAATTTAGACAATACACAGAGACAGTACGAAGCAGAGAGACAAAAAGCTAGAGAAAAGAGAGCCGCGGATAGATTAGAATCATTAATGGCGAAGCGAAAGGAATTGGAAGAAAATATGGACGAAATTAAGAATATGCTTACGTACATGTTCAAATCTGTATTCGTGCATCGCTACAGGGACACGTTGCCAGAAATACGTGCGATTTGTATGGCAGAGATTGGAGTATGGATGAAGAAGTTTCATCAAAACTTTTTGGATGATTCCTATTTAAAATACATAGGTAAATATAAATTTTGTAATACTACAGATTTTGTATACTGTGCAACGTCTGTACGAGTTAAACGTAATTTTTCAGGTTGGACGTTACACGATAAAGTTGGTGAGGTTCGTTTGAAATGTCTTCAAGCACTGCAGCCATTATACGCCTCGGAAGAATTAAAAACTAAACTTGAACTTTTCACAAGTAAATTCAAAGACAGAATCGTTGCAATGACCTTGGATAAGGAGTACGATGTAGCGGTACAAGCTGTCAAACTTGTTATATCGATTTTAAAACACCATAGAGAAATTCTTACCGATAAAGACTGTGAACACGTGTACGAGCTTGTTTATTCGTCTCATCGTGCGGTCGCACAGGCAGCCGGTGAATTTTTAAACGAACGTTTATTCCGACCTGATGACGAAGCAGTAGCTGGCATGAAGACCAAACGTGGAAAAAAGCGTCTGCCGAATACTCCTCTTATTCGAGATCTCGTTTTATTCTTCATTGAATCGGAACTTCACGAACACGGAGCGTATTTGGTTGATTCGTTGATTGAAACTAATCAAATGATGAAAGACTGGGAATGCATGACGGATTTATTATTAGAAGAGGCTGGACCCGAAGAAGAAGCTTTAGATAACCAAAAAGAAACGTCACTGATAGAGTTGATGGTTTGTTGTATAAAACAAGCGGCCACGGGTAATTTATCATTTCTTTTTTTTTTGTAATACGTTCCATGCCTAGTTATGTAAACAATGTAAGCTTATTTTTACGTTGAAAAATAGGTGAAGCTCCAGTTGGTCGGGGACCGACCAGAAAGATTCTGTCAGCGAAAGAAGTGAAGCAAGTCCACGATGACAAACAACGGCTGACAGAACATTTCATTCAAACGTTACCTTTGTTACTGGATAAATACAGAGCTGATCCCGAGAAACTTGCGAACTTACTCGCGATTCCTCAGTATTTCGATTTAGATATTTATATCAAGTCTCGGCAGGAGCAAAATCTGGAGTCGTTGTTGAATAAAATTCATACGATCGTAGAGAAAATGCACGATACCGAGGTTTTGGACACAGCCGCGAAAACATTGGAGCACATGTGTATAGAGGGGCATGCTATTTTTACTAGGTGATGTTTCATAGCATATATATATAAAAATTCGTAAGACATAAATGTTTACCATTTTGTCGTGTTTCAATACAGGTGCGACGTAGCGCGTTCGACATTAATTGATTCTATTGTAAATAAATATAAAGAAGCTATTGATGAATACAGAAATTTAATAGAGGGAGACGAAGAACCGGATGAGGATGAAATTTTCAATGTTGTTCAGTCCCTTAAGAAAGTTTCGATATTTTATTGTTGTCACAACATGAATCCCTGGGGAATATGGGATTCTTTGTACAAGGATATCGAAGATGCCAAGGATCCGTCTAAGTACTAACATTACGTATATCGTGCATATGTAAATTAAACAAAAAAATATTAAAATTGTAAACTAACAATTTCGTTCTAGATGTTTACCGCATGAGGCAGTAAAATATTGCATAAGCGCATGTTTCTTTGCAATTCTGTGGGGACAAAATCATTTGATGGAGTCGGTAGATTCTGGAAATCGAGGCGAAGATGAGTGCCGACAATTAAAAGAACGATTGCATTCATTCATGGGTTCTATGAGACATTTCGTTAGCGGCGATGGAAGTGGCACGGTATTTACTTTATTTTTCACGCTTTTGTGAATAGAGATATTACAATAAAATAAAGTGTTTTTGCAGCCTTCTCCGCCAATTCTGAGAGAAGAAGCATACAATACGATATGTGATTTATTGGTAGTGTTTTGTAACCAGTTGACAACGCATCCTCAGCCTTTGATGCATCAGTTGGTATACGAACCTGACCAAGCGATGCAGAACATGCTCAATCGGTTTATACAAGAATACGTATTTTTCGAAGAAGAAGATGGTATATATATATAATAATAATAAAATCATCCTTTGAAAATACAAATAAGGTTAAACGATGCACTTTATATTTGCAGATGGACATGACGAACATTCAAAGATAGAAGAGTTACATAAAAGAAGAAACTTTTTAGCGGGTTACTGCAAGCTAATTGTATATAACATGATACCTACCAAAGCGGCTGCGGACGTGTTCAAACATTATGTAAAATATTACAATGATTATGGAGATATTATTAAGACTACGCTAGGAAAGGCCAGAGACATTAATAAAACAAATTGTGCGTTGACGATGCAGCATAGTTTGAATATTTTATATAATGAAATAGTAGCCGAAAAAGGCAAAGTCAATAGAAACAGCGAAGAGTTTACGGCGATAAAGGTGTGTGTACATTTATAAATATTTTGTAATTATAATATAGTTATCACATACGTATACTATGTTCAAATAGTTCTTGTCATTCTGGCTATGTATCATCCTGTTTTGAATGGCAAGAAACATCGGAGCACTATATGCATAACGATACATACGAGGTATGACAACAACTGTTTACATTGTTGCTACTTTGGTGGAAATAGAATTATACTCGAAACTTTATTGTCTCGCCTCGTATATTGATAGTAAACATATTTCAGGAGCTTGCAAAACGATTCGCTTTGTCATTTGGTTTGGATGCAGTGAAAAATCGAGAAGCAATCACCGCTCTACACCGGGCGGGTGTTCTTTTCGCTATCACACCACCAGATGGCATCGAGCAAGATCCCACTGGACCACCGCCTAATTTATCTTTCCTTGAAATCTTGTCCGAGTTCACGAATAAACTCCTTAAACAAGATAAAAAATTGATGATACCAGAAATATTGCTTTTAAAACTTTTACTCGGAGTATGCAAACAAATAAATGTTACATGCAGAATTATGTAAAGTATAGATTTTACATTAAAAAGAAAATAAGGATGTAAAAAATATTAAAATTGTGAAATATACGAAACGTGATAGATGATCAGTTTGACTTCTAAGATTCTTGATTGTTCTTAATTGTTGATTAATCCTTATTCTATTCGTGATTTATGTAATTGTATGCTTATATTGCAGGCTAAACTTCCTCGACAGGCGATTACAAGCTGGAATGCCGTCCTCGCGGGGAGAGGATTGGCAGCCTTTACTATTGTACAGAAACAGTCTTTTGCATGGCGAGACAGATCAAGTTCCGGTAACGAGTAAACGAGCTTACACGAGACGCAAGAAGGATCACTTAGCTGGTACGTCCTTGCAATTTATATAAAGTAAAAAAAAAAAGAAAAGAAATTTATATACTTCGGTAAGAATTATTTAAAATTCATTCTGGTACAGTGTAGTTTATTTTTAATCACGTACATTTATATTTTTTGCAGAGGAAGAGGAAGTAGATGAGCCTGAAGAAGGTTCTGATCATGAATTTTCTGGGTGAGTTAGGTGTACATACCAAACTAATACACAGTAACATATTTCGTAAATTTTATTTACTGATACTATTTGGGATACAGAACAATTATATAGTTGCAAGTAATCGCCATATATATAATACTACTATGTTTATAATGAAATTTCATTAATCCATAATCATAATATATGCAGAGTATGCTTTTTTTGCTTCTAAAACGTATTTTACGCTGAGAATGATAGAACACATTAGATAATTATAGAACGTATTGCTAATGTAGATACTAAATTTACACGCTTATGTAGTTATTTTAATCCACGTGTAATCTGCACATTTCTTTAACTATTTATTGACATTGCACTGTAATGTCGTTGAATGCTAAAGTAAATCCGTACTCTCACTAGTTTAATAATTAACTAAACCCTATTCTTCTTTACCATAGTTTGTTTTGCATTATTATTTTATTTTATGTTTCGCTATAATGTATTTATTACACTCCATTCCTTTAAAGTAGGACAATCTAAATTACAAATATACAACACTAATAATTGTAAAATGTAGAACTTGATCCATTTTGAAAACTGTTTTATATAGGAATGTTAGATAATATATTTGCAGTGCAGCATATCGTTTAATTTTTATTTTATACACATTAATCACTATTTGCGTAATTATTGAGAATATTCCAAAAAATAAAATAGTTCACTCTTTTCCATCTAATTGCATGTTCGTGCTTTATTTATTAATGAATACACATTACCATTGGCGTCTTTACGTACATGATAAAACTGTTGTGTTCGCATGGGTAGTAATCTCTTATGAATCGCTTGTTGCAGGCTACCTGATCGTTATTCAAGCTAAGAATTAGAATTTTTTAGCAAAATATATAATGTATGTAATCATATAAGGGGCAAAAATTGTATAAGGAATTGATGAGGTCAGTTATTCTTGGTGCCTGTTTTAAAATCAACTTTCAAGCTAGTGTAAGGAATTAACAATATATATATATATATACACATATATACATCCATATTCATATACACATGTAATATTGCGAAAGTATCGAACCAAGTATCAAACGGACGCATACCTATGTAAATGATAAAAAGTTATATAAGTAATTGATGAAATCTATTATTCTTGATGCCTATATTTAAAACAACTCGCAACTTCTACATACTAGTGTAAGGAGAATATGATACAAAAAAAAATACACAATAATGTTGTTGATAGAATCGATAATATTTTTGGAATGCCTGCAAAAAAAGTACATAGAGAACGATGTGTGTTTTGTTGAAGCTAAGAACTTGAAAACAAGCAAATCTAAAATACTGTGTATTCTGTTTATATATTGATAATATACAAATTGGTGATAGATACGATGAACATGTGATATTAATTACAATAAGACCCCCTTCTCCTACGAGTTCCCGTATCCCGCTTTATCAAAATTTCAATTTCGTGGCGGTTAAACGACGCTACACTTTGCACAGTTTTCATACCCTTGAAATTCGCAAAAGAAATGGTCACAAATATTAACCCATTACTCTGCATTCCCTGGTTCAACCATCGAAATACTTTTGTATTTTTCAACACGCCGTTCTCTATAATCAGCGCAATATTATAAGACACGTTTCTAGATATCTGATTTGTTAATACCTGGAATGAATACTACGAATATTGTTCGGATATTTAATCGTTCGTTCGGATGTAGCGACGGAATTTAACGATACGTATGTACGTGAACTGTAATTTTGTAACGTTTGTGCTCGTATCATATAGAACCGTGCGTGTAAAAATACGAAGAGTTTACTTATAACCAAATTTTTGTCCCTTTACTTATGAAATTAACTCCGACGTATTTCCATCAATGAATCCTTTTTCTTTCAGTAAACACAAGAAGAAACGTGGTCCAAGGAAGCATCAGTGAGTAAAAAAGCTTCGTTTCATTCTAGCATTTCTGCGTCCTCAAATTGTCTTCCGTTTAAGTAGACCGATTAAATAGAATGTACTTGTTCGAAGAAAGAATAAGCTTTTTTTCTTTTAAATATGAAGAAAGAATATTGTATACCTCTGTTGCATTCAGTTTGCAAGTCACGGTGCTCATGAAATAAGTTTTCAGTTTGGCGCACCCTTTGTAGTACCATTAGCTTGAATCTGCATTTCAGATTAGCCGTTAATAAAGTATCAATAAATCGTGGATCTAGGGCAGCTGGCTTTTACGAAACCAGTGACACGATACAGATGCAGACGTCTCCGTCGGCGATCATCGAGGACGCGTCCACTAGCCCATCCCAAGATATAGATAATAAACTTAAGACTTTGCAGATACAGTCGAGGTCGTAAGTAATTTGTTTTTATGATCTAATGGACGTAAACCATTTGTTTTTGTCACCTCAGAGTTGCTCGTACAAATGATGGTTGCTCTTTATAGGCGGAGAAGTCAAGATCACGGGGAACCAAGAGAATTAAGAAGGACATCTAGAAATTCTGGTCGCTACGTCGAAGGTCAATACATGGTGAGTCGCGTTAATTTATTATAATTAAAGAATACACGCGTATAATTTATAAAATTTATAATATTACAATTATATTACAATAGTTACTTACTAAGGGCGGCATTTATGATTAAAAAGTATTAGAATCAAATAGTCGTGATATATGGATCTTTAATTGCTATATTCTTACGTGTGGAATTAAAGATTGTTCTCTAAAAATGTTGTTATATCAGATCAGTTTCTGAACATTGTCTGATTTCATTTAAAACGATATACAGTAAAGTTACAAATATGCTATAAAATTAGAAAAAATTAGTTTGAGTAAGCTCATTGTTGAATTATGAATAGTTCTATTAACCGTTATAGTTCTCCATTAAAATAATAATACACATTTGTTACAGGAATCGGATTCCGAATAATGAAGACTAATAGGAAAAAGATTTTCATTGTATCCAAGATGGCCGTGTACCAAGGGAAGGTGATTTGTGATACATTTTTAATACATGTATCAGATTGAATAGGTTTCAGGTAGAACAATACATAGAACTTATTCAGTCGGCTACATATATAACACAAGATAAGAAAACTTTTACTGACCATTGAGTTTCACTTTACCTTGATAAGTTACTCTTAAGTGTTTTTAAATCATTTACATAAAATATTTTTGTTATTTAAAATTATATATACTTTTGAGTCAATATCGCATTATATATGACCATACCATACGTTTTGTAACATCAGTGTTTTTTATATTGATAAAACTTTCAAATACTATTGTTAATTCTGAAATTATTTAATTCATCGTCTAAATAAATGATTATAATCTACGAACAACAAAGACTTTTTCTTCATACGTATTTAAATAGCCTATCGTTAAAATATTAAATTTCATAGTACTTTGTACATTTCTTAGCTTGATAAGGAAAGTTAAAAGAAAATAAATTGTTCTCCTTAAAGTTACAAATATTGGTGGTAGAAAATAATTCGTGTTACATACGTGATGATTTTTATCTGTCGGTCGTACCACGATATCTACGGAAAATGTTACTTCTTCTACGACCTCTTGGTGTAACTGAAACATTCTATTAAAACAACATTACATATAGTTTTATATTTAATTTTTGGTTTCAGTATTGTCATAATATGTATAGAATATTAAGAAATATTGGAACAAGGACTATACGAGCTTCATGGATGAATTGTGTACAATATAAATAGTATCTTTTATCCTTACTTCGTCTTGTCGTCTTGAAGTGAATAGACTTTTCAGTGTGCGCGGTGTTGCCGTTGCTCTGTCTTTATTTCTTTCTCTTAGTATCCTTGAGTTTGGACTCTTTAGTTCATTGCCCTTCAATTTTAAAGATAACGTGAGAAACAGTTAGCCAGACACCTGGTGGTGTTTTATTTTGGTATTACATCAGTACCACACATAATTAACTTACTTGTAGTGATAATCTTCCTCCATTCTTACTGGGTGTTGGAGGGCCAGGTTTTTTGTATGATGTCTACGATAAAATAAAATTATAACATTCGCTCAGTAATACGAATTCATCGTTTTCATCGTATAGATATGTTTACCTGAGTTCTGTCTTTCTTCTTTGCTTTCTGTTCAGGAAGTAAACTTTGACTTAAACTATCATTAAACATTTCATCTGCTGCTGAGCCTGTCTATAAACGAATGTTCATTTTCAAACAGTGATACCAAAAATAAAATACGCAAGAGACATATAAAAATTGCTTACTTTAATTTCTTCTTCCGTAAATGGTAAAGGATGGAAACCATTTTTCATGTCGGCTAATAAATTAGATTCGTTTAATTGATAAACATAAATTTTTTCTAATTTTCGTTCATAAATCTTACATAATTTACCTAAATAAATATTATCGAACACTTCTCCCTCCTCGTCTTCCGCATTAAATGCATTACCCATTGTTTGTATACTTCTAATACTGCATCTTCTTTCAAAAGCTGTTTTTTCTTCGATCACGGTAACTTTATGTAAAATCTCTTCTTTGTTTTCTCCCGATAGTAAATCTCTTTTTTCGTATCTAAGATAAGTTTAAATAATATTTGGAAATATTAAAAAAACCCCAATACTTCGCTATTGTTATAATGTAATTCGTCTTACTTGGTACTTCTATGTTCTATTGAGGAAATCAACTGTTGATCCAAGTGTTGATATTTAAGTTTCAGTTCGACTAGCTCCTTCTGTAACTTCTCCTTCTCTTGTCGTTCACTTAAGAGTTTTTCTCCAACATTCCAAATCTGCGAACTCATGCCTGCGACATGTGCTTTGTACTTGCTTAATTCATCTGCCTGTTTGCGACATTGTATTTCCATTTTTTTCTGTAGTGTTTCCAATCTTTCCTGTACACATTGTTCTTGTTCTTTGTTTAACTTAGTTACTTGTTCATTATATGCTGTTTTCTGTAATACGTATTACAGGAATAAAGGAATCATAATGATTGCAAAAATAATAGATATTATGAATGTGCCTACCATATTTAGTTTCATTTCATCTAATTTAATCTTATACTTCTCATAAATATCTTTCAACTGATTGTCGACGTCTTCTTTCCTCGGCCGCTTGCTTAACTCGTCCCTTTCTTCTTGTAGCTTCAAGTTTTCTTCCTTTAATGCTTCTGTTTCTTTCCATGAGATTGTTCTTAATTCGTTTATCTTTTCTCGGAGTTCATCGATATGCTCTTCCAATTTTGCATTCTTCATGCGTGCACAGTCTAATTTGTTTGCTACATTATTTTTCTCCTCTATTAGTTCATCAATTTGAAATTGTAATTTTTTCTCCGTTTCAGATTGATATTTTGTTCCGTTAGATTTGAAATCAGTTTCTAATGAAGTAACTAAGTTGGCAAAATCATCTATTTCCTTTTCAGTTTGAATAATGCGCTCTTTGAATATTACATTTTTTTGTAGCTCGGCTTCAATTACTGTTCTCTCATCCGAAAAGGTATCCAAACATATATCATACATTTCTTCATTGTCAGATAGATTCAAATAAGTATTTTTCAATTCTTGCTCTGTCCATAAGAACTTTTGCCACAGAATAGTGTGCGTAGGTATTATGTTTTGCAATTGATGAATATTGTATTTAGACAAGGTATTTTCGAGGTGTGTTTTTCTGACCTGTATCTGTTTTAACTTATCGCATACTAAATTATCCATTTCCAAAATACTACCAGACTTTGTTAACAATCTATCCCATTTTTCTTTTAGTTCATCCAAAGATGTATCCAAATCTTTTCTCGATTTTATAACATTCTGCAAAGAATCTCTTAATGACTCTTTACGTTTTATAAGATTATTTAGATGTTTCACATGTTTTTCTTTTGTATTCTTCAATGCCTGCACTTCAATTTTTAATGTTTCGGTCTCTTTACATTTTTGTATATAGTTATCTGTAATAACTTTTTGATTCTCCAAAGTTTCATTCAAGTTTGTATTTACATTTGATAGATATAAAATTAATTTACGCGATGCATGTACTTCGTTAATAGATGTCTTTACAGTATTTAAAATATTATTAGTCTTGTAACTATCATTATTTATAGACAACAATCTGTCATCACCATCATTATAAAAGTTTTCATTGGCTGGAGTTGCGTTTGCTATTGCAGGTCTCAAATCATTTACAGAATATTCTAGTTCATTACAAATTTGTGCAATTTCTAACATCTTTGTATCCAGAATTTTAGAGTATTCCTTACTTTTGTCATGTTCAATTTTTTCTCTCTTCAATACTTCTTGCAATTCATTTAAAGTTTTCATTTGCTTGTACAATTCAATTTGTAATTCGGAATTTTTACTTTGTAAACTTTGACATAGCGTTTTCTCATCCTCGAATTGCTTATAAAGCACGCTTTTTGATTCCATAAATTCTTTCTCAAGTTGGATCATCTGTAAAGCCTTCTCCTTTAAGGCCTTCTCTTGAGTTGTCAAAACTGTATCTTGTGTAGTTCTCACTTCCTGGAGATTCATAATTACTTCTTTCATTTTTATTTCAGAAACAACTGTTTCTTTCGACAATTTTTCAAATTTGTTCTGTACAAGTTCTAATGTTTCCTGTTTTAATTTTATCTCTATATTTAGCTGATCCAACTCGCGTTGCTTCTCTAACAATTTCTCTTCTAATTCTTGTATAAAACTCTTCATGTTAGATTCTTCTTCCTGTTGTAAATGAATTACATGTTCTTTTTCTAATTTCAGAGAAGTAACTTCTGCAATTAAATGTGTAATTTTTTCGGTTTTTAACTTTAATTGATTCGACGAGTTAGATGTTTCTTCTTGAGCTAGTTTAAGTTTATCGTTTACCATATTTAAATCGAGCAAAACTTTTTCATTTTGACCCTCCATATCTTCTTGTTGTTTTTCCAGAATTTTATTCGTTTTCTGAAGGTTTTCCGATTTTTGTATAGATTCTGTTAATTTTTGTTTAACTTCTACCAATGCTGTCTCTAATTCGCTTACTGTTTGCTTAGTTTTTACCAAATTGTTTTCTAATGCAGTGTTTAAGTTTTGATTATCTTTTAATTCTTTTTCGTTATCTGCAAGTTTGTCCTCGATTTCTTTTCTGTGAAGTTGTTCTTTGGTGAAATTGTTATGTAATATTTTGTGAGCATTTAAAATATTTGTAATGATTTCATCACTTTGTTTTTGACATTCATTCAATTGATTCAGTATATCCTCCTTTGTCCAACGGAATTCCGCTATTAATGCATTCAGAGTTTCTTTTAAATTTTGTGTAGATCTTGTAGAAGATTTTAATAATGTACTTTTCTTGTCCAAATCATCTTTAAGCGTGTACAAATCTTTCTCTAAAATTTGTTTTTCAAGTTCAACTTCTCGTAAACATGAAATTTCGGTAGAATATTGATTTACAGCAGCATTAAGTTTGTTAATCTCTGTTATATTTCTTGCAATAGTTTCCTTTAGCTTTGATATCTCTTCAGCACTTTGTTTATCATTCTTTTCTAATTCGCATATTTTTGATTGATATTGTTCTGTCTTTAATTCCATTTGTTCCATACTACTTTTCAAAGATTTAAGCTCCATTTGTTGAGAAGTGGATTTTTCATTAAAATCGTCTAATAATATCTTTACTTTTTCTATAAGCTGAGCAGTTGTTGCATCATCTAAATCATTTTGACAGTCACGAGTTACTAAATTATTAAGTATAATCTTCTTCAAATTTGTATCATAGCTTTCAAATGTAATGTCATATAAATTATTTAAATCTTGTATACTTTTAATTTTTTTAACTATCTCTGATTCAGCATCTGCAAGTGCATCATTTAACTGTACGTTATTTACATTCACATCATTTAAAGAGTTTTCCGTCACTTTAATTTTTTCCTTCAAAGTATCAACTTCCATGGTTAAAATATTTTTAGTCTCTTCGATTTGTAACAACGATGTTTTCTGAGAGGCATATAACTTTTCTAAACGTTGATTTTCATTTATTAAAGACTTTTTCTCTGTTTGTAAAGATTCGACCTCCTTAGCGAATTTATTCAAAGTGGTACGTAATTTAGCTTCTGTATCTTGTAAGTTTACTGTCTTTTCCTCTAAAAGTTGCGTTACGTTTTTATAGTCTCGGCTTGTGGAATCTAATTTTTTATTTAAAACATCAATTTCAGTTTTCAATGCAGCAGATTCTTCTTTCGCTTCTTGCAATTGAATCTCGATTACTGAACTAAGAGCTTCGCTAGTATTTAGAGACGGTACGGTTAAAGTTAAAGGTACTATGCCATCAATTTCAAAACTTTGTTCCCCATCATCTGTTCTATTAAATTCTTTCAAGTGAGTGCGTAATTCTTCGTTAGTAATTCTAAGATCTACTATCTCTCTGTCTTTAAGTTCCCCTTGAATTTGCATACTTTCCAAAGATTTTTCACAAATTCTCAGTTTCTCCTTAATGCTTATGTATTGTCTTTCCATACCTTTTACTTTCTTATACAAACTGTCATTCTCTGTTTCAAGCTTATCTATCTCGAATTGTTTCTGTATTAGTTCATCTTCTAACTGACCTACCTCCCTTCTGTAATAGTGTTCCAAGTCTGTTGTATTTTTACTTTTTTTACAAGACTGCGGAGTGTTTGGCACTCTTTCGTTCCGTAAAGCTTTCAGTTCCGCGGTCTGTTCTCGCAACGCATTTTGCAAACTTTGAACTTTATTCTGTTGGATTCGCAAATCTTCCTGTAAATCTGCTTTCTCGAATCGCTCCACTTCTAATTCGTTCATTAACTTCCTCAATTCGCGATTTCGTTCGCTCAATACTTTATGAGTTTGAGCAGATCGCGTGGCAGGAGAAGTAAAAAAATCTTTCAGCGATCGTGTTCTTGGTGTCACCGGTGTTTTTGGTGCATTGTATTCTAATTCAGCTATTGCTGCTCTTAATGACTCCTTGTTTATATTCTTTCCATACGGAATAATTATTTCAAGGAACATTTTAATTTTAATTTGAGTCTCATGTTGCAATTTGTTACACATAGGTTGATAAAATAATGGTTCGTATTGACATATATACAATAAAAATAAGGATGCAATGTCCATGTGTTCAATCTCTTCAAATGTTTCTACATTCAACATGAATTCAGGATATTCATCTGCATAGAAAATAGAAGATGTTATATTTTAATGAACAATTGTATCAGATAAAGGTGTTTCATTAAATTAAACCATTATTTTTAATCGTACAAAAAAAAAAAAATTTACAAATCTCATGCAAAAAAATCTAGAAAAAAATGACCTTGGCATAAAGTTTTTTTCTCGCATACCACAGTTAATTTTTATTCATTAAAAGTGATAAAAATACTGCAGGTGATCAAGTTAAGCTGATACCTTCTATGAAAAAAATGTGTGTTACATTTTTATATACCTTGCAAAAATTTTGTAACAATATTTTCTGTATCTGATGTGTCCTCTATACCTTTCCATGAACTGTAAATAATAACAATCTGTATTGACATCTAGTTTCTAATATAGTTAAATATATAAATATGTTTTGTATTTAATTTGTAAGAAAAATTTGATACATAATGCTCCTAATAAATAAGTATAATCAAACACAAATGTACCTACCATTGTTGTAATAACTTTTTGTAAAATTTTCCGTCTTCTAGTTCTTTCAAGTCTTTCACATTTGTTTCCACTACATCTAAACAGTGCAGCTGAAAATATTGTTTAATTATTTATGTTTACAAGTATGTTTAAAAGATGTACAATACAGGGCAACCTACTATGTTTATCAAAATTTTACATCCATCATAATTATAAATTGACTTTGTTACGTTTGTTTATAACGAAAATGTCCTTTAAAATAAGATTAAATTCTTATTTATTTATGTTTACTACTTGTTTTGGAGTAACAGTTTCCTTATGCAATGTAAATTCATTCCTCAGATATATTAATTCATGCAATATTACTACTCACCCATTCCAATATAATTCGTAGCCATAGCCTCATGATTTTTTTATAGAAACAATAACGTATTTACAATTATATAAATAATAAACGCCAGAATTTAAAATGCTATCTCCTGTACTCCTAACGTTCCATAGAGTATACGTTTAATTTCAAACAAAAATTGCTGCCTTCACGTCGTAGGAAGTGACATCTTTAAAAGTAAACTGCCCTAAAGGTAGTACAGATCCCTAGAAACATTCGTTGCGTACCCGTCCCACTATTCTATAAATGTATGCCACGAATTTCAAATTAAATTGATGATATACTTTGAAATTGGTTAACAGATTTATATTATATTATTATTGAAATATTTTTTAATTAGATTTACATACGGAGAAATATTATACAACAGTATAACAGCAATAATTTTTATTTAATTATTAATCTTTTTAAATGCTGCTAACTTTTTCTTGATATGTGTTTAGACGTCATGTTATAAATAAAATATAAATGTCAGAAATTTTTCCAATAACATCAATCCAACTTTTCAATTCGTATCTCCTAGATATTTTACACAATACATTTGGATAAGATGCGAGAATCGACTGCTATCCACCCGCCCTCTGGTGAAAGATGAAAATACGAGTTTTGTTAAACCAGTGTTAAATGGTGTTAAACGCAGTTAAACGTGTTAAACTAATGTTACAGTCAATGTGTGTTAAACATGTTTGCAACGGGTTATAAGGTTTACAGTTAAACGGTATATGTCATATGATGTCATAGCATGATTCCACTTGGAATAGTGTATGATGAATGATTTTAAAAGTTCTTCAGAATATAATTCGTTTGACTGAATCACATTAGAAGAATACTTGTAAAGTATGAATAAAATTATATTTTTCTATACTTTATTTATTTAATGTAGTAGGATAGTTTCCTATAAATATAAACATTCGATTGAAAGTAGTTAGAAATTTACATATAAATAAGTATTTGTTAACAGAATGAACGTTTCCTAATTTACTATCTATGAAATCTACTTTTGATTCTCTCTTATCTCAGTTATCTTTAGTGATTTTCCTAGTAGGCTTGGTCATTGTATAATTTATTATAATCGCTTCTAATTGTATAGCAGAATTGGTTCTTTAATTAAGAATCATAAATAAGTGGTAAGAAATGTTTATATACTTAAATTTCTCTTTTTTAGTGGTATGACTAATTTGGTATTTGGAGTTGGTATAGGATTATTCCTTATTTTTGTTCTGTGGGCACTGGCTCTATTTGTATTTATTATTACTTTACGAGTTGAGAGGAAAATTGGTGCAATTGCTATATTGATTGTGAGCATATGCACAGTTATTTTAATTGCTTTGCCAAGAGCATCTGAAAAATCTGTCTCTACTGAGAAAAAGGTATGCACATATTTAATTTGTAAGTAAATATTACTATATGTCTGTGTTCCTAATTGTATAATGATCACATAGCAAACAATATAAATTCTAATTGATTATGTAATTATGTCAAAAGAAACTTTTTCTTTGCAGACATACGATCATTTATTTATCTGGCGTATTCTGCTACTTACACTGTTAATTCTATCATCTATCATTGGATTGATAGGATATGTTAAATTTGCCATAACAGATTCTGTTAGACCAATTCGTATAACTAATTGGATATTTTAAATATTTATAGTAAGTATCTTCCTCACTGCAATTGCTATATAAGCTAATAATACATAGAATCAATTAATTCTTTGTTTTTCTGTATATATTTCAGAGTTTATTAACAAAATAGAAATATTGGCAGATACAATTGCTAATTTCTATTGATTATGCTCAGTAATTAGGCAGTACTTAAAAAACTAGAAAATGTTGCGTCATACCAGTAAGCTTTCATCAATGTTAGTCCGTGGGGTTTCTCTGTCCCGACAGTGGAACAAACAATTTGAAATAAATAATAATCAAGAATTTGTTAGTAAGGTAATGAATAGTTCAATACCAGTTATCGTAAACTTTCATGCTCACTGGTGTGAACCTTGCAGAATACTCACACCTAAATTAATAGATCTTATAGAACCAATGGATAAATTAGATCTTGCCATTATAGATCTAGAATTGAACCCAGAGTTAGTACACATCTTTGAAGTAAAAGCTGTACCAGCTGTTGTAGTAATTTCAAGTGGATTGGTTATTGATAAATTTATAGGTTTAGTTGACATCAAGATGATAGAAAACTTAATACATAAACTTACTCAGCAGAATGTAATAACATCCTCGAATTCTGAAGATGATAGAAGAGAAGCTTAAAGATGTGCATACTGCTGTTGCACATCATATAAAATGAATGTAATAATTTGAGTAAACTATACTTTTGAAATTTAGATCATATAATATAATCTTGTTTTTTTGTATATAAATATTTTTCTGATACTCAAAATATTAAGTCCTTAAATTGAAAATGGCACTTACTTATATTCTAAATTTTAAGGAAAGTGTTTTAAATATAAATTACAAAATTAAATGAGGAATTTAATTGTACTAGGAGGCTATACGAAACTTCATTAAATAATGCGGAGGAAACATATACACAGAACGATACTTCCAAGAAGAAACAATCATATTTACTACTATAGATTTCAATGAAGATTTTGAATGTTTTATAAATCTTTTAAATGCTAACTGGAATTTCTACTATAAATGCCTTCTTCTCTTTTAATGAATAAATGTTAGGATACAATACAAAATTATTGTTTCTAAAAAGATAACATATTTCCGTTTATTATTTATAACTTTTATAATAATAACTTGTTAATTATTTTACAAACTGTTGGTAATGTATTATATGTATGTATCAATAATATTATAACGTGATTACAAAACGAATCTTTTAACTGATTGTGTATTATACAGTACAATATGTTGTAATAATTAAGATTAATGGCCTCTTTTACTCTACAGTGTGGTCGTGCTAGCAGTAATTAATAAACTAAGCCTAATTTTAAAACTGAAATACAGGGTGCGGCCGAAAGGACGGTACAAGTGGACAGGAGATATTTCGTTATGTAAAAATAAATCAAAAATGTAAAATAAAATTTGTTCATCTGAGGTTTAGTTTTAAAAAAAAATCGAATTTTCGAATTCATCTAAATAAGTCGAAACGGAACACAACGAACAGACACACCGCAGATTTTCAAATTCAATTATCTCGGGAACAATGCATCCCACGAAAATATTTTATTCTATATTTTCCACTTATTTTTGTACGTAGAAAAACCTCTCCTGCTTTCTTGTATCATCCTCTCGGCCGCATCCTATATACTTAAATGTACTCGCTCTCTTTGTATAACTGTTGTTCCTTAAACGTCTCGTAGTTGGACACTAATTTTAGTGATCTTAATAAACTTCATTGAAGCACATTATGTAGTATAGCTAAGAATAATTTCTCATTAAATAGTAAATGCGAGTTCAGGACATTAAAACATTATTGACACAGGGATTATGAACAAACTTTTATCCAATCAGATTTTCGGTTTACTGTTTATTCTGGATCATAAAACAATTCTGTACAATCTATGTATGAAAGTACTGTTGATTACAGATAGTAGGCCAGAGATTTAATAAAGATTGTTTAATCCACGTACTCCCCAGTGAAAGAGATTTTTGTCCCTTGGCAGCAAGCGATACATAAACATGTACCAACAATTAAAAGACTAGCTACGATTTGTTTATCAGTCAGGTGCTTTCAAGAGACACCATGATAAGGCAATGCTGTGATTTCATGGTTACTTGCAAAACCTTTCGTTTTCCATGCCAAATATATTTTACTCTTTTTTTTTTTTTTGTTTCATTACTAGATTACAAATTGGAGAATATTCTGTATTTTTGCAAGCAACCCTGTCTTTTTTTATTATTTTAGTAACCAGTACATACGTTTAAAATTGTTTTGACGATTGCGGTAAAACGAATAAATTGAAAATTAACTTACACGAATATATACAAAACTAGGAAAACGCGTTTAGTAAGTCTTTCGTTAAAAGAAAAATTATAATAGATTTATTTTTCTTTCCTGAATAAATATCGTGGTGCGTTTACAAGTAATAACTTCTTTTTTTTCAACATGGCATTTGGTTTTTTTTTATGATACTATGTACTTCATTATTCTTATATATTAGTTTCAGCGAAAGTTATAATGACATATATATATCAAATGTAAATACACCACTGAGTTCATCATAACTTTTATACAATAAAGTTATACAAACAAAATTGTTGTTGTTCGAATTATATGTGACACTGCTATTAGTGTCACCGATATGTTCTGCAGAGGCGATTTTATGGCCCCACAAAATTACACGTTCAGTAAATACATTTGGACGCTTTAATCTTGCAGAAATATTACGTATATTTACAACTTATCGATATCAAGTAGTTTAAAAAAATGTAACAAAATGTAGAAAAAAACGAATGACATTATATACAAATTGCTACTGACGTTACTTGTTGTTATCGAGTGAGTATATTCAATAATACTAACATCAAAATATTTCTACTTTTTTTCTAATAAAATATAACTTAAGAAAATTTGGCTACGTCCTATAAATCACATCGCTATAACTTCAAGATACAAATATATATTGACGTAGTTAATAGCTTTTTGTACTTTTTTCATTTTCATAAACACTTAACAAAGAATAATTTGCGTAATTATTACGGATAAAATGTAAACGATTTTTATACGGTAAATTAACAGAACATAACTTGAATATACCCAATTGATTTTTTATCTTGGCGATAAATATAATAATTTAATTGAACAACAAGTAACAAGTAGTTTCCGTAACTACTAAACCATCTAATAGTTATATGATACATGATATGATACAACATGGTACAATTTACTTTGCATTAAATAACTTGGCGATTGACGATAATCCTCTTAGTAAATACGTAAGAAGTAATCATGCTATCGTAGTTGTAAGCGGCAAAATATTTCATTATTGTTTATGCAAGCTTCTCAAATTCATAATATTGTTCTGAAATGTTTCTAGAAACTTGCAACTATCGAATAATTATTACAACAAAGGAAGAATACAGAAGCAAATGAGTAATAATGAAAAGAAATATTGAGCGAATGAAAATCTTCGAAAAGTTGCATAGAGAAGAGTATTTCATAGTTATATATTATGTAATGGAATTAACAAACTAGTTTTAAAATTCGTCGATTTTCATTATATACAATTTCAAGAATAATCTTCCATCAAAAATCTCTGTATTTATCATTCTATAGTTGGAATGAATTTTCATGTTTAATGCATTCATAGTAGTTATTCGCGGTGCGTGTATTGAAAAAATGACTGTACGAAAATCGGCAGAGTGTATATTACTACAGAATATTCAAAAATACTTCATCACACTTCTGCTCCTAAGTCTCGTACACCCTGTTCCGCTATTGGAACGTATTTATCGTCAATTTTGACAAGTAAAATGACTTTATCCACATGAGATCGTCGATTAGGATCACGATGATTAGGAGACCAACAATGAACAACACATCCTTCCATACCTCTTTCAGGTACCCAATGCTTCCATCCGGACCTACCGCCCTGTTGTCTCATTCTTTCATCAGGCCAGATTACATCTATCCGGCGACCCAAATTAATCGCATCGTATACTTGATTAGGATCTATGATCTAACGACAAGTAAAATTATTATGAACCTTTCAACATTACAGACAAATTTCTTATAAAATTATATTTCATTTTCTACTCACACGAACTCTTTGGAGAACCTCCTCTTTCTCAACTTTTCCAGAGAAACTTGTTTCACTCTTAATCTCAGTTTTAATATCACTGTTACTAAGAAGACCGGCTAAACTGGCGAGTGTCGAGCTTGTAGGCTTCCCAACTGACGCCAACGATCCTCTGTTTCCACCGAGAGATCCTGTATTCGCTCTTCCCAGAGAACCGCGTCCAGTTGATCCACCAATTTGACATCCAGAATCTATAGATTGCGAGCCAGATGTGTTGTAACTCGACTGACCATAACCTACATTAAAATTTTTCTTTACATTACCAAGTAATTAAGTCTAATGAAGCATAATAATTATAAATACCAGAATGAATATTGTAAGTAGTCATTGCGTATACTCCGTCGTTTCCAAAACCTCCGTCATCTTGGGATCCTGTTCCACCGGACGAACAACCTTGGCCACACCTTCTTTTGATTCTGAAAGTAATACTTTCAATAATAATAGACTTTACAACGCACTATACTTGTTGTTTAAATATAATTCAGAAGTAGTCTAATATAATAGAAAATCTTACCTTTGCCACAATTTTAATATATTACGCCTGATAACACTGAGACTTAAAGATCCACCAACTATAGAGCATAATTGTTCATTAGTCTCTGCGTAGCTCGTTGTTAACGGTGAAACATAAATCGGATATCCGATCGGTTGATCGCAAGAGCTATTGATTATATTTCTGAGAGCTTGTTTCGCATTTTGTATAGAGCCACGTTCTGGATTTCTATTTCTTAAATATACTAATTCCTGTTGTTGTCCGGCCCAGAGGCCGCGCACGCATTCACGATTCATTTTAATAACTCGAAAACTCAAGAATCGTTTGTTAAGCATGATCACTTTGTAGTCGTCGATGCCGTCATCGAGTACATGTCTACAAAAACGGAACGAAGTAAATATCATCGATGTAATACCATTTCGACAATTTCCAAACATTTCAGTATTAAAATACCTAAGTGCCAGGAGACTGGTTGCACCGTTTAGAACAGCGTTTCTCCATAATGGATCAGCTTCATGGCTGATTACAAGATTCTTATCATGACTATCTATAGCTTCATAAAGAGCAACCGGTTCAACGTATAACTCCGGGCTCATGAAATGATCTTGATGTAGCTTCAACGCCATTCTTACTCCTTTCGCTACAACGCTGCGTAACAAATCAACATCGTGTAACACCCATTCATCTCGAACTGATGTTATGCGGAAGTCTCCTACTTACAAAACATATATATATCAAATAATATTGTCATTGAACAGACACATCTATATATGTTGTTTAAATGAAACTGTACCTTTAAAAAGTGCATGCAATCCGTACATAAAAAATTCAACACTGGTCACGGTATTGTGACACGCTGCTCCTAAAGCACGTCTCCCCAACAGACTCAACGCGAAACACAAAGATACCAATGGTGAATATCTCGTTTTATCTAGTGTCTAAAAGTAAATTAGAAAGAAACAGTGCCGTGTGAGTGTTGGAACGGGCTGCATGTTAAAAAAATATTACCTTGTCGTGTTTGGTGACGCAAAATTGTATCCAATCCAAGTAAACGTTACAAAAGCTACTTCTTGTAATACCAGTGGCGCGAAAGTCGTAATCCTCGTCGATGTTCATCTTGAAAACAGGATCCAGATCGACGAAGTTCTTGTCAAGGGTAATTTTAAGGGCATCGGCAATATCGGAGTTCCCCAACCAGTATTTCAATTTCGGTGACTTGACAGCGTAGAAAATAATACTTTTCACGTAATAGGTAACCAACGTTTTACGGTACTCGAACATTTGAAATGTAGAAACCACTGAATTATCCGATATCGAATATCCCTCTAGAACGTATTTAGCGCTTGCAACTTCCCAGGCGAGCCAACGCTGGCTAAATGCTGCGTTCACGCTCAGTACATTTGAGAAATGTCCCATTTCGCAACAACAACAATCATCGTTGTCCTCGATTCCTTCGGATATTGCTTCCACCTGAGAATCAAAGTTACCGTACGTTCAAATTAAATGCTACGATCAAACGAGAATGTTTAATATATGTATAATAGAAGCGTATGTACTTCTCTCTGCTGACAATACGTTCCTCGAAATTCAAGTCCTCTCAATTGAAACGTAACCAGTCCATTGCCTAATTGAACAATGTGCACCAGACAGTTTAAGTAATCGGATGCCAATAAAAAACAATCGCCCTGTTCCACGTTTCCCCAACGGCCTAGAGCAAGATCTCCGTAAAGACTGTGCTGCAACGATCTTGTTAATTGTTCGTAAAAAATCGAATTCACATTATTGTCATCAGCACCTAGATTTCGATCTAAATGCGACGACATACGTGTGTTCGAATGGTCCACTCTTCTTGTCTTGTAATCCCGTTCCCAGAATTTCACTGGGCGCACGTACGACGATATAAAAATCGCGCTTCCCAAAAGTGGATTCAACGGGGTGCTCAGAATCGCGGAAATGCCCGCTTGCAAGAACAACATGGCGGAATGCGGGACCGAGAACGGTTGGGCGAACGCGTGGAACGCACTGCCCCATGTGATTTGCCAAGGTGCGATATAAGTAACGACAAATCTGATCTTCAACAATAATTCGTAAATCTTTGCGAATGCTATTCCGGTAATGAAATAATCGACAAGAAAAGTTTCGCTGAATTCTCGGATGTCCAGTTTGAAGAACAGTACCGCAAAGATCAGAACCAGGTAACGCGTGGATGGATCCGAGTATGCGGATCTCAAGGATTTCAGTCCACAAACAACTATAATTAACGCGCCTATGCTTTCCCCAAATTTCATCACAATCTTCGACGAACATTCCGTGAGGGCTCCTAGGAACACTATCGGATACAGAATATTTCGTTCTAAGAAAGATAGGTAAACGTACGCTTTCTCGAACCACATAATCTTCACTGGTTCACGAACTTCAAATTGTGCATGTTCGTGACTACGAAGTACTGGTCTTGACAAGCATAACCATGGCAATTGTTTCCGAAGCTGCGGCACTATGTAATGCAACAGGAATCCCAGACAGCTTACAATACCCCATAAAACGGGATTTAATTCTGGTTGTAGAGCTGTAAACACGGTGGAACAATGGATACCAAACGATAATGTACCTATCACAGCGCATACTATCAAATCGTTCTTTAATCTTGCGTTCACCGTTGCTCGTAACTTTTCAGGCAAAGGATCCACCAATTCCGTGTCCGACATTTGTTCGCCAACTTTGATTTTCACGTGTTTCTTTCGTCCCGATGTTCGAACTTTTGCTTCCTCGTACGTTGCGGACAGATTGTCCCTGCGTGATGTGTTCTCGATGATTTTCGCTTCCTTTTCTTCTGTATAAATCTCCGGCGGCCATAAGTTTGTTTTGAGGATGTCCCAGATTACCGTAGGATCCGATGATGATCGGCTCAAGTGATAAGATATGGCGACTAGTAAACCGGCGAAGATCGAGAATAAAATGTGTTGCGAGGATTTGGGCTCTGTCAGTGCTCCGTAAGCGAATCCGTACAGTATAACAACGGTGACGATACTGCGACAAAGGCAATATATCGAAGAGACTAGACTGGTCGTTGCGTTTCCACCAAATAAATGAATATCAATATGCTCGCAGAGATACATTAAGAATGTATTAATTTGCGGAAATAAACCTAACGAGAACACGATCGGGAAACAGAGGAGAAAAATTAATAAAATGCTACGAATTTGCAATATAACATCGTAATCGGTGACTCGAAGGCCGTATATTCGAAATTCCGATGTTTTGAAGTTTCTTAGGAATTCATTAATGATTAGTATAAATCCCGAGCACAGTATATAATATATAGGCCGCGAAAATACTATGATACGATTAAAACCATGGGTCGGCGAAGCAGCATCCGGCTGAACAGATTTTAACAATGAATACTGACATCCGGCGGTTACGAAACAGAACATGAAAGCGAATATATCTCGATAGAAGCCTTGCTGAAGCAGAAAGAGACCCAATCCTGCAACAGCAACTGCTAAGAACGTTGAGACAATCGTCTCGAAAATTGTCAAATTCCGGTCCAGTAGAGCCATTAAAAACAGGCGATCGAATCGAACTTTTATATGCGGTAGTTTGCCGATCTTCCATTTATAATAATGTCTTGTTTGTTTCGGTTTCGGCTCGAATCCATCGAACCCGCCTAATCGGTTCCATGACAAGCTTGCATTCATATCAGCTTCTTGATGCGTCGGTAACGTTAGAACAGGCATTCGCCGATTCGAATCTGACGGATTTAAATTGAAGTAATCTAATAATAAATTTCGTAAGCCTCGGTTTCCAGCCGCCATGGACTCTATACGTGTTATCATGTCCTGATGATCTCGTTCTAAGGTTTCTGTTGTACACTGATTCGACAAAACAACATTCGACGATACTGAATTTTGTGCCTTGGTTTGGTTGCTTTCTGGGCTGGACAGAACAGGTGGTGTGTCTATTATGGCGCTCAAGCCGGCAGAGTTCAAAGACAGACTACTGTAACTGTTACTCAGAGAATCTGTCAGCTCCCAGTTCGCGTCATAATGTAAATTTTGATTCAGCTGTTGGCGTAATAATGTGTTCAACAATTTATCGTTATTATTAGAAGGAACTTGTGTAGTAGTAGTAGCAGCAGCAGCAGCAGTAGCAACACTAGATCCCTTCTCATCGACGTCATACGTCAACCAACGTCCAATTTCATCTCGAAAACAAGGTACTACTTCAAAAGGTACTTCTGTGTCGTTGTGATGAGCATCTAAGTGACATTCATCGTTCGATATTAACCCAAATAGATCAGTGAGCGGTACAACGTTATCGTCTCGAACTCTTTCTCGTATCGCGTTCTGTCTATACAAAGGTTTCAAAGCGTCCCGTCTTGGTCGCGTACTTCGATTCTCTGAACTCCGACTTAATCTTATATCTGGCATATCTCGACCGGAGGACAACATTATAACTAACGGTCGTCTACGCTTTGCCCGGATTTGTTCGGTGGTTGTAATAGTATCATCTATAGCTTCTACTGCTGGTTTTGGACGGCTTTGCTTCGGTATCGCACCTTGATGTCGTTTGTTATCTGTTTCTAGTTGTGGTAGTAACTTTCTTTTCACCTCGTTATCCATACTTAATGTCGTTGTACTGGACGAACCAGAATCTGGTTCTTTATTATGTAGGTCTGTTAAATTAAAAAGAAAAAAAATGAAGCATATATAAAACTTGATTATTTCGGACACAAATTCGACATATTTTTACAACATTTTAACATTAAATATCCATCTAATATAAATATTTAGAAATAACATTTACTTTTATTTGTCCGTAATTCCACTGCGCAATCACCACCTTCAAACAATCGGTCTATTCCAACTACACTTCCAACATTCAATGGGTCATCCATAATTTTCAACTTATCTTGCTTATCTTTGGGTTTCTCACCGTCCGAGAATTCATGGCTGCTTTGGCTTGCATTACTGTATCTCCTTTGCATACTAGGCTTTGGTTCTTCGATCAACGCGTCTCGGGAATTTGCAGAATCATTATCTATACCACCGTCTCCATAAAATCTGAATGTGATGACAAATTGGTAAAGAAATATTTTTAAGACCATAAGTTAATTAGTGGCTACCATATTTACTTTCATTTTACCTTGAAAATCTATCTTCAAATCGGCTAGTACTAAGACTTCTGTCCCGATTAGAAGTAGCATTAGCTTCGCAAGTTTTTCGTGTAAGTAATGGACTATAAGAGTCCCGAAGGCTATATCCTCCAGAACTTTCATTAGCAAATTGTTCATCGCTTTGTTCTGCTATAGGATGTACTATCTCTGATCCATAACTAAGATACGGTAATAGTTGTAGTTGATTTTTTTTTAACGTATTTTGAGGTAACCCCTTTTTAGCATTAATTGTTTCAAGACTTTGAGGATGAAGCGGTAAATTATTGTCATCTGTAGTATTTATATTTTTACTAGTAGCACCAATCGTTTCAAGACTTTGTGGATGAACAAGTTGTTGATGCGGCTTTTTTGCAATGACCTTCAGAGAAATAATATTCATATCAGTTAAACAGTTTTCTCATTGAAATCATAAATACTTGTGATGCTTACCTCCAACGATTGCGGATGCGACGAAATTTTATTTTTGTCCGTATCTTCCTTTTTCGATATAATTTCTAAACTTTGCGGGTGATCATTCATTAAATGAGTTTCCATTGGAATTGAACTAGAATTAAGACGTTGTACACTTCGATTGCACTTCCAATAAGGATAATCATCTCCATGATGTTCCAACTCCAATGAACTTGTCTGTTTGATTTGACTTTCAGAACCCGTTTTTCCAAGACTACCCTGTTTCGAATGACGATTTCGTGAGTCTTCGGACGCGTGTCTACACAACTTCCTGGATACTGGCCTCTTTTCTTCAGCAATTACCAAATACCTCTGCCGCTTTAATCTTCTTTCTATATATAGTTGGCAAGATTGAACATAAATATTAATACGTATAAAGGAGATGTGACTGTAGAATTTATGTTAAAATTTGTGAAATTATTACCATTCATAATATTACGATAACGTGGTTCTGACGTGGACGCTAATTCAGCTTCACGTACATTTATACTGGGTACCATTGGTTTAGTCATTTGTTGTGCTTCCTCTGAACTTTCTGAACTATTTTTTCGGTGGATTTCTACTTTCAAATCTACAGTCGAGCTTGGCTTATCTCGATTGTATTCTGATGTTATACTATCTGCATCTGCATTCTGTGCATTAGATTCAATAAAAGAATTACGTGATGAACATTCTACAGGTGGTGTATCTGTTTTTCCTGTAAAAGAAAAGTAGTGACACAGTAATGAAACTTCCACATTATATGCTACATTGAGCGAACACAATATAATTTAGAAACTAAATATGCTTTAGAATCAGATTTTTAATACATAAGATCAATCTAAAATACCATTTAAAACTTGTAGCTCTATTCCATGATCTACTTGATCTTGAGATTGTTCCCTGCATTTGTTGTGTGCTGTGTGTCTTTTTTCACTTTCTGATCTAGGTTGACTAATAGTCTGACCTGATTCTTCTAAGCATTCGGTTGTATCATACACACAATGAAGCGCATGATTCACGCACTTTATCGTACCAAAAAGTGCTCCGATCGAAGAACAATATGCCACCCAAACATACAATGACGGTGGAAAATACTGTAACAAAATAGAAAATAAAATAACTTATAGACTGAATAAACATGTAAAAATAAAAAACAATTAACTATAAATACACTCAAAGTGAAAGTATTGAAGAAACAAATTACAAAATTCCACGAATGTAATGCATAAATTTTAGTTATGTACTTACACAGTAATGTAAACACATAATTCCTGTGGCTATGATCTATTTAGTTTAAAGTGCACAGTTTATAAAGTAAGATCAATCTATATGTAGAAATTAACTTACAAGATATATGGTGAACGGCAGGCAAAGCAAGAAAAGCCAAACATAAAGATGAAAGGTGTTTGAAAAAACGTCGAGATGGGGATCGTAAAACCAGCCTCCTGTCAGGCTCGCCCAGACGCCTTGTCTCAAAATTTCCAGCGTTTGAGAACCCATACCAATGGCAAATATGCTTCCTCACCATCTTCCCATCACTTGCTGTTCCACAGATTTATTCGTAGTTTATCTCCTCTATTCGAAAAATCGCGTGGCGAACAAGGCGGTACATTTTATCTTGGCCTTATTTAATCAATGGATTTGGCGCACACAACACACACAACTTACTGGTTCCTCAACCATCTTCACCTCTCAGATGATTTCGGACATAAACCATACGATATCCTATACGTTGCGAGCGCGCTTACGATTTTCTTCGAAGTCACTTCGCACAAACACTTCGTTCATATGGACTACAGTGGATAAAAAGTAAAAGGACATTTCCGCGCAAGAATATTTTCAATTATTAATATATTATAAAATTTACTTAGTATTACAAAATATTATAAAATTATTGAAATTTTGAAATTAATTGCTTCATAAACGACGGTTTTATCACTGAACAGTTTCGTTACCGCTTCATTGTGGATAAACCTTGCGCGATTCGAACAACTTGAACGGCCTTTCGAATGTCCTCCCTGTGAATCGCGGTCCAATATATCATCACGTCAACGGTGGGGCCGTCAAACGAAACATGGCGTCCGTTAGGTTATTGCTATGAGTGTTGCTCCATTTTCTATCATTAAATGTGGAATCACCGTGCGTTCTGCGGGCTGACGCGAGGCGTCGTGTCCTCCGGGAGGCGAACACGTCGCTTTCAACCCTGCACGAGCCGCGTACATTGTTCCTAGTCCCGATTCAATGAGGAGATTCGGCCTCGTCAACAGTGGCTTGTGGGTATACACACCCCGACGCGAGACTCCACAGTGGTTTTACGGCGTATCGAGCGTGTTTTTGCTTTTCGAAAATCTCGTCCCGCGGTGATCCCGGCAGGATTATGATCCACGACGAAAGGTCACGGAATCCTCGCACGTTGCTGCCGGACTGGCGAATCAAAATGCCGGTCACTGTTAAAGTGTTTTTATGCATGGGGTGTTAGTGGTGGTGATCACCTTCTCTCACCCCGCATTTGTTTCACGTGAAACGTGTGCGTACATTTAAAGCACCGCTGAAATGTCACGTAACTGTTTTACGTTCGCGTGTTAATAATGCATCCGAGGGACACGTGTGCAAAATAATGTGAAACGTGCCGAGATTCGTGTACAAGTGTTCGAAAAATTTTTCCAGAGGGTGGACGTTAAAACTCACTGATTCTTACGTGCGTTATCCTTCTTTACATTCTTTCGAGATAAATAAGTAACACATCCGCGGAACGTTCTATGTTACGATTCGGAATACAACCGACGAAGTGTTGCGCGAAAGCTGCTAGAGGAACAGAGGGTGTAATTTCCGGAAAGGCGAAGAATATAGAGAGTGTTGGGCCATATGCCGCCAGCCGGGCTATCGGCAAGAGGCTTGTCTACCTTGATGGACCACGGACAACCGGATGCTCGTCATCGGAGCGAGCGGTTTTTACTTCATCCAGAGAATGGCTCCTCTAATTCTCATAGTTCTAACGCATCCAACTCATCACCACGATATCAACATAATAATAGAACAAATAATCATTCCACAAGGTACGGTTTATTAATTGTTAATACACCTGGGTATATCAGTATCTCATAGTGCTTTAATATTTCAAACATGGATCTTATTTGTGCTCTGCTTTTTCAGTTACGCATATTTGTATGGACGTACATCTAGCAACAATATGTCTGATAGCAGTGTTTCTGACACGCATAGTGGTGGCACAGCAAGAACTGTTTCTCAACAGACTAGTCCTTCTCATGGTACACATTCCTCTTCCCAATCAAGGCAGGACAATAGTTCAACAATTTTCACAGCATTGTATGATTATGTTGCCCAAGGGGAGGATGAATTATCCTTACAAAGGGGCGAAACAGTCGAGGTAAATTATCTGTGACAGAAGTCTCTATAATATTTAGTATTTTATACTCCAATGTGAAAATGTATATACATTTTACTGGGTGTATCAGGTTCTGTCTAAAGATTCAAAAATCTCGGGTGACGAGGGATGGTGGACTGGAAAAATTCATGGGAAAGTGGGAATTTTTCCAGCCAATTTTGTCGCAGAAGCGAAGAGTATTGATAGAGTCTCATCGGTGATTGACAAGGTTCAACCTGTTGAAATTGATTTTGAGGAGCTGCAGTTACAAGAAGTGATAGGGGTTGGTGGATTTGGGAAAGTTTATAGGTATAGAATTTCATTTTACAACATCCTCAATCAGATAAAGTTACATACGCGATCGAACTTTCTAGTAACATTTAGAATTTTTAATAATATTCCAGAGGATTCTGGCAAGATCATGAAGTAGCAGTTAAAGCAGCCCGCCAAGATCCAGACGAAGATCCGAGTGTTACATTAGAAAATGTTCAACAAGAAGCAAAATTATTTTGGTTACTGAAACACGAGAACATTGTGCAGTTAGAAGGAGTTTGTTTAAAAATGCCAAATATGTGTCTCGTGATGGAGTATGCTCGAGGGGGTAGTTTGAACAGGGTTCTTAGTGGTAGAAAAATCAGGCCTGATGTACTTGTTGATTGGGCAATACAAATTGCCCGTGGCATGGACTACCTTCATAATAAAGCTCCTATAAGTCTTATTCACAGGGACCTAAAAAGCTCTAATGGTAAGATGGTTTAAATAAATATCGATTGTAATTAATATAAATACTATATCTATTCGTAAATTTACGAATATTCTGATAATATTATGTTTCTCGATAATAGTACTACTAAGCGAGCCTATAGAAAACGATGATCTACAGTATAAGACATTGAAAATAACTGATTTTGGATTGGCAAGGGAAGTTTATAAGACAACTCGCATGTCAGCAGCAGGCACATATGCTTGGATGGCACCAGAGGTTATTAAAAAGAGTACTTTCAGTAAAGCCAGTGATGTTTGGAGGTCAGTTTTAGGTGCCTCCTATATCACTTTAATCGTAATCAACTATATTTTAACAAGCCATATTATTTTACTTCCTTTATTGATATATTTTTTATGCATTTACAGTTATGGCGTTCTTTTATGGGAACTTTTAACTGGCGAAACACCTTATAAAGGAATAGATGCTTTGGCAGTAGCGTATGGTGTTGCAGTAAATAAACTCACATTGCCTATTCCATCAACTTGTCCTCAACCTTGGAGGTTTTTAATGGAAGGTATATAATTTTGCAAATATTTACACCAGAAACATTAGTAATTTTTATTTATATTGGTCTTAAAATAATACGATAAACTATGAAATTAATTATTAGCTTGCTGGTCATCGGACAGTCATTCAAGGCCAGGATTTGTTGCAATCCTCGTAGCATTGGATGAAGTGCGTAGCGCATTCGCGGCAACGCCGCACGAGTCATTTCATACGATGCAAGAAGACTGGAGACTTGAAATTGAACAAGTTCTTCATGGATTGCGCATGAAGGAAAAGGTATGTAATTTAATTTGTTTTCTATGTTACGCACACAGTCTTTTACAAAGATAAAATTTACTTTGAGCGTTGTACCTAGTACTCGTATAATTTGTAACAATATCAATAACATTTGTAATCGTTCTTTTAAATGCTATACAAAGGCATGCCGCTCCTTAGAAGAGGTAAGACCATGTGTAGTTATTGCTAAAATTAATAATTATTTTTGTTGATAAGCAGATGTGTTTACTTTATTAAGTAAAGAAATAACAATTTCTCAACTTTCACTTAGTCTTTTCACATTTTTGTCCATTAGGAATTGCGCTGCAGGGAGGAAGAATTGACAAAAGCACAGGTGCAACAACGACAACACGAAGAAAATTTGAGGCAACGTGAACAAGAGTTAGCTGCTCGAGAGATAGACTTATTAGAACGTGAACTCACTGTAATGATAATTCAACAACAAAATACTCCTACACCAAACAAAAGACGCGGAAAGTTCAAGAAATCGAGATTAAAATTAAATAAGAAGGAGCCTGGAAGTAACATTAGCGCTCCTTCTGGTAAGTGTACTGTAATGTAATGGATTTAAATTGTAATGTACAAAATTGAAAATGTTACAATAATAAATGATTGTTGTAAAAAATGATGCTCATATGCAATACTTTTACACAGATTTCCGTCACACGATAACTGTTCAGCATACAGCTTTGGACAGAGGAAAAGTGCGAAATCCATCGAGACCTAATAGTCCACCTGGTTCCCCTAGTATTCCAAGACTTCGGGCAATTGCATGTGAGTAATTCGTTCCGTCCACCTTTAGTAGTTCACGATTCTGATTACGTGTTGTATGATACGAATGATTTTACCCTAAGATATTTTTCAGTATTTCCAAGAAATTTTGAATCACATTGTTTGTGCTTTGTAGTCACGTTGTATTATTTATTTTTTATTTGATCTTCATTAGCATGGTGTGAACAACTGAATACACTCTTATGTATTTCTGAAAGTTTACGTATGAAATTTATGTTGCATTTTTTCGTTTCTTTTTTTTTTTCTTTTCTAGATCAAGTTATATAGAGTAAATGTTTTTGTCAATTTCATTTTGGATAACGAAATATCGAAATTGCACTATATAAGATACAGCGGATATTTTACCGAAGTTCATTAAATATCTAAATTATAATACATAGAAATTTTCCAACAATAAAGTATTCGAACTTTCTTTGTGAAAGTTCGGTGTTAATAAATTTAAGAAACATCTTTATCTTTTTGAAACGCGCAAAGAATTCAAAAGGGACGACTCGGGGGTAGGTGGGAAAATTAGAATTGTAGTGAGTAGCGTTTTGTTTTTTGTCTTCCTTCTTTAGTACCGGCAGACGGAGTAAAGGGTAAGACATGGGGACCATCGACACTCCACCAACGCGAGCGCGGGGCTATTATCACACAGCCGCCAAATCCTGCATCACCAGGTGGCAAGCGGTGGTCTCGTTCTGCTCCAGATCTCGAAAAGACACCCCTGCGTACAGCCCTGTTGGCAAGCGCGCATCGCTCCCCGCTTCTTCAAGAAATAGGTAACCCCTCCTCCAGAAAGTTGTACTCCTCAGCAAATAATTTGATAGACAGTCAGCCAGGATATAGCTATAACAACATTCCAGAAAATTCTAACAACATTCTGCAAAGCACGAGCTGTCCACCTTGCAATATAGACGAAGACTCGATTATTGTGGACAACGATATTTACGAGTCGGTGGTCTTGCATAACAAATCGGCGAGCAATCTGAAAACTCATTTTTCGGACGAGCATTTGGTAGTTACCGACGGTTACTCGAAGCCCGCCGCTAGAAATATAACCTCACCCCCGAAGGGTCAGAGACACGTAGTCGGTGAATGGGAGCACTCGTGTTCGTCGAATTTTGTACAGAGCGTAGCGTTTAGTTTGGTCGGCACTGCGAAACGCGTGAAGAAGAAGAAACGTGACCGAAGTAAATCGAAAGAGTCGAAGCGCAGAGATAGCTCGGAATCACGGTTGGCCGCACTGGCCGATTTCTTTCGTTCCCCATCCGGGTCGAGGAAAAGCTCCTTGAATTCACCGCGTAGCGCGGAACGAAAGAATTCCGTAACGATTAAAATCAACGACACGGATGGCATAGAATCGAGTCCCGAGAATTCGGTCGGCCGTAAGTCTCAGCACAAGTCCAGAATGTCCAAGAGTCCTTTAAGGGTCTTTAATAAGATGAGGGCGTGGGGTAGTCGGGACGCGCTCGACGATAAAACGACCGCCGTGAAAGTCGAGTATAACGTTTTAGACAACGCGATATTTATACCGCAATTGAATCGACGTGATTCCGATCAGAGTAATGCGATGCCGAAATTCTTAACGGCGAATTCACGGGAGGGAATAGATTTCGAGAGTCTCGAGTCGGAACTTTGTAATTTTGATTCGGAACATTCGAACGACAGCTCCGTTTCCAAGACCTCGTTGGGCTTGTTCCACGAGAACAAGTCGAAGATATCGCCCACGTCTTTCGATTGTGTCAGCAACACGTCGGACGTGTGCTCGAGGCAGCAAGTTCCGCAATTAGATCAGAGCTTGGAGTTGAATTCTCAGTTGCATCAGAGATCGAAAAGTAACGAATACCTGCGTAGTTGCGAGGAGGATCACGGCGATAATATCAATCTGATCATGCATACGCCTGGTTACATCCAGGACCGCGACCGTCAAAATTCGCCGATTAATTGCAGATCGAAAAAGAACATGGTCGAGTCGCTTAGGGATGTTCCTTCTCACAGAAGTTCCGAAGATGTGAACACAATCGCTTTCACGTCCCCCAAGACTTCTGTCGCAGAGAAATTTCGGAAAAAGAATGATAAATGACGTTATATTTCACAAAGATAGAGATGTGCGTAACAGAGCAAATTCGAATTCGTGAATGCACTTTACGAATATGTCTTCTTTCTGTTTTATATGTTTTAGTAACAACCCTATATTTTCTTTACCACAGGCCTTTCTGAGGAAAGCATCTATCCCACTCGTAAGTCTCTTTACATTGCTGCGCAACTGTTTTACACTTTATGAAAAGACCTGATTGTTTTCCCTTTTATATCACATTTAGACTCAGCAGGATAATGGTTTTGTTTTTGCGCATCGTAGTGACGCGGAGATCTCAAATGGACAGTGCCTTTTTATGTTTATACTTAAAGGTTTTATTTCTTGTTTTTTTTTTTTTGCTGAATTCTATTTAAGTAGAATATGCTTAAAGTTATTTTCGTAGGAGTGCATGAATACACCATTCGATTAGATTTTCTACATTTGCTGTTTATCCCAGAAAAGTGCCTCAATATATTTGCATATATATATGTATTTTAGCAATATGTGTACAGTTACAAATTCTTTTTTACATTGATAGTGTTGTGTTTAAGATTATTTTATTCAGTTGAATTATTTGGAACGATACATATTGTTACCGTGTATCTTCTAATAGGAAATGGTTTTAAATTGTTATCAGGGACTAGATGAAAAATTGAAATTTATTTTATTCCCATAAATCGGTATTGTTATCGAAGTAATTTTGTTAAGATACGTATGTCTATCAAATTACGCAATGACCATTATATTATTTTAAAATATTTTAATAAAGGGTAATTTCTACCCTTCAATAATCTAAAAAGTTATTTATCCTAATTTATACTGATAAGAACTTCATAATCTGAACTATTATTTAATTGAGTACATAAAATGTAAATGCAGTCTTTCTGGTGTTGGTTCTTTTCTGATGTTGTTTGGAGTACATAACATTCTAACAAAGCAGAGCTAACAGCCCACTACTACGTGAAAAAAAATCATATGCTTCTGCCATTAAAACAGAGAAATCTAGTTAAAAACCGTCTCTCTTATTTAAGAGCGTTTATTGAAAAGTGTGTTTTTACGATATAGTTGTAATTTTGAGACTTGAAAAATCAAAATTATACAGATTCTATCACGTTTCGATTGCGTGAGTAGAGTTGTACCATTCACTTTGTTGCCTCACATGCCTTTAAATTAATTTTAGATTTTCGTTAATTGTTCAACCCAGTTTTAACAGCGATTTCATTTTTTGTATTACGATAGACTCTTTACAGTTTTTTAGATTCAGAAATTTTGCACACATCACATTACAACACATGGAGCGACACGCACACTTGTATTTAGAAATAGAAATTTTTTCAATAAAACCTTTTCAGTTGGACACATTGAATTTTGTTTTTTCGTTTTCTGAATTTTTACGCTCGGTTTGTGGTAATTCAGTAGCATTCGACAAATTTAGAATGAATAATGTTGTGTTTGTGAATAACTAGAATGTTTAAAAACTATACGCACTAAATATATTACAAATCGACTCAATTTCGTATAATTGTTTTGATTACTATATACTAACTACAAAATAAAATAAAAAGTAATAGAATTTCTTCTGTCTGCTTTTTATATATCTAAACAAAATTCTTAATCGTTTTTGCCAATAGCCGAGCGTAAGAGAATCCTTTTGCATGCTTCCAGTAGGATCCTAACTGTTAATGCCAATTGGGTTTGGTCCTTTTCTTACCCTAAAATTCCAATCTCGTTTATGAGCAAATACTCCATAATAGTTTTTTTTATACTCCTATTTATTCTGATCTTAGTAAAGAAAAAATATGAAATGCAGACTGTTAGAAAAAGTAATGTTATGAAATAATTGAATACTCATATTTAACGTATATTTTATTTTTCTACTTTTATCACGCAAACAATGAACAACCAAATTAAAACAAGAAAAAATGAGAAAGGGGAAATTAAATAGGGTAAAGAAAACTGTTTAAAGTTAATTGCAGCAAATGCTTACCATCTTACAAGTACTTTTATTTTTTTCTCTCTTTACACTCTGCTTCATTTTCAACGATCCAGTATTTTTCAACGAGCGTAGTTTACTTTTAAGATTTGAACTTCGTGCTTTTTGTAATAATTGTCTTTAAGAAAAATAGTATATAGGTTGTATACGACTGACTGGTAGCAAAGGATAGTTAAAATAAGACTGCAGCATGTAATATGTTTTAATACAGTGCACGTGTCACATTGTGCTTGTACACACAAATAATTGTAAGTAATTCAATAACATATAAGCATGTTGCAACTACGATACTAAACTAGTTTACCTTATAATTTTGTGCAATACATTTATACAACATGTATAAGAAATTTAAAAAAATGATTTATAAAGGTAAGACGTATAAAAAAAAAAAAAGAGATAACATTTAATCATAAGCGGTTCTAATCGATAAAGTTTGGAAAAGATGTAGTAAAATGAAGTAAATGAATGAAGTAAAATGAAAAGGAAAGTAGAAATATTAATTATATTTTATGTCTGTGCTTTTTTTATAAACGTGCACCAATATCACCATTATTATTGTAGAAATCTGATTGTTTTTGTAGATTATACAGCTTTACCGCCCGATCTTTCAACTGACTGGGTAACATCGGATTATCCCTTGAAGCCTGGATTGACCGGACCTTACATCATGCCAATGCCTGTTCCGATGCCAACTCTCTACAACGGAGAAATGAAGAAACCAAAGTTAAGCATAATAGAACTGGTTTTGTACAATATCGCAGCTATGCTGGCCGGAGTAGCCACTGGATACGATGTAAGAATGTCAAACATATCTCCCATTCATCCAAGATTGTATCCACGACTCGGTGACTGCGAAGACGAACCTCCACGATGGTGGTTCCAAGCAGACACTGGGTCAAATCGTAATTCTGGTTATCTTGGACCTGATTATGAGTTTAGTTCAAGTAGCGGTTATCCCCATAATACGTACCATGGACCAGCTAGACATTACAGGTACGAATTTACATCATTATATTTATAAATATAGTCTTGTGTTTCTGAATATTCTCGAATCGTTGAAATTAAAGTTAAGAAAATACGTTATTATTGCCACAGGCCATTCTTAAGTAACATGGGTGGCATAGCGCCTGGTCTTCCACCCAGTGTGATGCCCGATAAGCCTTTGAGATTCACGGATTCACCTCAGCATTACGCGAGCAGCACGGCTGGCTCTAATGCACCAACACCAAGTCCCAGAAGAAAGAGCAGTAGTACTAGTAACGAGGATGTATTCACGCACGACGCAGGAAGAGTAGATCGAATGGAGAGAGTACCAACCATATACATGGGCAATGTTGCCCCGTTCCCGGATTATGGACCTCCAGTGTATACAGTTGTTCCACCCGAATATTATAGACCACCGGAACCAACGTATTTTGTACCGACGGATTATCAGTAAGTATTTTTACTGGCACGAATCCTGGGAATTTTCGAATCTTGCGTTCATATATTTTTCTTCTTCAGCGACAGAATGCTCGAGTGCCCTGAATTTCCACACGCGTATGACAATCCGAGCAGCATAAATAGTCCAGCTCGGCCAGTATCCAGACTTCCTCCGTATACCCATCATCGTACTTCGTCGAACGTTTCGAACGCTAGCACATCCAGTCAGAGTAATGTAAATCCAACGTTTCGTTTAGAAGATGAGGATGATTATTCTCTGTACTCGCCTGGACATTATTATCAACGACCTGCGAACGTAGGAACGTATAGTCCTAGTATGCTTAATCACGAATACGGGTCGCAAATACTTACGCGTCAGAATTCGCATGATTCGAATTCGAATTCGGGCGAACGGCCAAGCAATCTAGAGGTAGTCAGCCGATTACGGTCGAGTTTAAAACGATCCAATTACACATACAATTCCCCGAACAAAAGCGTGAGCAAAAACAATTCCGGTTCCGGTACGCCGACAAATCCGACTCCTCCGGATTCTCTGACGTCCGAGGACTCGAGCTACGTTTCGGCTAAGGACAGTCAAATTTCTATAAGTAGGGTTAGATTTTCTCCAGTGACCTTTGATCGGGATGGGATCTCACGGGAACAGAGAGAAACATTACTTGATATTCCGGTACACGGACAGAACCAGGATGTTACTGTGCCGTTACAAGCTAATCGTCGATTGAACAGAAGTAGAAAACCAAGTATTTCTGAATTAGAGAGAGAATTTTTGTCATAGCATTGGCTTATTTAAAGGAACAAGATGATATAGATTATTAATAACCCGAAATGTTTGTCAATCTTGAAAGTAACATTTAATTAGAATTATACGAATCAAAGAGTATCTGACCGCGGCAGAAATCGATCAAATCTTTATAACTAGAGAATATTGCGATACAGATTTTGAAAGCACTGCCTCCTGCAGGACATTTTTCATGTATCAATGCAGGTCATCGAATACAGTAAGAATTTAACATTCCATATATATATAATACTGAGACATCCTTGTGGAAAGACTCTTATATTCAATCAGACTGTTTTTAATTTGTTTAAGAACTGACATGTCTCATGTATGTTTTGTAGCAGTAGTGTGAATGTCAGGATTTTATATCTTGCATTGTGCATTCAATATTATGTATTGTTATGTAAATTGTATGTACTACAAATACTTTATTCGTACATTCCGCACATCTTGCATCTGCTGTTGACATTGAGCAGCTAAACATTAGATATGTTACAATACATATTTTGGCAGCTTTGCATACTCCTAGTCAGCTGCTCCAAGTTTTGCTCATTCTGTTGTTCGTATTCCATTACTTTTTATTCTTTTGATAGTTGCTGCAAAAACGATAGTTGAAAATTCATTTTCAGTAAAGAAGAACTTTCATAGGTATCCATCATTGGCAATTCGAAACTAGTTGTATTCATATAGCTTGTGACTTTTCATGCTTTGAGTTTGAAAGTATACTGAAATGTGGTACTTCCTGAGTCACACACGTTTCAATAGGTTTTTGGAAGGGATATCAGGCCAATCCATGAAGGTGATCCTTGGATACGTTTTCTCGTTATTAAATAAAACTGCAACCATTTCTGACAGTGTGAGCAAAGATGGCAGCTGATAAGTATTACTTTGTATTTTTGTTGACGTATGTAAGTTTCATAGTGAGTACAAAATCATGGGTCAGGATCAGAAAAAGATTGGAAATAGTCTGTCCTGAGACCATGATTGCAGGCCTATAAACAGAGGGTGCAAGGTGGTGCATATGGTGTGCTAAGGGCCACATGGCAACACTAGTCAAATTGGCTTTGTATTGGTTTTTTTGTGAAAGGTATTTGTCAATTAATTCCTATTTGTCATGACGCACTGGCGTAAAACGAGAGCTAGAAAGTTAGGTGAATTAGCTCCTTTTCTTCGGATACTGCATTTTGTGTTAATCTATTCTTCGATTTTCTTTTTTCCTTTGCGATCTTCAAAAATTTCGAGGTGATTGGCTTGATGTTTTGTAATAGATGTCATCTACAGAGTTGTTCATGGGGTAAAATCCCTTCGATTGACTGCCAATATGATCTAGATTCTACTAAATTTGATTTCTGCTATTGCAATATGTCAAAAATTATGGCATTTAGAAAATCTCCCTATCAAATAAGATTCATTAACGTAGAGTTTATAGAACATTGCAAAAATTGGGTTTATATTTGCATGAATGTGATTAGAAAACTTACATTGTGTTTACGTCTTTGTAAGATTTATCACTCCATTGAATAAGGTTGAAGGTAGAGGTTTTATATAACTTTGGTAGGGAGGTGTTTCTTGCACTTGCTAATAATTCAGTTAATTTTTTGTCAAAATCCTTGGAATTCACAATGGCAATCGCTGCTTTGATTTCGAGAAATACGATATTCCTTTAACCGTCTAAATATCATGTATTTCTATTATTTCACATTGGCACTTAATGCATTTTAAACAGATTGAATACTTTAATTCGAATGTTTTGTAGGGGAACGTATATAAAACAGTATTATGTTTTACTATACATGCTTGTTATACTATACATATTCATTAAAGATAACGCCCATAAACAACTTTCTTTAAGCATTAAGAATTGAATTCTTTGAATGCAGACCTGGCTCACTTGATTTAATTTTTTCTTGTACACTTGTCGAAATACACATAGGTGAGCTCTACTTAGGCTGAGAATTCCTATTAGTAATTTAGTATCTGTCATTATATTTTACCAGTAGGAAGTCGTGCTCCAACCGGCTCCACCTTGAGTATTTGTATGAGTACAGAAGAAAAACATGTACTTATTAGAGCTATTCATCGTAATAATAATTTACATTCCATAAAAATTTGTTTTGACTGACAAAAATCGTAGAATGCTAAAACTGATTATTGTATAGTATAATGAAAATAATCATATAAATAGACAGGAGAACATTGATGATTGCTGTATGAAAGAAATTGTTATTAAACGCGACTCGAGACTCAAAACATAAAACGGTAAAAAATGATTCTTATTATGCTATTAAACATAGAAAATCATACATAGTAATTTTTTTTATCACTACTTTGTGACAATACATAATAGTATATTAAATCAACAAGTTTTATATGTTGTGAGGAATAGTTGGTAGTAATCTTTCAGAAAATTACAGTGTTTTCCTGTGTATACAGATTGTTTTACATGAACATATAAAGTATCCATAATGCATAAGTATGATAATAGACATGCATTTTGTTTGTTTGCCATTATACTATGTCGGGTTTCACGTATTATTTTATTATCTTTTAATCTTTATACAGATACTATGGCACTAGGTACACGTGTGAACAAATTTGTACAGTAGGATTTTTAAAGGATTTGTGAGCTACCAGCGCAATAGAATTAATTTAGTATGCCGTGTGCAGTTAAAATGACACCTCTTTTTATATATAAAAACAGTATGCATTCAAGTGATTGGCGTACCTGTAGAAAAGTATTTAACATACTTAGCATAGCTATAAAAAGTATATAGCCATCTAAGGTGTGATATACCTGGAAAACTGTTTTAGAACAAAAACACTCCATATACATAATCAATATTGTACATATACAAATATATTGGATAGTTATTATTTGTTTAACAATGTAACAATGGTCGATACATTCCTTTATATAGGTCACAGTTTGTACAGTATATCTAAAATATTTTTTCGATTTTTAAGTGCACGAGTGCCTCAGAAATTATTTTTATTCTTCGATTGTTAATAAGCAATCGGAATACTGAGTATTAAAGCGAATGAATTCTTTTCTTTTTTTACTGATTACACGAAAAAAGGAAAGGAATTGCACTTGCAACGCTCTGCATTCTGATCTATATTTTTATTTCTCTTTAATTACTAGACAGATATTAACTAAACCTGATTTTTTTATATGAGCATGTATTTAATTTATTGGTCCAAGAATGTAAAGTAACAACTAACTAATTTAGATTAAACTTACAAGGCAATCAAAACTTATTTACACGTTGCGTATGTTCTACGCCGTGTTTTATCCAATCAAAATGTAATTCATTTATTTCTTTGACCTCATTTAGAATGTTACATACGAAAAAGCGATACAGATTTTTGTCTCAAGAACTCTTATGTTGCAATAATTTCTTGAATGATAATCAGTATTGTAGGATATGTTACAATGTACATAAAATACAGTAAAGATAAAGGAAAAAAGAAAGGATTTACTTTGAAGAAGAATGTTTTGGTGAAGTTCAATATGTAATAGACTTATAAGCGTAGATTTTCGGACGTGTAGTAAATATTTTTGTCGTTGATACAATTTTCGTTTACTTGTCGAAAAACATTGGACATATTTCAGTAATTTCACCACAAACTTTCCTCAAAGTAAAATTAGCAGAGCATTTAAGATGCATTTAAGTGTTTCTTAAGCAGGAAAAGCGAACCCATTAAATTGGTATATACACACAGTTTATTACTTATGAAATAAAATAACTCATGTGGTTTATACTCATACTTTTTCAAATTTCGATTGACAAAATATCTATGATGTTATTAGACATTTTAAGAATAATATTTCGTGGGTATGCCTTTCTATGCTGTACAAAGATATTCTACGGTGCTAGTATCGTGTACTTAATATATTAAGAGACACAAAAAAAAATGAAAATGCTTCCAATGTAATTGAGAAATATTTAATGAAGTCTTAGAATGCTGATATCAGTAGTTGTTGATAGTAACAATAATTTACTTATACAAAATACAATATTAGGCAGCTATCAACTATCAATTGTGTAATGGCGTATCACCGCCAACAGTGCTAGTCTAAGCTATATTTATTTTTTATATATTATAACTTCTTTAACTTAAAGTAAGAAAAAAATCCAGTTTTGTATTTCATTAAAGATCATTTATAGATTATGTGTTTCATCAATTAGATAAAATTTTTGGAGGGATAATTGTTCAGAGTCACTGTGAAAAGTAATGCAAAGTAACTGTAAAGATTTTTCACGCGTAACATTAGTAGTACAATGAAGTTCTGTTAAATGTTAATTATTTTCCGAACAATTAAGAATTAGTTCTCGTATTTCTCGTTTTTATCTTTCAAATTAAATAAGACCCATTACTGTTATTCTGAACATGTTTCGTTCAATATAAATTAATATTGTAAATATTTCCTTATTGAAAACGAACTAATACTGCATGCTGCTTATAAATTAGTAATTTGTACAATAACATTTACGACCAAGAAGATAATTATAAAACAAGTGTGCTTGCAATGTACACGAAATATTTACTGCAGTATCTCCTCCATTTTTTATATCTGTATTTGTTGTAGAATATATCAAGCGATTTTACTCAATAACATTCGAAAATATTTTGTGTCGAGGAGTTACCATAGTTCTTCGATTATTCGGTATTTGTGTGTGAAATTAATTTTCGTCAGTATTGTTTTGTAATATATGAGCTTAGAAGACATAGAATATACCGCAACCCGTAAATCCGTAATCACTGACAATTTATTTAAATTTTAAATTACTCTGTAGTTGTAAGAGTATTATTAATAAGCTAAGTGCAATGTGTTCCACATGTATTTAAGTAACAAATGACTGCTTTGGTGTGCGCCTTAAAAAAGTAATGACATGCAAAATCCAAAGCTTGAGAAAAGAAACTTTTGTGTAATATAACTTAAAGAAACATTGTATGATGAGATAGGAATTTCACAGAACTTTCTGTGGTGAATATAGTTTGCCAAACAAGATATTGGGCACTGCACGACCATCAGTAATTATGGACACGAGAAATAGAATGATATGGAAAAGAAGGCAACAAATATTCAATTTACAATATGCAAAGTTGAGAAAAGTAAATTCAGTAAAGAAACGCAATAACGAATATTGTCTTCGATTTTTTACTCAACACATGTAAATGTAATGAAATATACACAAAAAATTGAAAGGGGGAAACGTATCGATGCGGTGTCTGATTTGCACTAAAAATTCATGTATTTTTCCAAGCATTGTACATTATTCTATAAATATTAATTATATAAATTATAAATAGTAACTGGAGTATATATTATATTAATTATTACAATTATTGTAACATTTAAGTATCACAGATTGTAGGTGATACTTTATTATTATTAATAAATCATTTCAAATAACAGCAGAAATAAAATCAAATCTTTTATCTCTATATTATTACATATTTAGACAGCAACTGACTTTCCATTGTCTATATAAACAAAAACAAAGGTCAATAAAATATAATTAACATATGTTTGAAATATGCAAAATTATTGTATTTCTTAAATTATTGTATCATTTGAAATTCATTACATCATTTCTGACTGTATTAATAAACATGGATTTCCATGGTTGCAGTTGTAAAAATGTAACAATTACAGAAGGAATATTTGGAGAAATCTGGATCGGTAGGTTGCTTGATTGTCTGTCAGTGTAACAGAAAATAAAAGGTAGTTTATATAAAAAATTAATTGTAATAATCAGATAATGATGGAGATCAAATGTTCATTGATTCTATACCAAAAATAGTAAAATCATATACTATCACAAATGCTAATCGAATGGAAGTTATTGTTATTACTTGGGGTGCCACAATAATGTCTTTAAAATGTCCAGATAAGTATGGACACTCTGCTGATGTTGTTCTTGGGTTTGACGATTTAAAAGGTCTGATTTCATGCTTTTATAGTTACAATAACTAACTTAATATGAAAATATATTGGTACAATGTAATTCAATTTTCTAGGATACATGAACCCTTTAACAAATCCATTTATTGGATGTATATTAGGTAGATGTGCGAATCGAATTAAAGATGGGCATATTACTATTAGAGGCCGGGAATATCAATTGACAAAAAATGACTTTAATGGAAAACATCATTTACATGGAGGGGTAAGTTTATTATAAGCATCATATATATCACTATACACTTTGCGATTTAATTCCTTCGCATACTTTCTTTAGGTGAATGGATTTGGCCGTAAAGTTTGGGATTCGTACATTGCTGGATGTTCAGTTGTTATGAGTTATTTAAGCCCGGATGGAGAGGAAGGCTATCCAGGTGCAGTATTAACTACAATAAGGTTTAAGTTAACCATGGATAATAAGTTGGATATATGTATGCGAGCTACAACTTCCAAACCAACAATAGTAAACTTATCGCATGGTTCCATGTTTAATTTAGCTGGACATGTAAGTAATAATTTGTTGTAAAACATTCGATATTACAGAGATAATTGAACGAGATTAAATACTCCATAGGATGCGGGTGAAACGGAATTAAAGAAGCATAAAATATTATTTAACTGTGATCGATGGACATTTGCAGATTACACAGATCCAATCCCAACAGGTGCAATACATGGAGTAGGTGGTACAGTCATGGATTTCAGAATACCAAGGATTCTGGGAGAGTACATGGAAAAGGTATGAAGAAATCATATATTATTACATTATTTAAACATTGAAAATGTTTACTTTTATATACAGGTACCACCCGGAGAGGGCTATGACCATAATCTTTGTGTTACAAAAAATGGACAATCTGGAAGTTTATTTGTCGCAAAAGCATGGCATGCAAAAAGTGGACGGTACAATTACAATTATTTAAATTAGTATTATATAATGATATAATTATAAACAAATTTGTATTTAGTGTCTTAGAAATTTACTCCGATCAACGCGGAGCACACTTTTATACTGGAGGTCGCATACCTCCTAGTGTTCCAGACTTTTTATCGAGTTATGACTCCTTAGAAGAAGACGAAGGGGAAGAAGAAGCAGAAGAAGTAAACAAACACTCAATTTGCATATTTTAATTATTGATCACATTTCATTCTTTCAAACACCACAGCTTTCTTAATTTTAGAAATATATGTTTAATTTTCGTGTAGGACAAGAAATATACGGAAAAAAGTATTAAAAGTTACAAAAATGACGATCACGATGACGAAGAAGAAGAAATAAAAATAGAAAAACCATGGGAAAAAATAATTACTAAGCCGAAAAAATTAGAATTTATTTTTGGAAAGCAAGGGGCTTGTTATAAAAAGTACTGTGGTTTTACTATTCAGCCACAAAATTACCCTAATGCAATACATTATGTAAGTAAATACTGTTTGAATATACATTTCTAATATGTAAACAGTACTTTAGTGATGTATTTTTTTTTAGTCACACTTTCCATGTTGCATATTATACCCAGGTCAAGTATATTGTCATGATTTAACGTATAAGTTTGAAGTACAACTTGCAAATTTTATGTAGTGCATGTAAATATTATATGTTGCATACAATGCTGTATTACGTACTTTGTTGGTAAGTTTCTAATCTTAACACAGTTTCCTTCTTAATTGTAGTTTGTAGTGGATTTATTCCTTTTTTTAATAAAAAATTTAGCCAAACTACCGATCATGGTACCGAAAGTTTCATGAACGGTTACTGTACTTTGAATCCACTGTGGGAGTGTTTTAATTTTTTTGGAATATCGTTTGTCAAACAATAATACTGTCGAGTAATCATTAATGTGTCGGATAGCTCGCCCAATACATTGATTCACTGCTTTCATGCAGGCATTTTCATAGAAGTTTTGACCAGCATTCGGTTTCTAATGAACAAAAAGAGTACGAAATTTGAATTGCATTACATTTCAATATACATAATACAATAACAAAACAAAAAAAATAGACACGTACAATGTTTTCGTTTAAATACTTCATTTTTTCTTGTAGTTCTAATGACGTAATATTTGGATAAGGCATTCCAACAACTATAACACATCTACCCAAATCATCAGAAAAATTTAAACCTTCACTTAATTTACCACCTACTACACTAAATAACAATGATCCATTTTTTGGACTTTTTGGTTTTTTAACACAAAGTGCATACTGTTCCAAAATTTCATTTACCTGCAAAATGTATAGTTTGTAAGAAAATTAAAAAAATTCGCGAATAAAGTAAATGAAAAGAAGACCTGAGAAGCTGATTTGGTTTCTCGAAAAATACACTTCTTTGAAGAAATTTTTGTTATAACACCAGATTTATCAAAATGTTTATACATTAATTCCTCAAAATTATATGATGGTAAAAACACTACAATTCCAGCTGGTACAATATTACATATATTCACTAACGCCCTCCCCAGTTCATTTAACTAAAAAATTGGGAGTATAACAAATATATAAAAAATATTATATAAAAAATAATTTATGTTGAATTATATTCCATAGTCAAATATATACCAGGTTTGTATTTTGTTGATTTTTAAAGTTAAATTCAAATTCAATACCAGTTGGACCACGTGATACGATACTGCATGCTATATTTTCTTGGGGAACTACATGGTTACATGAAAAAGTGATAATTCTCTCAGGTGCAGCCCCTGCCGCTATAAATAATTGCTCTGTAAATTCATCCATTGGTTCCATTGTTCCACCAGCTAATATTATAGATCTGGCATCTCTTACTATTAATAATTATGTATTAAATTTGCATAATATAATTTAAATAGTAATAACATGCACGCATTTAAATTTATATCCATACCAATATCGTAAAAATGGGCTGCAGGATTTAATAACAGAAATTTTACGACGCTTTGCCCAACAGTCAAACCAGGAACAATAAATATGCGTCCATCGCTACAACTATTTTGTAAGCATTCTAAAAAGCTGACAATCGATATCAATGGATTATTTGATTGTTGTTCATCTGACACTGTTTTTGTAACTGTATCAGATTCATTCGGTTCTGAACTTTTGCTTTTAATGGAACTTAGAAATTGTGTTACACCTGATGTTTTTGTGCTACTTTTATGAATTTTCACTTGATTTCCATATTGTTCCATGAAACCTTGCAGTTTATGACTCAATCGAGAATTCTTAATAAATTTTAACAACTCAAATACATTTACAGTATCAATTTCTGTCATAACTTCAAACTCTTCCAATTTGTAGAGTTTTGGAGCTACTTCTATGGTAAGATCATCATTTGGATTCGACTTTGAAGTTGCTCCAAAAATGGTTAAAAGCTTTCTTAAATAAAAGCTTAATTGACTTAAATATAGAACGCTTTTAGCAGAGAACAGTGCTTGAAATCTAAAAAAAAATGGAGTAAATAAAAATGATAACATACAAATAAATTGCATTGAATACCTTGTCTGATACTGTGTAAGTTGACTGTAACAGTGCAATATATTTCTACCTGTAACCATGACACTGTGCATTCTTTCAATAGCATCGAGTAAATTATGGGCCTCATCAATTATTAATATGTTTCCTTTCAGTTTAATTTCTGAACTATTCCTAGTGTTTTTGTGTAATATGGAATTATATGGGACTAATATAAGCTGACCATGCGGAATAGCCTTTCTTGATGCATAATATGCACATGTTTTAATATTTTCTCCTTTCTGTGCAATTTCCTCAACATCCTGAATTTGTGTTAAAGTTTCTCCTATCAGTAAATCTTGATCACCTGGCATAAATGGACAACTAGTCCCTATTTTTTTTCTTTTCAGGTCTTTCTCTTCTTTTGTGGTTGTTTTTTTCTTTTGCAGTTGCAAGCAATGTTCATTCATTAAATTTAAATGTTTCAGTCTTCTTATATTTGTGTTAATACAATAATTCTGTCTATAATTATTTACAAATGTAGTAGCATGAACATTAAGAAAGATGTTTTGGTAATAGAAAATATAAAAGATATTTTCAAAAGTTACCTAGATGCCAATGTAATAACAGATACAAGTTTTGAATAAGGACTTTTCTTCAGTTCTCCTATGAACTGTGATAACTGAGAATGAGTCCTTGAACAAAAAAAGATTTTGGTGTTTTCATAAATTTCTTCTTCCTCCTCTTCACCTTCAGAATTATCTGAAGTCTCAATTATATCTTCTAAAAGTAGTTCTTCTTCAATACTTTTTGCTGGTACATCCAACTTGTCGACTGGTAACTCGTTTGTTTCCTTTCCTTGCTTTGTATTGCTAGTTTTTTTCCTATTGTTTAATTTCTTCCTATTATTTACGTTTTTTATTGTTTCCTTCAGTGCATTTTTCTTACGTTCGTATTGAAGGATACTATTGAGTTTTGTTTGAAGAGCTTGTCTTTTAGTGTTCAATTGCATTTGTTCAGTCTGGACGAACACCCAATCATCAGAAGTATTGGAATATTTCTTTATTTTCTCATCGAGTTCCGCAATTTCAGAGTTTAACAGATTTTTTTGCAACTCTTCGTGGTCTATTAGCCATTTTACAGCACCGCAAATAATTGACATAGATTTACCAGTACCCGTTGGACTTTCAAAGATTCCTAAATTAGCGTTTTCCAAACACTTATATAATTCTTTCATAAATTGATTTTGTATGGGATACGGTGGGAAAGGGAATGGAAATTCTTCATTACTCTGCATATTGTTTAATAATTATTCAAAACTATCTACAACAAAGTTTCAATGCACATATGTATTTTTAGTAAAAATACTAATTACAGAGGATTCTTCGTAATTATACGTTTCTTTAATAACACAAATATCAATATGTTTCACGAAATATTTTTAAAAATGTTCAGTACAGTAAGTACTATGTTCTTCAAATGCTTACGCATCAAATTCAAACGGCATACATATTTTTGAATTTAATCGAAAAAAGAACAACTCTGAAGTTAGTGAATATCGTGAATATCGAATGAAGTTGAATGAAGTGCAGATAATAGTTTAACTTCATGTATTTTAATACACTTAATTATATTTATGAAATGATGGATTCATTTGCATGATGGGTGAGTACACGAATCATGAAGCGATTGAGTAATATACACTATAAACTTTAAAAGTCAAATGAAAATAAAAAATGAAATGATCTGTAGGTGATTTTTAGGTTAATGTAAACTTGTGAGACAAAAGTGCATGGATGAGAGGTGGTCATGACTGTCGAGTAGAATCACGTGTTACACGTAAAGAAACAGAAAAGCTCAAAATGATCATCAGAAAAAAGATCTGGCCCCATACTTTAAGTGATTTCCTTTCGATGACATTTATATTAACAATTGTGCCTCTAATATACTGGTTCGAATTGTGGGTGGTTTTACCGGCAGTTTATGGATTTGGATCATTGTCATACACGTTAAACTTTCTCCTTGGAAGCTTCATCATGTTGAACATTGTTGGAAATTTCACGTACATAGTTTTTTGTGATACCAGTACCGGAAGGGATATCATGCCAATAAGTGCTGCGAATACTAAGGACGGTTGGAGATTATGCGCGTCTTGTGAAACACTAGCACCGCCACGTTCATGGCACTGTCCAACATGTAATACTTGCATATTAAAAAGGGATCATCATTGCATCTTTACCGGGTGTTGTATTGGTCATTACAACCATCGATACTTTATCATGTTTCTTTTGTACTTATTCATAGCTACGACATATAGTTTTTGTTTTAATAATATCTTTATTTGGAATAGGATACATTTCGAGTTTCCTATGTCAATTATAAAAATTGTTTTTCCATTGGCAATATTTGTTTTTGGATTTGATGGTTCTATAGATCAATTTTATCTACTTTTATACATTGTATCTGCAGTAGGAATGCTATATACTGGAGTTTTATGCATTTATCACTTTGGTTTGATGTTCAATGGTAATGTAGCTAATGAAAGCAATAAAAAGATTCATACATACAATCTAGGGTTTAAACAAAATATAAAGGAAGTATTAGGTGAACAATGGTATCTTGCATGGATACTTCCTTATATAAACTCCCAGTTACCACATAATGGTGTAATATGGGATACATTGAACACATGGCACTACTCAAACCCCAAAAGTAAATAAGCTTTCAGTCATGTACTTTTATAAAAGTATATATGAGAATAAAGAATAATATAATGGTTTGTTATATTTTGTATTTAAAAACAAAACAAAGTGCAAAATTGTTAGTTTCGTAAAAATAAATGCAATGTTTGTTAAACTCATTAATCTTTATTACATGTCCTATAAGTTTAACATATATTGTTGGAAGAAATTACAATGCAAATGATCTATTATTATTGCACTACAGATTGATATTATTTACAGAATTATGGATTTAAATATGTATACATTAATTAATCCACTTATATCTTCATTAAACAAGTTATATAAATGTGAATGAATATTACAGTGGATTTTTTTTACTACAAGAGTAGAAGAGTTTAATTTCATAATATTTACATATAGTAAAAGTCTGGAAACATTTCTGAGTTCTCATTCTTGTGTAAATTAAAAAATATTTAAACGAATGGCATAATATAATTATACATTAAGACTAGCTGGAAGGTGTACATATTATTCAATGTTACATAATAAGCTTCAGTACCTTTTACTAAATAGTTATTAAATTACAAAAATTTTAAATATTTAATATCTATATCAAAGCTTCAAACTTTATATCTGCGACTACGTAATAAACTATTGTAAAAAATAAACTTATTTCATTATAAGAAAGACAATCACATTATAAACTTTTATACATTAAACACAGACAGCTGTCATATTGTTTACTATACAAATTCAAATATGAAATACTGGTACCAATGAATAAATATATATATGACTATAATTTATGTGTAATAATTTTAGTCAACATTGTATAAAAAAGGTGGTTAAAATTTCGTATCTTTGAGTATTACACCCATATAAAAAAAAAGTAATAAAATATGTACAATATATAAACATAGCTATATCTCGGTTATTTTTCTATGAATTTTTTTAATCGTAGAAATGCTACAAATTTAATGGTAAAAAATAAAAATCATACTCTGCCAAGTAAGCTGACATATGTTTTTTTTCTGTACGTTCGTTTAACTGCAAATTTCACACAGACTAATATAAGTATGACAGCGGACGTAACATATAACACAACGCAAATACTTATATCAAAAATTGTAAAGTCCCAACCAAGTTTCTTGCTACTTATATATTTATTCAGTACTAGTCTTTCTTGTCTTACTTTCATTTTATTACCATTATCCTTACGGCTGTCACTAGAACCATAATAATTTATTCCTTTATAACTGTATTTCATTTGGAGGTAATGTAAAACATTCTTTTCATTCCAAGTGCCATTTTCGTGTCTACAATTTGGACAATGTTCTGCTACAGGATACTGAATTTTTTTATGTTTTGGATCTTCAGTATCATCACCTGACAATCGTGCATTTACTTCATTATGAGCTGACCACAACCACAAAATAGTATTATTAACATTAGATACATCGAAAATTTTATTTTTCGCGGCCATTTGTACGAAATGTTGAGAGCAATCGGCACATCCAAAGAAATGTTTTATATACCCATACATAGCTTCTAATATCTTCCGTGGTTCGTGTTCAGTATCTTTATTTTCATTGGCAAAGTTAACTGTTAACATATGAAACATTGTCCAAAGACCACACGGATATCCACGGTATCCATCTTTGCTTCCTTTACATCCAATCCACTGTGAAGATCCAGAATATACGGGTGACATTTCTTCCTCGGTAGATTTTATTATTTGTCTATATTCCTCCCCGGATATATTATCTCTTGTTTTAATAATATCATGAATAGTTTCTAAAAAGATATTCCCATGTCTTAGAGGGAAATAATCAGCTAATACATTTAAATACTTTTTCAATGCATCGATCTTCTCGCCTTTTATTATTTTGTGTAGTGGAATTTCATGGCTGATAGAGTATCTCAAAGTGTTCTCCAAATCCAACTGATACAAATGATCGTCGATAAGTGTATTTTCTAATTTTTCTGTCCCCTGTGATTGCTTTGAGGTGCTCGTACTTGATTTGTGATTTGTTTCTGTCAAATGATGCTTTGTAAAATTTTGTTCATGAATATTTTCACCTCTGGAAATCATGAATTGCATAATAGTATTGTAAGTGCTTTCCCTTGTTGGTACTCTGATCTTAAGAGTTTTTTGCGTGTCATTGCGACTAAAAACTATCAGACTTGGGAAATTAGTAATTTTATTTGTATCGCATAGTAATTCATTGTCAGATGTTACCCTTCTAATTTGTAATATCGAGATTTTGTGCATGTCTAATATAACTTCTGCTCCTAAATGTGAGTCTGTCTTTTCAAACAATAGAAAAAAATATTTCACAGTTTTTGGCACAGCTCTCCAAATATTTGTAGTTTCATAATTTCTGTAAAATTTGATATAGAATTAATGAATATTATCAACACGAATATACCACATTAGAAAAATGCAAATATTAACATACCTGTATGGTGTAATGTTAGGCCATGAAATACCACGTCCTTCTTGTTGTTCATTTTCCAACAGATTAATTAAGTTGCGTCTAAGCTTACTGACACTATTATCCTTTTCCATCACTAATCCTGTAAATGATGTGTGTGCATTTACAGAAAAATATTTCAGCATTGGATAATGCATAATTTCGTATTCACGACAAATTGGATTGTTATCATCATCTGCACAATCTATTGCAGCAATTACCACAATATCCTTCCATGCTAGAAAGAATTACTCCAATATATTATTTATAAGATATGTTCAATTATGTGTACAAGATGTACTTTCATAAATATTGTCTTAGGGGATTTATCTATAATATAATGTATCGAAGTATGTACAAAAATATTTTTTAACCAAACTAAACTGTAATTAAATATTACATAAACATTTTTCCACCATGAATGTATGTTATTATTAAGAAACACTGATTAGATTAGAGTTCTTAATATATGCATATATGCCACATGTGTATGAAATCCGCAATTTACCTATGATAATTATATTACATAAGAAGTATGAATTAATAAATATACCAAGTGTGAATAACCTTTTGGTAAAATATAATACTTACTGTAAATGTCATCAGCAAAAGTTTTCCATAGAGGTGCAAATCGGGAACAAAAACCGCACCAACTATTGTAAAATTCGACTAACCATCCTTTAGTGTCTCCGTAGACAGATGACTTAAAATTGGTTACATTCAAAATAACTACGTTATCACTGGCATTGTATAATCCCTGCGTAGGTATTTCGCTTTGATAAGGTTCCTTAGATGCTTCTGCATTGCAGTTTGCTGTGATTACACTGATTAAACACACTTTCAATAACAAACCAACGTCAAAGTATTCCATCTTTTCTTCTCGTGGTCACGCGTATGGTGTTCAGGCATGTAATAATAAATCTGCGTTTCTATGAGAGCGTTTTAATATAATTAAGTTCATTTTCATGAACATGTACAATGTGTTTAAAATACATGTGAATTAAACATACATTTTTCGATGCTATACCACACACACACACAGTAAAAAATAATTAAATAGTAGTAGACGGTACGTTTTTTATACGAGAGATAATTGAAATAATCAGTTTGTTTATAACTATTTTATGAATTTAAATTATACGTAACAATTTTATAGTAATTACATCACAGTAATCTCTATACTATGAAATTTTAATTAAAAACATTAGTATTTTGACACATTTTTTTATGTAGGTATATTTCAAAATAATCAATATGAACTAGTTTTTTTTAAAAGTTCTCTCATTATTTAAGTAGTCTAGGAAAACTTCAGTAATGTGAAATCTGGTAAATTTTAATATTTAATTTTCTAACATCGTGAAAATAAATTGCAATTAATCGTTTATATTACAAACACTGTTTATTAGCTGTTTCAATATGAATTATTGTTGCTTATTCCTATAAAATGAAAACAATAGGATATCACCCTTAAAGGAGGACATGGAAGTTTTAGGATGGTGGAGGGAATAGGGGCGAAGGTATATACGTTTATTTATTTTATAAACACCTAATTTCGAATGCATCATGTCATCAAATCAACTGATAAAGAATATGATCGGTATAAACCTTGGAGCACCTTAACAGGTCGGGGGCCTGACGATCAACGATTTCTTACTGTCTTGAGGCTTGCTTTTTACAGAGTGCTTGCAGTTCTTCTAGGCTTGAGACTTCTCAGCCGGAAATGAATGCGATTCGGATCATATTCTTTGTCACAAGCGCGAAAAACCTTCAGATCTTCAAAATTCGAGCAAGACAAACATCTTCAGATATTTTGTCTTCGACTTTTCAAAACTTTCATTTTTTCAGAGTGAAACTTCAAACTTCCCTCTATCATCCAATACTTCTTGATTCAAAACCTTATAAACAAACAAACAGGTTAGAGAACTTACTTCTATTTTTAATTTTATTTTTTTTTGTTTCGTTCTTTTTCTGTGTGTAATGTGTTTCGTTTTCCTTTTTTTGCATACTTTTCCGTATTCTTTTCTTTTTTTTGCATATAAACATTAATTAAGGAATACCATATTTGTTTAGATTTACATCACTTTTTGCCAGTGATATTTAATGTCCAACTGGCTGGAATACAACTTTTAAGCAAATAATCAAATTGTCAAAGGAAAAAGGAAACTCAATTATATTCCAACCTTCACATTTATAGTCATTACAGTTACAATAAAATAAACCTTATCTTCATAAACTGTTAGGGAAACGATAGAAGTATTATGAAAATAAGGTTTCCCGTGTCCATTCTGACCTTACTGTTTTCATGCAAAGAATATGCTATACTTCTTTGCATAATTAAGTTATTTCATTAATTGATATTGTACAATATCGTAATTTAAATGCCGTATATTAATTGCATATGACGCAGAATTAGGTAAGGTAAGAACAGTAGTGAGAATGTAGTGTTTGCATTTTTTGACCCAGTACAGTATTGTTAGAAGAAATTTGAGGTCAAAGGGTCAAGTCACACAAATGGTCTCCCAAACACCTGGCCTCTCGCATCACACTCGTGTCACTTAATACCGACCTGAAATTCATTAAGCAACAAAAACTATGATTGTTTGACCCAGGTTACGGGTTACACTTAGTTACTACCGTACGATTTATTGGATGCATTCCTTGATGCTCCCGTCTTCCATTCTTGCTAATTTAACTACTTATTTTATACTTAAACATTTTGTCTGAACTAAATATAAGCGGTCTACGAAAATATGAATCTAAATTAAAAATTTCGTTGTATATGAGCTTGCAACCGTTGATTTTACTGTAGTTCGAATTCACACAAAATACCATATTGTGTTTTACATGTGTGTATATATATATGATTGTACACATTATTCTGCAAATATATTGTTCTATACAATGTCTTCTATTTTCTTATATTATCTTAATCATTATATCTTTGCCATTATCGTCATTGTTAGTTATGCCTTTCATTCCTGTGTAGCAAACACTATTGCATATACCTGTAGAGATATTTTCTAATAAATAAAGAATGGTACCAATGGATTTTCCATTTCGAAATTCGAATATAAAGTAAATGTATTGAAAATGAGGTTTTCAATATCTGAACATGGTTTCCATATTTTGTATAATTATTTTCGTATAATTTACTGAAAAGTTGTTTATTTTGAATAAAATTTTGTTACATTCTAATAAGAATACTAAATGTTAGGCAACCTCAATATGTGTGATTCAAAGTGCATTTAAAGTGTTTTACTTCAGACGTGTAGTATCAAATGAAATAATTGGAAGTCGAGACTTTGATATTGTGAGTATATAATGAAAATTCACGAATCCCGAAAACCGAGTTTAGAGAAAAATCGATTCTACTTAATGTAGGCAATAGTTACGGACTTAATGGTAGTAAAATATGATTTTCAGCAAAATTGGGCTTAATGGGTTTTCACTGCACGTCCACGATATACAGATTAAAGGTATTAATGTACGTCAATGTTGGTAATATAAGTTTTAGCGAATTATAAAATATCAAATCAATGAGTTTGTATGAGAGTTATGAGTTAATTGTATGATTTATAACACAAACGTTATTTCAGAGGAGACACATATCCATGTAGACTGCTTATATTAGATGGTGTAAACGAAAAAGGAATAAACTTACGCGGTGAATAGGAGCGCGATCTGGATCTGTCGTAGCGTGAACGTCGACGACTGTAGTACGGACTTGGTGAACGCCGATAGCTTCCCCTGTAACTGCTGCTGTTTCCAAGCCGACAGTACGAGAATGTTTTTTTACTCAATTCTCTACTGATTGTTATATTACCGTAAGTATCGAAAAAAAAAAAGAATGAACTTACTCTCTACGTCTAGGCCCATCCCATCCTCTGTCATGTAGGTGTGTAGGTTTTCCCATATAAATTCCAGGAGTGGGTGTGTGAGCTCGCTGTGTGATTGAAAAATCTACCCTTATTCTGCGGCCATCGATTTCCATTCCTGTGCACTGTTCTTTTGCAACTTTAGCATCTTCAGACGACTCAAAGTATACAAAGCAGAATCCTCTAGAACGTCCAGTCTAAAAAAAAAAAAAAAAACAACATTTACATGCCACTTCTTTATGTATACAAATACATGTCCAAATTGACAAAATTAAAAGTACGTGTAACCAGAGGCCTTTAACATTTGATATAAACTTAATACACGAATGTTCTAAATCTCTGGTACCATTTGTTATACCCCATACTTACATGATAGTTATAGGGTTTTATTATTACTTATAAGGGAATTTCAGTAACCCCATAATTTCCAATTTTTTTTGCTACTTTTAAAAAAAATCGAATAAAAGATAATACATTCAAGCTAGTATATGCCAACATTTAAATACCTTTGCATCAATTACAACTTGTACTCGTTCAACAGGACCATATTTGGAAAAGATGTGATGAATCTGTTGCTCGGTTGTAAAAATAGAGAGTCCAAATACACCTAAGCATCGAGAAGGACAGGGATTGTCCCTGTTACCAACATGCCTTCGCCTAGACGACATTGGGCTACGAGAATGTGAACGGTAGATGTTCCTGTCACGTTCACGGGAATAACGGGAACGAGAGTACGAGCGAGATCTACTTCGAGAATACCGCCCACCCCTGTAAGGAGAACGAGTACGACTGCGACTACTACCACGATGACCTGCACTAGCATACTTGTTGCTGCGATATGATTTTCTTCCTCTAGATACAGAACGGCTTCGTGATCTTGAATATTCTTTTACTGGTCTATGGGATTCTTTACGTTCACGTGATTTACGAGATCTTGAATGTGAACGGGAATCTCTTAAACCACCATCTGCTGTTCTGGGTCGCCTAGGACTTGCGCTACGACTGCCACTTCGCTAAAAAAAGAAATTATTTAAATTAACATAAATTCATACTCTTTGTATTTTGGACAATGGCAGAAAATGATCAATTTTGGACCCTGCTGCCACTAAACAATGTTTGTTTTTAGGAATTAAAAATGATAAAAAAATAAAAAACATTCATACGAATGTCGAAAAAATTTAACAAGACATTCAAATCAATTCAGTCTTGTAACAAACATTTGTTACATCGTAGAGGTAATAAACGGATTTTTATGCATCCAAACATAACTGCTATGATGTACTGAATTTTTGTTAGAAGATTGGATTGATTTGCTTGTTGAAGTTCCTTTTTAGAAGTTTCATTTTATTTTATAATCTTTAAATACTGAATATTTTAAATTATTGTACAATTCAAATGCAGATCTTCTGCAGCAATTTTACTTGTGTTTATGAATATGCAAATAAAGTATCATCTGTTAATACGTGCAAGTACAAGATCAGTGAATGGATTATTGCTTTTACATAATTATAATTTCATGGTATTTAGTGTTGCTCAGCATCGATCTACCAAAAACTAATCTACTGTTTTTGGAATGATTGTTTTATAGATGGATTATTACCTAAACAAGAAAATGATGAAACATCTTAATTAGGTAAGTTATACCGACTACAACTTTCTCATAAAATGACTGCTATATAATTATGCTTCATGGGATTCCTAAAACTTGTAGATTTATGATTTACAAGTATGTTACGTTGGCAGCAAGGTCTAAAATTGGTCATTTCCTACCACTGTTGTTTATTTTTTACAGAAGCTCAAAGAATAAGTTAGATTCGTAACAATATCCATTCGAATTTAATGATATTCGAAAGGACAAAATAAAAAGCATTTGTTTTTGTATTACTGTACATCAATAGATGCGCACACCTTAAAAAGTATTCCCTCTTAATTTGTGCACAATAGAAGCGAACGCTTATAAAAATGAAATTTACTCGTAAGCTTAACCTTTCAACCGCTAATGAAAATATCACATTTACAGATTTAGCACATCATAAGAGAAGGAAAAATTATAAACATTTCTATAACAAATTTTATAATATATCTAGCATTGAAAAACGATAGAAAATCATTAAAATCGTAAGATATACATAAAATATAGTTGAACGTTGATGGATCAATAATGGCTGTGGTCAGCCGCATGTCGTTACAAACGTTATGCGTATAAAATTTTCTTTGGAATTCTTATTTCTACAAGGAAGTATAGAGATTACCTCAATGTCACTCATTCTGCGTCTACGGCGTCTCTTCTTAATAAAGTCCACGGCAAACGTAAGAAAAGCCGACAGAAACGCCGGAATATTATCTCAACTTCGGCTTCGAAGTTTAATAATGGCGTACGCTTTCCGAGCTGTTTCATGGTTGCAGCGGGCAACAACCGGAAATTATTCCAGGTGGTATACAAATGCGAAACACCCCAACATCCGGTGTTGCCAAGAAATAATTGTTAAAACTGAAAATGGCGATGGATTCTTTAAAGTGGCGCCAGATTCAATATAAAGTAATATTATAAATTACAAATATTTATATACCATTAAAGTCCTATCTTGCCTCATATGATTTATTGATTAACATTTGTTTGTACATATTTAATTGTACGTATTTATAATGATACATAATAGAAAAGCAAATTAACATACATTCTTTATACATGAATGTATAAAATTAAAGAAATTAAATTCAAATATATTCAATTTTAAAGTATGTGAGTATCTTACACGTTGACTGTCATATCGGCATATATTATATGTGACTTGATAATAAATTTTTACAGTATACACTGCTATTTACATATGTAATAAAATGTATATTTCAATAATTATATTGTAAATGCCATAATGAATAAAATTGAACAGTGATATGTATTAAAAGATATATATTATGTAATTATAAGGGTATGATAATGAAGTATTTCTGTGCGTTTTAATTACTTATGTGTAGAGATATGCGATTTTCTATTTATTAAGAATAAGAAGTACTGAAACATAGAGCATTATTTTGATTTTGAATAAAGTGATTTGATATTAAACTTTTGAATGTAATGGAACGAGCATCTGTTTCCATAAAGCCGCCAGTGATGCATCTGCGCAGAAGGGTGCGCGTGCGTCTGCGCTAGAAAAACTGTTCACATCGCATACTGCGGCAAAGCCAGAAACGAGGAAGAATCTCCGGTAGTCAGTGAACCATTTTTCTGTCGTCAAACGGATCAAGCTTTTTGTGAGACTTGGATCGGTCACAAAAAGCGGGATTCGCTTTTCGCATAGGAATTGGCCTGTTCAGGAACGAGCTTAATCACACAGAACGTTTGAAAATTGTGAGTAAATGTGACTTTTTTCAACTTCGTGTAGCGGACGATACTGCGACCGGTTGGTCTGTGCGCCTCTTTATCATCATTTTTAAATAGAAACCTGTCACCAATGAAAGTCGTCAATGACTTTGTTCTCGTTTCAGTGATAATAAGACTTAACCTCTATATTTTGTTTCTATATTTTCTATGCTCCACATACTAGAATTAATCAATGAATTTTATAACAATCATGGCCGCCAGCCGGTTTTCGTGCCGTTTTATACCGTATTGACCTTATATCCGTCAATAACCACTTGACTGAAATAATAGTACAACTTTATTATTGTTATCGGATTTCGTATACCCTCTCCTAATCTTATGAATCTTTATTTCTGTTTCTTATGTTGATTATGAGAACTGATGAATTAGATAATAAATACTATTGTGATTTGTCAAATCATCAGGAATTTTGTTTATTCATGAAGACAATCCCAGTAAAATGTTTTCACGACATGGATCATTGTTTCGAGTGTTTGATAATTTTGCAGAATAATTAATTTTAAATGTTCCAACTGCAGAATTTATATAATTTAAAACATACTCTTGTATGAAATTATAAACAAATCTTCAGTATTCTCAAGTATTTTACATACACATCTGTTTTATTGTGCATATAAATGTTTTTATAGTCTAATGAATATTTTCAATTTTGTAATTTCATGTTTAATTAACAGAACATTTATGACTAAATGATTTTGGAGCATTTGATATTTTTGGAGCAAACATGAATTATGATGATTTTGACATCTTGTTTTTCTGAAGACTTATAAACTTTACCATATTAAAATCAACACTTACAGTTATTACTTATTATTCATAGTAGTAATATGTATTTATATTTACAGGTCACAAAAATGGAGGAAATGCATCAACCACAACAGGTTGGGCCTAATGTGATGGCCAATGTGGGTGGGGTTCCTAATCATTCAAATAATGTTAATCGGCGTAGCAGAGCTAGATTATCTTTACACAGTTTGATGCTGGAAAAACTTCCATTAAGTGAGGCTGCACAATTGGAGATGAAATCATTATGCAACAAAAAGCCAGTTTCTATTCTTCAGGAATTGCTTTCTCGTAGGGGCACAACACCAAAGTATGAGCTAATACAAGTAGAGGGTGCTGTCCATGAGCCCATTTTTCGTTATCGTGTCACTGTTGCTGATATTGTTGGTTTGTATCTAATTTTGATGATACATTATTAGTTTATGTTATTTTAATTATTGATGTTTAAGTATGTAGTTATATAGTTATTTGTTCATCTGTTAAATATAAAAAGTATATCACTTTAAATTAAATACATAGAGATATAAGAAACTTATTTATTAATTGAAACTTTGGTTGCCATTATTTATTTGCTTACTATTAAATTCAAATAGTAAGTGATAAGTATTGATTGATTGAAGCAGATCCAATTATTTCAGCAATGGGGACTGGAAAATCAAAGAAGGAGGCCAAACACACGGCCGCACGAGCTGTATTAGATAAGTTGTGTAGAGTAAATAGTGACACACCAGATTCTCCACTTCCAAATGATTTACCAGAGTAAGTGTCATAACTGTACATATTCTGTATACACGGTGGACCAATAACTTTGACCACCTCGAATGTCTCTGTTATTTTTAGAGATATGAAAAACTTTTATTTACAAAAGTTGCATAGTACCATAACATGTCAGTAAACATACTAATTTTTGGTGCTGGAAGGTTCTGAAGATTGCAAGTTCACCTATATTTTTTTAAATGGCATGCTATAAATTTTTATCCCTAGTAGAAGAGCAGATGTTTAGGCGATTTCAATGGCCTATTGTACAAGGTCTTTTGATATTGAATAATGGAGTAAAAGAATGACTCTTGTGTCATATGACGTGCACAATGTGATATCCATCTGCAATGATGCAACATTGCAATTGTTCAATTGTTAAAACCTTTTATGACATAAGAATCATTGTTTTACCCGTTTATTTAACGTCGAATGATGTTGTACTACAGGTTGTAGAAATAATCTAAACATCCACTATTTTACTAGGGATAAAAAAGTATAATACAGTACAGATTGTACAAAAAATTATTACTAGCATGTTACAGCTCCCTCAGGACTATGTAATTTTTGTAAATTAAGTTTTTCTATATTTCTGCAAATAACAGAAATATTCCAGGTGGTCAAAGTTATTAATCCACCCTAATATATCTGTCTTTATGGAAAAGAAATATGACCTAATTATCCTGTACAGTTCTGAAACTCTCCAAGAGTTACCTGCATTTGGAGAAGAAAAAGCAATGACAAATCCAATTGGTGCGCTACAAGAAATGTGTATATCGCGTCACTTGCCCCCACCAAAATATACAATGGAAAGTGAAGAGGGTCTACCGCATGAGAAACAGTACAGTATTGTTTGTTCTATTCTAAAATATCGTGAGGTTGGCCAAGGAAATAGTAAAAAAGTTGCAAAGAGGCATGCAGCTCACAAAATGTGGAGGGCTTTACATGACGTGAATTCAGAAAATCCTAATTTAGATGAGGATGAGGTAAGAATGTCTTTTGTTTGTCTACTAAATGTCTTTCTTTTATATAAGAATATCTTTTTATGATTTAAGTGAATAAAAGTATGTAACTTTTGTTTTCATTTGTCCATTTTCTTTTTCTTTCCTTAGTTATCTAATAATGATACATACAAAAATAACATTAACACTTAACAGACTTTTGTGTACTTGCATGTGTACAGCTTTAGTGTATGTGTGTGTATGCTTAGTGAAGTGGAAGTGATTTGGTACTGCAAACAGTATTACGAGGTATAAGCTACCTTTCTGATCACCTTTAATCTATAACGGATAATTTTTTAGGATACAAAATGTATAATATGTGTTATATGTTATAAATTATTATATTTATACAGCAACATATGTTATTATCAGTAAACACGCTTGGATCATTTCCACTTCATTTTGCTTTTAACATAAGTGCAGTCATTGGCGAATTGTACCCAATGATAAGCATATAATTATTCTTTTAAGTATATTAATTGTCCGTTATAGGTTTTACAAAGAAATGCAAATGTGAGTGCCCGTTATGCTGATCTGAAAGGTAGCAAAATTTCAACATTAACAACTATTCATAGCCTTAAAGTTTCACAATTTCATAAAAGTCTGAAGTCATCAACCGGTGTTAAGCTATTTGAGCTACAGGTGTGTAATGGAATTGTAATTTATTCGAAATATCTAGAGATCGACTAAATGTTCTTTTTTTTACCATATTACATTTGCTTTTATTGTGTTTTTCTGTTGCAGAATACGTGTTTGAATGAGGGCGATATAAATTTGGTACAATTTTTGCAAGAGATTTCTTCAGAGCAGCAATTTGAAGTAACTTATGTTGATATTGAAGAAAAGTCTATCAGTGGTAAGTTATTGGCATTTTATATTTTCTCAATACATACAATTCATTGAATTATTTTTGTAACTAATCTGCTTACTTTTTAAATTGCTAAAAGATTTATCTTAAAATAAACGTATTTTCTGTAAGTACAAGATCGACAGGTACATCAGTATCCGATGTGGGTATATCTTCCCATATTTGTTCATTAAATGCCACTCCAATTAAGTATGGTTTTGTTTGTTGTTTCTTCAAACAAGCATTTAAGAATGAGTCATAATAACCCATCCCATGTCCTAAACGTTTCCCTGTTATGCATAAATTATGAATATAGTCACATCACTCTTCTCGAATGATCCAGTTAAGTTAAAATTTACTTACCATCAATGGTAAATGCCACACCAGGTAGAATTATTAAATCTAAACCACCTATAATGAAAAGTGGGTTATTTCTTTTTTGTATCTCTTACATTATATTCACAAAAAACAGCTAAAAAAAACATGCAAATTTAAGGTTTATATACAATTAAAGGTTTTACCAGTTTTTAAAGCATTTTCTCTAGTTTCAGTAAACTTTGGTTGCTTGATGTTCCATTTGGTTACTGGTAACTTTTCATAATCCTCCATTGAAAGTAATTTAACCATTTCCATGTTCAATCCTCTGTATGTTGGTACAAATACCTCCTTTTTTGTTGCAAAAAGATGCTTTAATATCGGTATTGTATTTACTTCATCTTTTGTACTTAAGAATAATGAAATTCTTCTACTTTGTTGAAATTGTTGCAGACCACATAACTGTACAATGTAGAAACAAATTTTTTGCAATGAGTGACTTCATTTTGAAAGTAACAGCATGTAACATAACCTCTTGTATACTTATTCTAGTGGACCAGTTATATGTTTGTAGGCTTACTTTTCCAAATAATTTCCTTGACTGTCTATCTTTTTCCTCGGGACTAAGTTGTGAAATAATAAGTTTCATTTTTTTACGTAAAATAAGTTTAGCACATTTTATTCTACACATTATTCCTTTATCTTTATATCCTTTACATCAAAAAGGAAGAATTCCATATGATATGGTTATATAAGGGGGCAGCAGCATGTTCACTTTTAAGAACTGTAATAGAAAAACGTGAATGACCTATAACACAGTTATCACAACTTGTTTAGCACACTTAGTTTCTAGTTACATATAATCATTGGACTGTGGATTTTATGCATTTAAAGCGTACATAATTGTTTAAATAAAAATACAAGCTAAAAAAGACATATACTAAAATGTTTCATACAGTTTAACGAGATTGTTATTTTATTTGTAACTTAATAAAATCCTCAATAGAATAAGTCAATTTCATTTTGATTTCAGTTTTTGCAAATTAGACAAAAATCTGTATTTACATAAACATCTGCAGTCTAACAATCATAAATACAGATGTAGGTAGCCATTAAACCATGTTTTCAGTTATTTTAATTATCTTCTTTTTTATTTCAAATTTAAAGTCATTATGTTATTTACAATATCCATTAATAGACATAACTCGAAAATATTTAGGTAGTAATTAATTGGTTTTATTATATGGAAGAAAAATTTGCAGAAGTCACTTAAGTTTACATTCAGTTTAAATTAATCATTTATTTTATTTATTGTTATAGGTAAATGTCAGTGCCTTGTGCAATTGTCTACTTTGCCAGTGGCAGTTTGCTATGGTTGTGGTGTTACTAGTAAAGATGCTCAAGCCAGTGCCGCTCAAAACGCTCTGGAATATCTCAAGATCATGACCAAAAAGTGAGCCAGCGCTTTGCTCCTGCCAGCCGTCACTATCAACTGCAAATCCCACAGTAATTTGCTGTCCAAAAATCAAAATAACAACACGGACCCCAAAACTTTATCGGCGACTAATCAAGCACCAGACAAGGGTAAATGTGGTCAAAAGCTTGATCATGTAGGGAACAAAAATCGACTGTCTAAACTAACAGTCAGAACAATGAACACTGCAATAGGGAACAAAGATGCCAGTTTGAACGTAATTACCGCATCGGGTGTCACGGTCTCTGCAAGTCGGATAAATCCGTCACTAAAGAAGAACAATGGAAACAATGAGAATGTAAAATCAAACGACCAACAGTTACCAAAGAATTCATCGATCGTACCCGCGAATCAGCAATCCAGCTCTAAATTCGGTAGTGTAAGAAGTGTTACCGCGGCCTGCGTGACCGGTAACGTTTCCCACGAGAGTGTATCCAAGTCCAAAGATTACACCGCTAAAAAGTTCTCCACCGAAATTGACTCTAAAGTGAAGAATTATCAGATACAACAACCCGATTATAAAGAGTCGTCGTCGTCGTCCTTGAACAATCAATATTACAAAACCAGGAATAGCACGGCTATGAACAATTTATCATCGAGGTTTGTAAATCAGACGTCGGTTTCGTTGCACCGGGAGAACCAAGCGACCACCGGCGCGCATCATTCCCGACCGACATCCCAGAACGATAATACAGCGTTTGCCGTGGCTAGAAAAGCTTTGGAACAGCAAAATCCTGCATCGAAAATGGCGCCGATCAATTTTCCACCGTTGCGCGCGCCCCAGAGCATCGTGAACGTCCGTCATCCGTTCGTGACGGAGGCGAGAACGAAACACAACGAGATCGGTGGGTCCAGTTCGAAAACGAAATTAAACATGGGCAGTTCGTTGCAGGGCGGTGTCAAAGATCTCGATCATGCTCGACGAACGTTTCACAGTTACGGCACGTCGCAGATCGCCGGTATACCGAACGTTCCGAGTTTGAGCAACGTCACGGCGAGCATGTCGCCGTATTCGAGACCGGATAGCTTTCCTCAACCGACGGTTGCTAGTGTCCTGTTTCCCGACACCTCGCAGTTCCCTCAATCGCCGCCTTTCAGTACGACGCAGATCGGACAGCTGAATCAATATCAGACCTACGATCCCGGCAGTTTCGCGACAACACCGGTGAACGTGAATCCGGTGATACCTCAGTTCTCCGCGGAGAGTTCGATCCCGTATCCGCAATACGACAATCCTCCTCAGTTCGTGCAACCGAATCATTATCCGACTGCGGACATAGCGAACAGTCAGTATCAATATCAAGCGGCTGGCGTGGGACAGCTACAGGACTCGCCGATGTTCATACAAAGCCTACAGAGTCCGATCGCTGTGACGGATCAGTATGCCGCACCGAATTACGCCAGAGCTGTTAGAACAGAATTGATACCGCGATTGAGGAGGCCGCCGAGATTTAACAAGTAAAAATGATTTCTTTTTCTTTCTTTTTTTTTTTTTATTGTAACGTACCGCTAAATAGAAATATTAAGCATCAAGTGGAGAAAGCGCGATGAAGAAGAATGGAGTTCTATCCACGATCGACAGATAGCGCCCCTCGTGTATCTGCAAGTTTGCCAATTTTGATTAAAATTCGTGGTTGGGCGCAGCGAGAAAGATCTGGTGGAAGTTATTTCAATTTTTGATCCATTTTGAAATAAATTTTAACCAGTCTATATACGTGTGCTTGTTCGTGGGCGTGCAGAGTGTTGAAGGAAACGGGGTAGATTGGTATCTTTGGCAAAATTGCTTGGATGCACGTGTCCGTGAGGGTTGATATTAGCTGTTTTAAATGTATTGTCTGAAAACGGTTTTCTATTGTATATGTATACACGTACATACAAAAGAAGACATATACACACATACATACACAGGACACAGAGGAACAAAGAGAAAGAATCATTTTTGACTTGTTTCCGTCGTTCAACGTGACATGGCAGGGCATAGTGTGTTGATCTCGATTATAATTTCGATGACGTCATATGTCTACATCGTTAAAACGTGAAGGGGAAAAAAGTGAAAAAAAAAAAGAGAATAGATGAGAAAAAAGAGGTGGGTGCATCCAGTGTCTTAAATTGTACATAAATTATGACTGCTGCTAAGAATAGTCTAGTTTCTATAAATAGAACGTTGCGATGTGATGAATCCCGGGAGGACAAATTTGTTTTTCGTCGAGACCGATCGCGTGGCCAATTCGTTAGGAAACGAAGCATAGGCTGCAGTCGTATGACCACGTAAAAATAAAAACAAAAAAAAGCAGAAGAAAGAAAGACGATAAGATCCACACACGAAACTCGTGAGGTAATAAGAGAAAGAGAAGGCAGTGCAACTGGATTATAAATTACGTTACGATAAGTCCTAGTCTTAACGAATGATAACTTACAAGCTATACTTTGCATAGAATTAGTGGAGGTTTTCCAATATTTGCATATTACTTAGCTTACCGCTATGTTTTTAACGTGCTTCACTATCTATATATGGGTACGGCGGCGTAACGATGTTCATTGTGACGGCGATCTGGACGAAGGGAGGGTGACAAGTCTTCTCGAAACGGAGAAAGAAAACAGAAAAAAAAGAGAATACCGAAACGGTACCGAACGTGTATACAGTCCGATTCGCTTAATTTGAACATCGTGTCACCGACCGTGTAAGTGTTATGCACACACAAGCGCCCAGAGGACGTAGCTATTTCGGCGATCCGTGTATAAGAAACGACGATCGCGATAATGGTAACGATAGTTTACGATAGTTTCGGTGGTGTATGTTTTTCCTTTAGTATACAGCAGCTCATTAAACTCATATAGCATTGTATTAACTGATACGCGTAAGGTTAGTCGTTAAGGATTCAATTAAAGATTAAGTACACATCTCGTATAGCCAAGGGTGTATATACTCGTGTGTATTGAATTTTGAATTGCCTACGTGCGTCGACCTCATCCGGCATTTGAGACATTTATACTAAATGAAAAAGGTAATCACATTCGCGTGGGTCACACGCGAAACGATGGAGATGGAAGGGAAACGCGTTGCCCAGAATCGGACCGTGGATCATATGCTGCGTACCTGTGAGCGGGGCTGTAATGGATCATCGGAGGGATTTGAAGCAGCACGCAAAAAGGAACGATATCACGAAGAAATGAAGAATTGGACCCAGAATTACCGCGTTCGTCGTAATATCAGTGAACGAGCACATTGATTCTTCTTTACTGAACTGTAGTACTCCCTTGTTAAACAGGGTGAGGCACCTGAAACAGGCTACCTGAATATCTCGGGTATTACTGGTGATAGAAAAACATGTGTAGTTTTATGTGAATAGTTTTTTGATAGGTGGATGCGTAGAGGTCATATGAAGGTCAACTTCGGTTATCCAAATGGAGACAGGTTAAAAAAAAAAAGACATCTTATCATTAAAAAAGGGAAGTTGACCTTCATATGACCTCTACGCGTTCACCTATAGAAAAATATTCACATCAAATTATGTACTTCTCGATACCATGTAAGTTGGGTCTCGTATATTTTTTTCTATCACCAGTAACAGCCATGATATTCAGGTGGCCTGTTTCAGGTGCGCCACCCTGTATATTCGACTTCGATGGAAGTTCAACCCTATGTCCACATTTTGTAGAAACTAGTGGTAGCTCGAAGTTGATCATCGAACGGTTAGCAAATATTAAAAGCAGGCAACTAACTTGAAACTCGGTTCTGTACCGAGGAAACATGTCTACTGTAAGAGTAGTAATGCGTTCTAACCTCATTAATAGACTGGATTTTATGCATTTATAGTGTACAATACTTCTTTATGAATGAATCGACATTTGTCGAACAATTATTTAATCTCATTGACTGTTTAAAATTCAGAACGACACCCTTAGATACTGCACCCTTAACTCTGTCTGCAACTCAGTATTGCATGATATACAACAAAAATTGATAAAGTTTTTACTTCACTTAGAATCATACAACACTTTTAATACTGAGAAGAAATATTCTTCGTCGATTCCAATTTCCTTAACGTAGCCCACAAAACTCTGTATTTGCATAAAAATTCGCAGTCTACTCATTATACATCACTCGATGGATCTCGAAGAATTTACTCAATCTATGAGAAATTGTTCTATAACAGGAATCTCTATTAATATCTGCTGATTTCGCAATGATCTCACTTTTTCTGGGTATCGAACTTCACCGTTTGTAAATCGAGGGCTCGAATATTGAGGGAGAACACTGTTCCTGTGTAACCGGTGTGTTAGTGCGTGCATACGTGATTTCGTCCATCAGCGATATTCTCTCGTTTACTCGAAAAGAATCTCATTGATCATTTCATATACATTTGAGAATGTATTTCTTTCGAATTCACGCGCGACAGTTCCCCTGAGAACGCTTATTCGCATATCCGTAGCTTCTCTAGTATAAGTGTTCGTATTCAAATGAAATGGTGGTGGTGAACCATCGATCGGAAGGTGTGAATACAAAAAAAGATGAAAAACACAACACGAACAAATCTCACGTACGAAATTGCGTCTGCATGCCTGCGTGCATCGAATCGACGATGCGTTAATCAAGGAAACGGATATGGTCGCGACACCTTCGCCACAGACGAGATATAAAAATAGACCTAATATCTTATGGGACTTAGTGTCCCATGAAAATCATGCTGGTTCGAGCGTACTCCACGTAAAAGTTTCTGTCTCCAGGAACTACGTTCGACACCGTGATACATACATTATTGCCCCGGTTTCGCTAGCAAGAAATGGAGTATTGAAATGCTACGGGGCTTCTGACGTTCCTGAAGCATGGGACAGAAAATTACATGTTAAGTCTATCCTTATATCTCGTCTGTACCTTGGCCCCGACGCATACCTTGATGGTACAATAAAAAAAGAAGATTCGTTCGTTTTCTCTTGAGGGCAGACCAAGGCCAAAGTGTCGCGGCGACGTGTTCAGCGGTGGAATAGAAGTATAAGGATATAAAAGAAGCGTCCATCCGCAGAGAACCACGGCGCCTCGACTCGCGAGCATACCTAAAGATAAAACGGTCCACAGACGATGCGATTTATCGTGCTTCGAGTTGTACGACAGGTTGTACGGACAGTTGCAAAGACAGATCATATCGATCAACCGATTTTTAGCCTGTCGTATTAAAAATTGTACAACCACGCTGCTTTTCGGGGCGATAGGTGGGAAACGAATGGATGTGACTGTGAACCGCGTGTGGTTGGCGACAGTATTTCTTGTATGTCAGAAAACAATAAAGAAAGACATTAGAGATTAGTTGTACGATATATCGTATCGTCTGGTGGTCCGTTTAAGACGAGTCGCGAGACAGGATTGTAAACGAGAAAATGTCTGCGAGGCATGATTTTTCCGGTCGGGGAGCATATTTTATACATACTTTTGGAAAATAGGCATTACTTACATGCAAAGTATAGAATGTGTATGCGTCTAATGGGAGTGTGAGTTGGCTAGGTTGAACCACAACCCAGTTGTTTCCTTACGAAATAGGGAGATAGATTGAGAGAGATAGGGGCGGATGAAAGGATCATGGAGGAGTGAGATGCGTAGAGAAAAACGACGATTCCGCGGCGAATCGTTTGCCGATATTCGAACCGAGACGTGTTCGGTTCCACCGAATTACGATTGACGAAGCGAAACAGTATAACCCCCGTGCGTTTCACGAGCGATTATCGAATCCCGTGATCATCTTATACTATTTTTGTCCGACGAAAATCGGACAACAAATCGCGCGACGCCCCCTGATTCTAGTGTTCCTGTTTCGCCGTGCATACATTTTTCTTTCTCCGCGTGACTCGGTTCAGAAAGCGTCGCTTTCGAAAATTGAACTGGGATTCACGTGTGTCTTTCGTCTGCGACTAATTTCGTGCCAAATATGTTCGTTGAACACAGAATTTGAAATTCAAAATGGCGTCGTCACTGAAACGCGAGAAAAATGATTGAAAACCAGCTGTTGCGCTTACCTGTATGCATTGAATCCTATCAATCCCGTAGTACGTGATATTCACAAGCAGACAAGAGATACGATACATCGTCAAACTATCCGGCGAATCGATCGGTTTTTTTTTTTTCGTGGCGATATTTTTGTTTGGGATATTCGTTTCTCTTTTTTAGGGGGGTCGACGAGAATTTACGGTGGTATACCAGATTTTCCGAAGGTATTCATTATGTTTCGAAGTAAATTATACATTTTTTTTTACGAGTTCGTAACGAGCTTGTGCTTCCTTTTTTTTCCCCGTTTCGTTTTTTTTTTTTATTATTTCATGCGATTTTTTGTACATCAAGTTGTACGATAGTTGCACAGACCGTTGCAAAGACAGATTGTTTCAAGTATGTTGTACAATTAGTTGTACGATAAATCGTATCGTCTGTGGACCCTTTTAAGTTTTCCGCTCGAGACGAGAACGTCCGAGTCGCGCGTTTCCGGTTCCCGAAGAAACAGACGAAACGGGAATTTTAAAATTTATTATTTTCGGGGTTTACGAAACGCACTCATATGCGCCATCTCTAAAACGCACTGCACGAAGATCGACACGATCCATCGATCGCTGCATTAAAAGACGAGAATTTAGATTTGCGAAAAACGAAAGGAAGAAAAAAAAGAGAAAATACTGAGACGTTATCGGGCCATCTGACGGCAGATTGAAGAAGCATAATGAAAGGGATATGTCTTGTGACGCATAATGACACATATTGTATTAGAAATGAAAGAGAACAAGAGAGAGAGAGAAATAGACTTTTCATGGTTTATGGTTACACGGGGTGTCAGTTTTTCCGTGGACCAAGCTAAGAACGAGGAAAGATATATTCGTCCGTGAATATGGCGGCGGCCATTTTTCTTTTCTTGTTCGTGTACCATCACCGAACGGGAATCGATCGACCTCGATCATTAACCCTCATCCATCCTACGTGTCAATTTGACATATTTTTCCTTTAAGAAATTGTGTCATTCTGTTATGTGTAGATAACTTTAGCTGAAACTTCGTGACCTTTATTTTAGAGAAATTGCAAATGTAACTATTTATTTCTTCGTTATATTAATATTTTACCACTGTGTCAACACCAAGGGACAAATTGAGTTGGGAAACTGAGGGACGGATGAGGGCTAAAAGAAGAGGAACGAGAGGAAGAAGAAAAGTTGCGAAATAGCATGTTTCAACGGAACCATCGTCACACGTGTCCCTTATGTGGCAAAGGGTCACAGTGAATCCGTTTTTTTTCTAGCAACGGAAAATTTTATCGTTCAAGCATTAAACGTGTTTTGTAAGATTTTAGGGGCGAACGAAGGGTCAACTAGAGGAAGTGACTAACAAAAAAAAATGAACAGAAAGAAATGTACCAATACGAGAAATCTCTTCTTGTAGATAGGAACGGCGACGTTTCGAAGAGATTTGCGATTCCAACGCGCACATCTCTACGCCCTCTTTCGTTCCCTTTCACCCGGTGTCGAAAACCACTGTTGTACAAAAAGAGAAAGAGAACGAGCGCCGTAGTCTCCCTTGTTCTTCCCAATGATCATACGATCGATTCGTTTTTTTCTTTTAGACCAGCGAGAACGAAAGATAGGGAAAAAGAAGAGTCTTGGAAGAAAGAGAAAAAGTGAATGTTTATTCGCGAGGAAAAAAGAAGATGAAATGGAGAAAGGCATTCAACAAAAAAAAAAAATGAAAAATGAAGAAGTTAACGTTGACGGGTAGACACGATATTTGTCAATTTCCCACGTTCCCTTCTCAACGAACACTTCGAATTGCGTATAGGCAGATCATCTACTGGTACTAAAAGAACACCAAGCAAATTCCGACGATTTTACATTACAAGGAAATGTAGATATATTCGTTCGTTCCTTGTTGTATAAGTGAAGAAAGAGAGAGAGTGAGAAAGAGATATATTTTTTTTCTTTATCTTCGTTTCTAATCGTCGTGGAAATGTGTTTGCGCCTCCCTTTTCGCCATTTTCCTTTTTCACGGACTCCGCGTTATCCGTCCCCCTTCCTCTTTTTTTTTCTTTTTCTTTCTTTTATTTTTGGTTTGTTCGTAAGTTAAATCATCAGCATCGGTGCGTCCTTGCGTTTTGTAAAGTAACGAATTGTCCGTTTGTAGAATCGACACGGTGTACTGGCATACACACACACACACACACACACACACACACACACACACACACACACACACA